AATCCCTTCCATTGACTGTGCCTTCAGTCATAATACACCTTCCTGCCTTCAACTTGGGTGCCAAGCAACGAAACCTCAAGCACCTTGGGACATCCTCCTGACATGAAAAGCACTACATAAATGTACATTTGTATTCTATAATATGTCTTCAATGTTCACTCCCACTCAATGAAACTCCATCCCGGAGTCCATCCAATTTACTTCCCCTCCCTCACTTCATTCAAGTCATCTCCAACCATGCCCTCAGTCATTTTTACCCTCCTCACCCTCTTCTCGGCTGCCAATAAGGGCACCTCAAGCCCCTAAGATGTCCTCCCAACATAAAAGGCACAATATATAAATGAATCCTCAGCCCCCCCATTCAACCCCCCCTCAAATGCTTAGCAAGGGCACTTCAAGCTCTTAAGACGTCCTCCCCACTTGAGACATGATATAAATGTCATCTACGAGACCACCCCCACTCTCTGTAACTCCATCCCAGAGTCTCACTATCTTGCCCCATCCTTCAGCTCTTTCCCCTCCTCACCACCCACCCCAACCAACACAGTTCAGGCTCCCAGCCCCGTTCAGGGATATCCTCAAGCGTCAAGGGATGTCCTCCTGACCTGGAAGACATAATGCAAATAAATTTGTATTGTATCCAACCTTTACAAGATTGGCCCATTCTCTAGAACTCCTTCCCAGAGTCCTTCCAATTCGTCACTCACTCACCTCTTTCAAGGTTTGTCTCAATAACTTCTTTGGTCACTCTGCCTTTAGACATCTTGCTCCTCCCTGCTCTCAGCTCGGGTGCCAAGCAAGGACACCTCAATCCGGTATGACATCCTCCCAAGCAAGGGCAGCTCGAGCCCCTGTGACATTCTCCCAAAGTAAGGCACAATATATAAAAATAAATTTGGTTGCCCCCAGTCTTGAGAACGCCATCCCGAGTCATTGCAACTCGTCCCTCCTTCATCTCTTTCAGACTGACTGAATACCTTCCTCTTTGACTGAGCGCTGCATCATGAATCTGAGCTCAGCCGAGCTTCCCTCTTAGCTGCAATCCCACCCATGACAAGACCAGATCATTGCCTCATATGTGTTCAATTGCTGAGCAACCTGCATTTTCTCCATAGTGTTGGTCCAGATCTGGGTGTGGAACAGCGCAGGAGAGGATAAAAATGGTACTAGCTTAGGTTGTCACCGTAAGGTTTCCGCTAGTACCTACCAGTCCTACCTTTAGATGTCCATTTCTTTTCATCAGGCAGATGATGTGGAAAGTAAAAATGGACAGAACTAGCTTACGTTGACACCGTAAGGTTTCCACTAGTACTACCAGTCCTACCTTTAGATGTCTGTTTCTTTTCGACAAGTAGACGATGTGGAAAGTAAAAATGGACAGAACTAGCTTCAAGCGTCAAGGGATGTCTGCCTGACCTGAAAGACATAATATAAATAAATTTGTATTGTATCCAACTTTTACAAAATTGGACGATTCTCTTGAACTCCTTCCAATTCGTCACTCACTCACCTCTTTCAAGGTTTGTCTCAATAACTTCTTTGGTTACTCTGCCTTTAGACATCTTGCTCCTCCTTGCTCTCAGCTCGGGTGCCAAGCAAGGACACCTCAATCCGGTATGACATCCTCTCAAGCAAGGGCAGTTCAAGCCCCTGTGACATTCTCCCAAAGTAAGGCACAATATATAAAAATAAATTTGGTTGCCCCTAGTCTTGAGAATGCCATCCCGAGTCATTGCAACTCGTCCCTCCTTCATCTCTTTCAGACTGTCTGAATATCTTCCTCTTTGACTGAGCGCTGCATCATGAATCTGAGCTCAACCTAGCTTCCCTCTTAGCTGCAATCCCACCCATGACAAGACCAGATCATTGCCTCATACGTGTTCAACTGCTGAGCAACCTGCATTTTTTCCACATAGTGTTGGTCCAGATCAGCGAAGGAGAGGATAAAAATGGTACTAGCTTAAGTTGTCACCGTAAGGTTTCCGCTAGTACCTACCAGTCCTACCTTTAGATGTCCATTTCTTTTCATCAGGCAGATGATGTGGAAAGTAAAAATGGACAGAACTAGCTTCCGTTGACACCGTAAGGTTTCCACTAGTACTACCACTCCTACCTTTAGATGTCTGTTTCTTTTCGACAAGTAGACGATGTGGAAAGTAAAAATGGACAGAACTAGCTTCAAGCGTCAAGGGATGTCTGCCTGACCTGAAAGACATAATATAAATAAATTTGTATTGTTTTGTTTCCACTAGCACCTGCCATTTAATACTATCTTAGATGTCTTCTTTCTTCCCATCACCAAGTGTTCCCTGACCGGCTGTCCACTGTCACCTCTGGGCTGTTTGTCAGACGCTGCCAAAGGCAAAATGTCTGCCACACCTACAACAAGGTTCATCACATGCTTAGAGCAATTTTGACAATATACAAGCAAGAAAAATGTACTTTCATTCATATGAAGTGAATCTATTCCAGTGTGGGACCCTAACTCAGTCTCTATTTACAATCCTTCACTTCTCCATTTCTCAGAGCACACTCCATCTCTTAGGGTATTTACAAACATTTATCTCAACATGTGTGCGTTCAGAAAGAGAAAAAGAGAACTCGTATGACTGGGCAAATGAGTCAAAGCAATCGTCTCAATTTGTCCATATGTCTCACTGTGCGATGTCTCTCAGTGTGTTTGCATTGTCTGAGCTCAGTTTACCTCAGTAAGACATATTCTGAGCAGCAAGTCTACAAATCTGTTTAAACACGTGTGCCTATAAATTGGTCACTACACTTGACGGTAAAACATGTCAAGCAATTTGAAACATCCTCCTGACAAGAAAGGCGCTCTATCAAGTTTTAGGATGATTCTCCCTCAGGTGCCCAATCATTTTCTCCTCACACACGCACTCTCTCTCACACCGAGTGTCGAGCTTCTCCTCAAACACAAGCTGCCAATCAATCAATACCTGTGTCACCCCACCTTAACCCCCTCCCCCCTCACTCACTCACTCTCGGTGACTTTTTCTCTCAGAGTTGCTCATTCTCCTCTCACTCCCTCAGTTACTCCTCTCACTCTCTCTCTGTCCCCTCAGTCAATCAGTGAGTTACTCTGGGTCTCTCTGTGTGTGTGTGTGTGAGCCACTCTCCCCGACCTGCTCCCCCCTCAGAGTAAGTATTTTCCTCTCACTCGGTGTGTAATTGAGCCCCTCACTCACTCTCTCTCTCGCTCTCTCAGGTCGGCGCGAGCTGCCGGTGGGTCTGCGGCACCTTCATATACCCTCCCCCCCGCCCCCGCTCGCGCGGGAAACCCCGTGGAGCCACTCACCGTCCAACCAATCAGAAAGTTGGCTGAACGGACGCACGGCTTCCGGAGCCTTTCCCGCCTAAACGCCAAAGTCATCCACCACCCGACCCGACCCCCCACCCGACCTTTTCTGCCCAAACCCCCAACTCAAACCTACATCTCTTTGTACTTTTTTAAAAAACATTGTCAGTGAGCAATAAACGCGCTTCGGTTTGTACCTCACGGGCTCAGCCGCTCTGCGCACCGCCAACTCCCGGTGTGGCCGCAGCTGCTAATCATCACCTTTATACCCCGCCCCGCCCGCCCCGCCCGGGAGACCCCGTGCAGTCACTCACTTTTCAGCCAATCAGAGAGGTCGCGGAACGGACGACGGCTTTCCCAATCCTTTCCCGCCCAAACCCCAATTAACGATCTGAACCTCAGCCCTTCCTTCCCAACCAAAGCCCACCTCAACCCCAGCCCTTCCTTCCCAACCAAAGCCCACCTCAACCCCAGCCCAACCTTCCCAACCAAACGCCCACCTCAACCTCAGCCCAACCTTCCCAACCAAAGCCCACCTCAACCCCAGCCCTTCCTTCCCAACCAAAGCCCACCTCAACCCAGCCCAACCTTCCCAACCAAAGCCCACCTCAACCCCAGCCCTTCCTTCCCAACCAAAGCCCACCTCAACCCCAGCCCTTCCTTCCCAACCAAAGCCCACCTCAACCCCAGCCCGCCCTTCCCAACCAAAGCCCACCTCAACCTCAGCACAACCTTCCCAACCAAACGCCCACCTGAACCCCAGCCCAACCTTCCCAACCAAACGCCCACCTGAACCCCAGCCCTTCCTTCCCAACCAAACGCCCACCTGAACCCCAGCCCACCCTTCACAACCAAACACCCACCTCAACCCCAAATCTCTGCGTGTGTGGTGTGTGCTGCTCATAATAATAATCCTTGCATTTGATATAGCGCTTTTCACGTCTTCTAGATGTCCCAAAGGTTTCACAGAATATACTGTAAAGTGAATTGACTGTATATTTGTGGGCGAACGCAGCAGCCAATTGCGCACAGCAATGTCCCACAAACAGTCGTAGATTGAAAATGACCAATTTATTATTGTTTTGTTTTTTTGGAGGGATTATTACCGATGTCTCTGCAGCTGTCGTTCATCAACCTGCCTCTCACCCCTGACCAATCAGAAAGCTCCCCAAATAAACGACGGCCTCCAAAATGACATTCCAGCCTTTCGCGCCCAAACCCCCAACCCTCACCTCAACCCAATTGCACCTCAGCCCCTTCCCACACAATCAACTCAACCTCCTGAGGGGATCAACCAATCTATGGTTGATTGCTCCCCCCAGGAGGTTGAATGGATTGGATGGTATCCAAAGGCAGATGACTCCTGCAATGCTATGTGTGCCTTAGTGCCATACAACAGCCTCCAGTTGTCCTGTGAGGGATATTGCCCCAACCCTGACATTCCACCCAGACTCAGCCAGTCAGACCATATTATGTATGAGCAATTATATCCAAGGTTTATTTCATTGTTCTATTGGTTAGCCGGCTGTCTGACCCATGTGCAAACCCATCACCATGCTCTGAGTGAGTACCTAATCTTTAGCTCAAGGTAGAAGCCATCTTGAGCTATTACCCGGAGGGAGCGCTGAGTGCTGGTGGAGTTGAGCACCTGCCCACTGATTGAGATACAACGCAGCACAACACGGTGTAACACAGTGAATATTTTAATCATGAAAAACATGTTGGTAACAAAGCTTCTCTGGACTTTTACAAGTTGATTCAGGTACAAAAGAAAACTGTACCCAGGCAACAATTTCAATTTACTACAAAAATACCTTCAGCTACACGGGCAGCGATCCCTCAGACACTGCCATTTGGTCAGTAACGGGTACAGAATCCTTCATATCCAAAGTATTCTTCCTCCCAAACTGCAACACATCGCCCATGATAACTCACCACCTGATCCCACCTCTACTACCTCCAGGTCCGCAGTGCACAACTTGAACTCTTTCGAAGGGTGGGGGGAGAGGAGACCCATGACCTTCCACGATGGAGGTGGAGGGGAGGGGTGGGAATATAAAGTACTAACAAAAAAGTTAAGATTTCTGCATTATACAAAAGTCACATATAAATAACTAGAAACTGTAACAATTCACGAACAAGCCCTCCCCACCCCCGACCACTGTGTTTGGCAAGGACTTCTTTACCAGGAAATACAAACTGAAAAGAAATAAGAAGTGATTACAGCAGTTTACAAAATGGCGCTGCTGTCTCCATCTCCATCCTACAACAGAAGCAAGATTTTGTTTTAAAAAAAAGAGAGAACACAGGATTCTTCATAAACTGTTTTTGTACCAAATGGCATCAGAGTGGGAGAGGAGATAGAAGCGGCACTCTCGCCACCCTCACCCCACAACAAATTAGGAATCAACTACCAAATCCAATAGCTGCCGGCCACTGACATTTGATGTCCCAGTGGCTAATCACGTCCAGACTGGTGGAATGCTCGTCATGGCTTCACCTTGCTGTGGAACAGTTACTCTATATTTAGCCATGTTCCCCCTCCCTCCTCCCCTGCTATGGTGCGGCTGATGACAAGGTGTGGCACCGGGTCAATGAGCCAGGCCGCTTAATCCAGCGCAATGATATCGTCCTCTTCTTCTGTGCTCTGCTCGCTGCACACCCTCTTCGTGCTCATGCTGCTCCCCTCCTCCTCCAGCTTCCTCTTCAGGCTCCGGATTTCGGCCCCGACCTCAGCCCCGCTGGACGACGGTACCTCTTCATCAGAGTCCACGATCAGCACGTCGTCCTGCTCCGAGGCTGGGAGACACGAGCAGGTTAGAGGCTCGGGAGAGAGATCGAGGCCTCAATCAGCCGAACACGAGTGACATTCAACATTGATAAACTCAACCGCTGGAAGGGGTCAGATCTGTACTGCAGTCCTCATGGCAGTAAGTTACTGAACATTCATAACACTTCAATATTTAATATGAATATTGAAGGTGGCATTGAATGGAATCAGGTTTCCTGGACTGACCCTCTCTCCCTAATCCACTTACTGTGAACGGTTCTCCCTTTGACCCAGTGTACAAACACATGCTCCCTCTCTCACCCAGTCACCAGATTATTGTTGAACATTCCTGATGCTTTTGCCTTGCTTAACAGCTATCCCTTCTTCCTCGTATCTGCTTTCAAACTGCTTTTCACTGCTTCTGTTTGAAATTGTTTGCTGTGACATTAGGACATTGACCTGCCATGTAACTGTTAAGTTGGATGCCAACACTGTCTGGCACAGGGTACTGCCTGGTTGCTCTCTCCTGGGTGGGGCTCGGTGAAGTGCAAGAGGTCATCAGATCTATTCCTGCAATGCATTCACGGTACCCACGATTACCCGTCAGCCCTGTGGCCCAAAGCCACAAGGTTCCGGCCCACAGTGGATTAATAAGTCTTTACCTCTCGATGTGGATGGCTGGGCTCCGTCATCGCTGCCATTGGTTATGGCTTTTCCGTCTGCTTCACTGGTTTTCTGAGGTGCTTTGTCAGGGGCATCTCCCACAACCTCGAACTCCACATCCCTCTCAAGGTCTTCACTGTAAAAAGAGCACACAAGAACCAGCAGTTAGCAGCTACAATGCAAAGGTGGTGCAAGTTGAGGGCTACACCTCGTCTTAGGGCGGCAGAACAATTTGTGGAATGAACATAATAATAAAAATAATAATCCTTGCATTTGATATAGTGCTGTTCACGTCTTCTAGACGTCTCAAAGCGCTTCACAGAATAGACTGTAAAGTGAATTGACTGTATATTTGTGGGTGAAACACGCCAGGCAGTGTGAGGCAAGGTCCTCCAAACAGCCATTAATGTATTTGAAGGATTGTCAATCAAGGCACTGGGAGAAACTCCCTTCTCCAATGGTGTAGAATCTTTAATGTCTCACTCGAAGGAAGGCACCTCTGACAATGCAGCACTCCCAGAACATGGGAATCAGTGCCAAGATCCATCTGGCTTCACAATAAGCAAGCATTTGTAGCTGGAAGTGCAGGGCTGATGTCTCACCTGTGTAGGAGGGTCACAATCAGCGTATAATCTTGTAAGAAATCATCGACTTGCAGTCGGCTTCCATTTCGAATTCCAAATTCTGACAGCATCTTGTTATTGTTAGCTGGAAGAGTAATTTAAGGACAGTTACCTACACACACTGTAAAAGTAGCTACACATAGACATACAAAACAACTTGCATTTACATACCGCCTCTCACGCAAGGTAGCGTTTCAGAACGCTTGAACACAGACACAGCAGTATGCCTATACACACACACACAGATATTCAGAAACAAGTGATAGTTTCTGAAGTGGTTCTGCACTTGCTCTGAATTGAAAGCAGAGAATTGCGAACCTGGTTTCACAGTTTACACATAATTGGATTGTGTGACCAAATTATTATTATTTTGAAGGGATTATTACCCCGGAAAAGCGATCCACCAACGACTAACAATCGGGTTCCTACTTACTGCTGGTAAACAAACATATGTGGAGTAAGGAAACTTGCCCAACGTTCTGCCCTCCCCGGGAATCGAACCCAGGTCCTGTCGCGTGTGAGGCGAGTGCTCTAACCACTGAACTGCAGGCCGCCACATGATAACGAGCTAAAAGTGTCAGAGAGCACTAATCATGCAGTCTAAAAAACAAATGTGATGCCATCTAATAATAATAATAATCCCTGCATTTGCTATAGCACTTTTCACGTCGGGAGGACGTCCCAAAGGCTTCACAGAACACACTGTAAAGTGAATTGACTGTATATTTGTGGGTGAACGCAGCAGCCAATTGCGCATAGCAATGTCCCACAAACAGTCGTGGATTGAAAATGACCAATTTATTATTGTTTTGTTTTGGAGGGATTATTATTAGGCTCTGTGTGGAGTAAGGAAACTTGCCCAAGGTTTCGGCCTCTGCCTGGAATTGAACTCAGGTCTCGCGCTTGCAAAGCGAGTGCTCTAACCACTGAGCTACAGGACATTATTACAGGGTAATAATGGCTGGGGAGGCTTATAAAATAATAACAACAAATTACATATAGATAATCTGTAAAAGGCTATATATAAATATCAAAACCTGATAAAAGGGTCATAAAATAAACACAAGAAACAAACCTTCTGTTTCTCCCTCTTCAGACGAGATAAGGATGGTTCCCTTGCCATCTTCAATCTGAACATCAGGAGCGACCATCCCAAACTTCTCCTTCAAAATCTGGCAAAAAACAAAGAAAAGGAACATAGGAACACACAGAAGCAACAACAACAAATTACATTTGTATAGCGCCTTTCACGTGGTGAAGACATCGCAAGAAGCACAGGTGACAGGGCTCCCCCAACGGATGGTGAAAGGCTTACCCTATCCTGCAGAGTAAGGATGGATAGCTTCTGGGTGTTGAGTTTGACGGTGACTTCGGGTTTTGAGGAGCAGACGTAGCAGTCGGGGTTGGGAGGATCCAGGGCACATGGCACCAGCAGCTTCTTGCGAGGGTTGGGCTGCTTGTTTAGAAAGATCTAAACCCACAGAGAGAAAGCTCAGTGCTTATCAGGTCACAGCTGTGTTTGCGCACAGCTGCCCTGTCTGTCACCCCACATTTGTACAATTATTTGTTTCGTCAAATAGTGAATAGTCCATTAAAATATTCCCTCCCCCCCAAGGCACGGAATGTTCTAGTCTCAGGAGTCCCATTAATACCCAGTCAACACTGGTGAAGTCAATGACCAATTTTATTTGGGGGAACATTGCCCAGGACACCTGGAGAAATTTCCTTCGCTTTTTGAATTGCGTCATGGGATCTTTAATGGCTCCCTGAATAGGCAGATGTTCTCAACACTCACTGTCCTGCATTGTTCCATATTTCCCGACAGAATCTTCAGCCCCTCCAGCACAATGAGTCCAGCGATCACTGCATTTGTGGTAGCTATTGCTGGGATGATGTTTCCTGCCATTGCTGAATTACAGAAGGTTTAACAAGTCAGAATGACATGGCAGCTAATTTGTCCACAGCAACATCCACAAGTAGCTGTGAAATGAATGATTGATTCACCGGAAGAAATTCTTCTCTTTTTGAATAGTGCAGTAGGAATTTTAACATCTGAACGGGCAGACGGAACCTCAGTTTAACGTCTTATCCAAAAACCTCCAACAATGCAGCGCTCACCAAGCACTTCAACTGGAGCGTCATCTTAGATGATATGAGTTCCAAGTCCAGATGTGGGGCTTGAACCCACAACCTTCTGACGATAGTGCTGTATAATAAAAGATTAAATATAAGCTTACATTTTACATCAAACTTGCTCTTCATGTTCATGCTGAAGATGTACATGCGGAGGTTGGCGGCAGATGTCACAAAGTCCATGGCCGGTGGGTCGTCCTGGGAACATCCGACAGATATAAAACAAAGGAAAAATACATCGAGAGTTTTCAAACAATCTGTGTGCCTTGGTGGAGTTTGCAGATCAAGGAATGGTCTAACTACAAAGATACTATAGGTTTCATGGTAGAGCAGGTTGACACGTTGAATGGCCGTCTCCTGGGACACAACCCAAACCACTGGTTGCATCCTCCTCTCGCTTTCTGCAGCTGATTAACAGCAGTGACTGTAAGTGCCGGAATTACTAGCTATTTGTAGTTTAACCCCTGGCAACACAGTGCTCCCCCGGTACTGTCAGCTGAACACAAACAACGTAGAGAACCATCTAACTGGTGGGTATACACACCTTGTCCCAGACCAGCTCCCCTCCGTCCCCCTTCTCCGTCAGACGAGCTTTCAGGTGAACCACACTTTGAGCAAACAGCTGGGTGCAGCTCTTCACGTCCAAGACCCGCTGATCCTTCAGGCGAGCTGGGGAACTCACTGGCTGCTGCAAGCCACTGCTTCCTGCAGGACAGTACAATATATAATTCTTGCATTTGATATAGTGCCTTATCACATCTTCGAGACATCTCAAAGCGCTTCACAGAATATACTGTAAAGTGAAGTGACTGTATATTTTGTAGGCGAAAAGCGGCAGTCAATTGCGCACCGGCGTCTCACAAAGTCATTATTATTTTAAAAATTTTTTTGAAGGGATTATTATCCCCGGAAAAGCAATCTGCCAATCGACTAATAATTGGGTTGCTACTTACTGCTGGGTAAACAAGGGCATGTAAGAAAACTTGCCCAACATTTTGCCCTGCCTAAGAATCAAACCAGGTCCTCTCGATTGCAAGGCGAGTGCTCTAACTACTGAGCTATAGTACTCCACATGAAGGGCAAAGCTTTTAATAGCCACAGGGTAAAGCTGAGCAGGTCCCAGTGAACAGTCCAGAACCCAATTTATGCACCTGGGCTCTGAGGGTTAACTGCTCTGTGGCAACAACAACTTGCATTATTTAGTGCCGCTCATGAAGAGTAGCATCCCAGAGCAGCAGTTAGCCTCAGTACCTAAATTCCTCAGTTAATGATGGTGTGTGGCACCATCCCTGTAAAGCTCTTCGAGACGTTACTATACACAGAAGCCACTATACAATACAATCCTTGCAATGGATCCAGCGGCATTCATGTCAGGAGGATGCCTGCTTCAAAGTGCTTCGCAAATGTACTGTAGTGTATAACTGTGTTTTTTGCAGGATAACATGGCTGCCAACTTGTGCACAGCAACATGCCACAAACAGAGATACAAATGTATTACTGTGTGAGTTGGTCAACTGGTGCTCTGCTCAGTGTTCAAAGTGCACAAAGAGCACTTTAACCTTGCAGCACTTACCCATCGTTTCCACTACAGCCCAGTCCAAGGGCACTGGGGCTTTCCTCTTGCGCCACAGCTTGTCCATTGTCAGCAAGTATTTAATGTCGTCTCTGAAAAGCTGAAACGAAAGAAAGGCATCAAATACAGTCAGCAGCCAACAGACACTTCCCCAACTCTCGCCCTGGGGAAGCACGATGAGAGAACACATTGCTTTTTGTGTCGCCCAGTGACCGTCAAAAATATTTCATCAGCACACGGGCATTTCATCAGCACACCCCCATTCCACTCGAGACGCCATGCCTGCTGAACGTGCTTCCAGTTTGTGGGGCATAGCCTTCGCTGCTCCCGATGGAAAACTGACCTTTTCAGTTAGTTACCAGCGTCCAATGCCAGGAACCCCCCAGTCTCCAACTTTCCCACTGAGAGCAAGTGGCAACTCAGTCACCTGCACACCAGCTCTTACCTTGTTGAATATCTTGACGGGGTCATAGCCTGTTGATCTGGCCCAATCTTTGGTAGAAATGCGTTTGATGCCGCCATCTTCATTGGAGGCTCCCGCTCTGGCTGCTGCGTCGGATAATTCCCCTGTGGATAAGATACCACTGCTGAAATGCCTGCAAATCGCTATTCCTGGGGATAGATACTCACTCTGCTCTGTGATACATCCCCTCCCAATTAATGTCCTAGCTGGACAAGTAGAAGAAAGCTTGCCAGACAGAGCTCTCAAAGATAAAACTATGCAGTGTTAGCTGGTTAAATACCAGCAGTTACCCCAACACAAACTTTGGGGTCCCCAAACCCTGGCTCTTCCCAACCTGCATCTAATACTCTCCGGGATTAAGTGAACAGGTTTAGTCCCTCCAGGGTGTGAGCGCACATTTGATTCCAGACATGGGGAAGTTTCCATGTGCAGTGGTGTACATACGTGGAACTGTCATTCTGATTTGGATTGTCTTGAGCACAGCTATGGGTTTCCACAGGCATCAGACACAGCCAACAAAAAACGATTCCTCAAATGCTTCCCTATTCTAGTGTGGCCAGTAATGTCAGCAAGCTGAAAACAGGAGGTCATTACTCTACACTACATGAATGCCTTGTCCCTCATCACCCATCTCCTTTTACCGTTACTGGTTTGTCCGGTCGCACGGCGGTGTACTCACAGGCAGCCTCAGGATCAGCTGTGTCCGGTGACACTTCCTGATCGGCATCTTCCTCTCCGAACAACTGGCTGCAGAAGGAAGGGAACAGTTAGCACACTTGGTGCAGCACGGCACATGGCAGGCCCCACCCCACCACCAACCCAACACCAAAAAACCAAACCCATGCCCACTGCACCCAGACCTCAAGTCGGTAACTGTTTCCCAAGTCTGTAAGACCAATTGCAGTCTCCACACGCTCCACATTCCTTACTTGAAAAGATACTTTGCCCAGACAATGCAGTGGATGGGTTCTGAAGGAGTGTTGCGGATTGTGCAACCTGGAAAGGTTTTCTGCGTGGGTTTGGGTTGACATTCATAACATTCAGTTACTCCCTGTGGGAAAAACAGTATCACATTCTGAGCTTATATCAGTTTCAGTTCCAGGAAAGAGGAGGGGATGGAGTGAGATGAGGTCCAAGTATGAAGGTGGATTACTGACTGGGAAAGATCTTGATAACAGTAGCTTCATTTGTTAAAAACATTTCTTAAAAAAATGCAGCTCATTTGCCAAAGTGTGACATCCAAACAGATCACATCTTTAAATAAAGGACTCGTGGAGTCCTGTAGCTCAGTGGTTAGAGCACTCGCTTTGCAAGCGAGAGACCTGAGTTCAATTCCAGGCAGAGGGCCAAACCTTGGGCAAGTTTCCTTACTCCACACAGAGCCTAATAATAATCCCTCCAAAACCAAAAACAATAATAAATTGGTCATTTTCAATCTACGACTGTTCGTGGGACATTGTTGTGCGCAATTGGCTGCCACGTTCGCCCACAAATATACAGTCAATTCACTTTACAGTGTGTTCTGTGAAGTGTTTTGGGACGTCCTCCCGACGTGAAAAGCGTTATATCAAATGTAAGGATTATTATTATTTATTATTATTAAATAAAAACCAGCCACGCATGAGAGACATCAATCCTGAAGAAGGGTAAGTGTGGAAACTAATGAGTCACATTGGGACAAATGGGCTCCTTTCTATAAGCTCCTATAAGTAATGTTCAGTTCTCTCCCGCTGACTGGCTTCCCATCGAGCTAGAGTCATCAGGCTGTCAATGGCCTTGCCCCACTCCGAGACCCAGTAAAAAGCCAGGTCCCCCACGTGACCTGAAGGGACACGCTGGAGAGCTTGTATCAGTTCAAAATGAGATTAAATCCCATGAATTAGGAATATCAGCACAAAATTTGAATCGTACCCATTACCTTTTGGATGACTGTGACTTGGCCAAGGTAACCGGCAGTCCCGCTCTCTATCAGGGGGATGTCGGCAGCCAAACACATTCTATTCACATGGTTACGAGCCGCTGTAAATGGGGAAAATAATGAGCAACACAGGAAAGTGAAACAATGGTTTCTTACACTCTTCAAAACGTATCAGAAAGTCATCCATCTTTAAGGTGATCAATGCTCACCTCCTCACACTCAATGCAGCCGTGCATTACAGTGTTTGGAAAGATTGTCATGAGTGACGGGGAATGGTTCGTATCATCCAGTGACCTATATGTGTTAGTGGTACTGTTTGTGTTTAGTTACCACCCCCCCCACCTCCCCCAATCACTGTAACTTACCCCGATTGTCTAGAGCATTCATGACTAGCGTAAACCGTCTGAAGAATTCCACATTGTAATCTGGGCTGCAGGAAATGAGAGGCAAAATCAACACAGAACAGGAAAGACATGAAGCTTGCTTTGTCACTTACACATTGGGGCCAATTGGTAAAGCCAATTTCCGTTACATTTTTACAAAGTACTAATCCAATTATAATATTACTGTTTTAAACAGTACATTAGGAACTCCCCTCCCCACCAGCCCAATGGCAACAGCTTAAATACCTTGTTCCTGGGCTATAACTTTATAGCACCAAGCTTTTAATTCTGTTATTTTTAAGCATTTAATGCCTATGGCCACCTCCCCACTCCCCCCCAGCTTGGCATTGTGCTCCGCCACTGTCAAGTGCTCTGGGGCATTACCCTGGTTGAGGGGAGCTATATAAATGCAAGTTGTTGTAAGTCTGCTTTAATAGAGCACAATATTCCATGTTCCCTTGTGAAAAGGAAGTCTTGAAACCTACTTCATGATGCTGTCATGGTACGCTGTAATCTTTGCCTGAGGACAAAACTGCAGGACACTCTCCTTGGCCACCTGGAAACCACAGTAATCAAACACGTGACACTCATTTCAGCATCTCATGGATTTGCTACATAAAGCCGCAGATCTTGAATCCAACACAATTACTTTCCCCACTCTCCTACAGTTCTTCATCCACCTGACTATTTTTTTTACTCAAGAGCCTTGAGTGTTGCAGGGAATCGAGCTGTGGAGTGGATGCATTCAAGCCCAATTCTGCCCTACCCAACATCAATACACGTACACACACTACTACACAGATAGTGATAGGAGATCCTACACATTCACATACATTCAGCATGGACCAATTACTCTAATCCCAGTACTCTGTTTTGCTGTCAAAATATGCAGTCAATTCACTTTATAGTATGTTCTGTGAGATGTCTTGAAGATGTGATAATGTGCTATCAAATGGAAGGATTATTATTATTATAATCCCATACCTTCTAAAATCAATTGTCTTCAAGTGTTTATTCAATTCTCTTTAAACACTGTTGTGGACATTTTCAACAATTTGAGGAAACTAATAATTTGAAGTGAAGATTCAGAGATTCAAATTCAGATTCTTCTCTATGTAATCATGAATCCTACCCCCATGCTCTTGTAAACACTCCCAAACGGAGCTGTCTCTCACCTGAGCTTTCGACTTTCCGACATGCTTTTTCTGGAAGAGAAACTGTCGGTTGAGGTTGCTGACGTCGATGGTATCCAGGTCAATCTACAGGCAAGTGAAGAAAAACAATGACAGCAGTGCCAACACCAGAGATCAGCGCAACTAACCAGCAAGTTCCTCTTCCCAAGACACCAAGTGGGAAGGCAGTAAAGGTCAAAACCATCTGAACTCCAGCCCCACTCGAGGAAACCGCACACTGTGCCAACTCCAGGACACATCACACTGTCATAAACCTGTCTCTACCCAATGCCCCTATTGAGGGTACGATTTCCCTCCTGTTTGAGCAAGAGATTAGAGTTCAGCAGCAAGTTCGCCTGCTGCCCTCCAAACAGTGCATTCAACAAGCAGCCAAGCACAGAGCAAATGGGCTGAGCCCAGTGAGTGTGAGCTGTAAGCACACAGTACTCTCTGCTACACAGCACTCGTCTGGTGTTTTCCCCACTGCCCTCTCCACACAGAGAAAAGTGAACATTCTCCAGTGACTCTCACACAGACAACACTTTCCTCACTGTGGACCAGATGTCTGTCAAGCAGTTCGCTCTTCAGACGCCGCTGGTACTCCCTCACACACAAACCATTACAGTCCCCGGTTACAGTAATCGCACACACCTCTTGGGTGTGAAGGGTATTCCACGTGTGTGTGTGGTGGTCCCTGGAGAGCGCTTGTTTTGACTTTGTCTCTAACTGTATGACTCACCACTATACACTGCTCCCAATCGGTCTGTCTACTGCTCCAACCCCACAGCCCCTCAGCCCAAACCACAGCCCCACATCCTCAACCCAAACCCCTCTTCCTTAACCTCTCAACCGCACATCCCCTCATCCTCAAACTCATCCTCTCAACCCTAAAGCATAGCCCCTCATCTCCAACCCATCAACCGCACATCCCCTCACTCATGCCCGGACACTGGCGCTGCCCCGGGGGCGCGGCCCCATCGCTCCCCACATCAAACCTGACAGACGCCCTGTGCCCCCCCCGCCCCCCCCGCCCTATCGTGACTTGTTGGCCGCTCTCAGGCTCCCGCCGCGGGGCCCTGCACCTCCCGCCCCCGAGCGGCCCACTCACCACCTCGATGTCCCTGAAGCCGCCGAGCACCAGGTTCTTCAGCAGTTCACAGCCGATGCCGCCGGCGCCGACCACCAGCAGTTTGCTCTCCGCCACTCTGTCCGAGAGAGCGCGGGGCAGCGAACCGACCATCGCCATCTTACACACCGGGGCCCTCACCGAGGATAACCCCGGGGCCCCACATAGGCCTCCCGCCGCAGCGCCGCCTGGTGGCCGCAGTGCCCGATCCTCCCGCCGCAGCGCCGCCTGGTGGCCGCAGTGCCCGATCCTCCCGCCGCAGCGCCGCCTGGTGGCCGCAGTGCCCGATCCTCCCGCCGCAGCGCCGCCTGGTGGCCGCAGGATCAGTCTACGCCTTCCTTTTAATTCCCTCAAAATGAAGGATAATAATCCTTGCACTTTATTCAGCGCCTTTCACATCATTAAGACGTCTCAAAGCGCTTTACAGAACTTTCGGTGAAGTGTAGTGACTATCTGCAGGCGAACTCTGCAGCCAACTTGCACAACAGCGACATCCTGAAACCATGCAACAAATGAATGATTTTATTTGGGGGAATCGTTGGCCGAGACACAGGGAGGAACTTCCTTCCCTTTCAAATAGTGCCATAGGATCTTTAATGTCTACCTGAACAGGTACAGTGGGTAACGGCTCATCTGAGGGACTGTATTCAAGACTGTATCTCTCGAATTCAAGATCCTCATCCTCACCTACAGGGCCATTCATGGCCTCGCTCCCTCCTACCTCTCCGACCTACTATCCCCCACGTACCCCCCGTACCCTCCATCCCTCGGGCTCCGGTCTGCTCCACGTCCCCCGCCCCAACCGCCCGACCATCGGTGGCCTTCAGCCTCTCAGCCCCGAGGCTCTGGAACTCCATCCCCCGGTGCCTTCACCGCTTCCTCCCTTTCCTCCTTCAAGGCCGGTCTCAAGACCTTTCTCTTTGACCGTGACTTCAGTTCCCCTCTCGACTCTCTACCCCCTCCTCGCTCCCTCCCGTCCCTCCCCTCACCCTGACCATTTCCCCCCTCCTCCCGACGTGAAAGGCGCTCAATAAATGGAATCTTGTTGTTGTTGTTGTTGTAACCTCTGGCAATGCCGGGCTCCTCCGCACTGCACAAGGGCGTCAGTCTAGTCTGTGCACAAAGTTAGTACGTGAGGCTTGAACCCACAACCGTTTGACTCAAAGAAGTCAGACACTTGGCCAGAAGTCTCCATTCATGAAGAATGGTCAGATTGTATGATGTCCTGCATGACTCCTGGTATCTGTAGACAGCATGAATTAGCAGCTCAGGAGGCAGGTAATGTTAGCCAATATGTGCAGAGACTTAAAAGATTGGTGTTTATGAATACTTACCCTGTCTTAAGAAATCCTTTCTACCCCACATCTGTGCCATGATCCACCCACCTCCACAACATCGTCCAGCTCCGCCAGTGTCTCTCACCACAAGCTGCCGAAACCCTCATACACACTTTCATTACATTGAGGCTTGACTATGCAAACTCATTGCTTGTCGGCCTCAACTCCTCCTTCCATAGGCTGCAGATCATCCAGAACTCTGCAGCCCGGGTCCTCTCCCGCACCAGGAACTCCATCCCACAGTCCCTCCACCTCTCCCTCTCCCCCTCCCTTGCCTCCTTCAAGACCTATCTCAAGATGCTCCTCTTCGACTGTGCTTTCGATCTCCCTGCTTCCTCCCCTGCCCTCCACACTCCCTGATCCCAACCCCCAGCTCGGATCCGAGCAGCTTGGGACAAACTCCCACCGTGAAAGGCGCTTTACAAATGTAATTTTGTTGTTGTTGTTGTTGTATGGTTTATATCAGAGAAAATGCAGGAGGAAGATGACTAAATCCATCATTTACTGAGAGCACTAACAGCAGGATCCAGTTTTCATTTTATTTGATACCAGGTCTCCACTGTTGATGCTATCGGAAAAGTTTCTGGTCTGGATCTGCCTGCACAACGGGATATTCTTCCATAGGGATCTGGTTACCAGGTGACCAGCAACTGAGCTCACACGTGTACACCAGAGCCGTCCCGAACTCCACAGCCAAGCCTGGAACAGAAGTTACAATGGGAATTAGGCAAATAATTGAAAATATCTAAAAAATGTGCAGGAGGATGAGGAAAGGGCAGGGAAGTGGGTGTAGGTGCTGTCGAAGCTGTAGGTGTTCGAAGAGTATCGAGGTGAAAGAGACGGGCTGTGATGCAGCGGGAGTGAGTGATGAAACCCAGCCACTGATTGTGGCTCAGGGAGTGTGAGGAACGAGCAGGAAGCCTGAGTACGTGGAGCTGACGTAGTGAGCAGGAGAGTGGGGAGAAGGTAGTATAGGTAGAGTGGGACCAGAATGTTCGGAAAGATTTCAAAATGCTGTATGGCGGACGGCGGTGGGGTTGGGCAGCAGTTTCAGAGGTGCTGTCCTTTAGATGCAGTATTAGATCAAGGTCCTGTCTGTCGGTTCAGCTGGACGTTAAAGATGCCGTGACATATCTTTCGTGCCTCCAATGAGTAATGCACAAACCCCATATTACGCCTCACAATTGCAACCTTGAAGGACATTGAATGTTAATTTGTGTCACCGCCCTGATGGAACGTACTGTCAGTGCCGGTGCCTGTCAGCATTGTCACCAGTGCCGGCATGAGTTGGAACTCGAAGACTCTGCGACCGCCACACGCCTGGCAGCAGGGGATGGCGGACTGATAGTTGGGTGGGGGTGAGGAAATGAACAAGGGGACTCCATTCCTCGAGTACCTGCAGGAAAAGCAATGACTCCCGTGAGGAACAATCCAGCGAGAAGACAGAGAAATAATACTAACAATAAGCCTTGCATTTGATATAGCACCTTATCTTGTCATTGAGACGTCTCAACGTGCTTCACAGAATATACTATAAAGTGAAGTGACGGTGTATTTTGCGAGTGAGACGCAGCGGCCAATTGCACAAGGCAGTGTCCCACAAACAGTGGTGGATTGAGTGACCAAATTATTATTTTATTTTATTATTAATTTATTTTGGGGGGGGAAGAGATTATTACCCTCAAGAACAGGTAGAAAGTACATGCACAGAACATCTAAGTACAGTAACTACAACTCAGCACACGACACAGAGATACTACAGACATGTACATACCATGCGGAGCAATAACAACGTGCATTTATCGAGCGTCCTTATGCAGGATAGTGTCTCAGGGTGCCACTCACCTCAGGATCTGGGACGGGCAGCATGCGATTTGTTTCATGAATTTCAGAAAGATTTGGTCTCCGTGCCGGACGTTAGACTTCTCGTACGTTTCTGTTTTGCTTGAACTTTCACAGCTGGAGAGCAAAACACATCACTTTACACTTTAAAATAAAACTGCTGCAGAAAATTGCATTGGGACTTGTCCAGCTGGGACCTCACAAGCAATCCTGGCTTTGGCTACAGTTCCAACAGGCAATAGTGCCCTGGATTCACTCCACAGCCTGAGGGTCTGAGGCCAAATATAGCCCCAATTACTACTCAGCCACTCAGCACAAAGCGGGGCTGAAATTAGCCACTCGGAGTGGATTTCAAACAGTCTGTGTGACTCCGTGGAATCAAGTGAGTTTACTCCAGAAGTACTCTGGGGCTTTCGATGGGTTTGAAAGCTCAATATGGACTCACCCCTCTGAGGCAATCCGCTGAATATCCAGACCTTCTCTGCTCTGGTATTCCTGCAGTAATCTCTGGTCATGATCTGAGCATTCAGCCGCCGTATAATCGTTCTCCTCTACCACACTGATATAAAAGGGCCGGAAGGTGTGACTGTGGAACAGCCTCCTGTCGGACACAGGACGGGGCTGGCAAGGCTCCTGCAGACTGAGGCCCTGAAAGCTGATCACCTGGGCAGCGACAAGGGGGTCTGCGGAGGGTGAGCAGACCCTTGTCGTCTCTGGCAACCGTTCAGGACTCGACCCCAACGTCACGGGGTCAGCGATCCCCCAGTCGTCGGCTTCATCACACCAGTCGCTGGTCGTCATGGAAAACTCCTGTTAAGAAGCAATCATCTGGAATTATTTTGTAACACATATTTCTTTCATGTCCAAAAAGATCAGTCAATAAACCTCTCGTCTCTGGGTCAGAAGTTTGTTGCTTAAAGCCTCACATCAGGACCTGAGCTCTCATTCCAAACTGACACTCCAGTGCAGTACTATACTGGGGGAGCGCTGTACTGTCAGAAGTCCTGTCCATTGGATCATTTAAAATGGAAATAGATTAGATACTTGGGAACGATATGGGAAATAGCAGGACAGGTTAGATGGGCAGACTGACCTCCTCTTGGCTCTACTTGCCAAGAAAACAAGCGCAGTTAAATAGACACAAGCCAGTGCAGACTCTCTCTTCCACAAACATACACAGATCAGATGAAGGTCAACTGACCTCTGTCACTTTGCATTCTCTCCCTCGATCTTCTTCTAGCGCCAGGTACTGGGAACGTAGCACCCTCCAGCTGCAGGACAAACAATGACGCAGTCAGATCTCTGGGCGCAAGCCTCGCATCACAAGACAGAGCAAAGTATGGCAATCCAGGCGGAGTGCAGGTCACACTTGCCCAGTGCAGTGCAATAGGAGAGCGAGGAGAACTCCAGAATAGGCAGTATTTGAAACGAAAAGGGAATTTCTCTCTCCCAGTTTCCTAGCCAACAATTCCCCCAAATAAAAATTTGTCATTTATTCTACAGCTGTTTGTGGGACATTATTGTGCGCAATTGGCTGCTGCGTTTTGCCCACAAAATATACAATCAATCCACTTTACAGTATATCCTGCGAAGCGCTTTGAGGCGTCTCGATGATGTGATAAGGCACTGTATCAAATGCCAGGATTATTAACGCTCAGGTGAGTGTTAAAATCCCGTGAGGCTACAGGTTTAAATTTTGCGGGCGGGTGAAAATATTGTTTTGTTAGAATATTACGTTGACGCACGAGTGATTTTCCCGTCTCTCCACTTACAGGGTTTGGAATTGAGCGCGGAATTACCTTTCCGAGTTCCCCCAACACTCCGGCCTTGCGCAGGCGAACACATTGATGACGCGGTGATAGGGGGAGTCCACCAAAGGGCAGTACACCTGCACCAGGTGGACGAGGGGATCGCCGCACGGAGCACAGTGAGGACACGGCATCGAGACGCCGGGCAGACAATCCTGGAGGAAAAGGACACCAGTCGTCAATAATCCCGGCATCTGACCCTCTGCGCCTCGGCACGTCCTCGAGATGTCCCAAAGCGCTTCACTGTAAAGCGAATCGACTTGTGCGTATTTTGTGGGCGGAAGTTTATCAAAAGTATAACAACAATAATCATTATTCTAACACGCAATAATTACTACAAACTCACGTCATTATCTCCATCATTACAGGAAACGCCGATAACAATAATAATGATTACGATAATGATGATTACAATAATGATTATTATTGTTATTGGCGTTTCTTATAACGTTGAGAATGATGTGAGTTTGTAGTAATTATTGTGTTATGTTGCGAAATAAGTTTATATGTCGAAATAGTTATTGATATTTAAAACATATCACCATTATTTCACTCAATAAACTGAAATAGAGAAACTGATTTATTTTTCTGGTCAAAATGAACGAGTTGTATTATTTACATTAAGATGGTTGTATATCATTATTATTATCATTATTATTATTATATTCCGGGGCATTTATTACGGATTTTATATTGAGACAAAAGGGTTTCCATCTCAATAGCATCGAATACACTTCGAACTGCACAATCATTGTTTTTTGCCCTGAAAAAAAAATCAAAGGGATATATTATTTAGAGTTGAGACGATTACATATGAAATGGACTCAATTTATTTATCAAAACTCGTAATTATTATTACTTCTGTTGTTATTATTTTTATTTATTTATGGGTTGGTTACTATTATTTATTAATAGAATACAATTAATTAATTAAATGTATTAATAAATAAATAATATAATGAATTAATTAAACGTCTTAATAAATAAATAATAGTAACCAATCAATAAATAAAAATAATAACAACAGAAGTAATAATAATTATGAGCTTTGATGACCGCAGTAAAACATTTTGGCGGACCAGCCCGGGGTTGAACTTACAATTCTCGGGGCCACCGTCAGACACCGCATCCGCTGCACCACTGGTCCGCCTACAGCCGCCCGGGACTCCGGGCCCCACGAAGCTGAGCGGCGCGGAGCGACGCGGCCTCCACCCCCCGGACCCGCGGACACTCGCTCCCTCCCCGGACTGCCCGGTCACCCACAGCCCCGACACGACCCCGGGGCCGGGCCTCGCTGCCGAGTGGGGCCGCTCCCCGGGGCCGTGAGGGCCGCTCCCCGGGGCCGTGTGGGCCGCTCCCCGGGGCCGTGTGGGCCGCTCCCCGGGGCCGTGTGGGCCGCTCCCCGGGGCCGTGTGGGGCCGTGTGGGCCGCTCCCCGGGGCCGTGAGGGCCGCTCCCCGGGGCCGTGTGGGGCCGCTCCCCGGGGCCGTGAGGGCCGCTCCCCGGGGCCGTGTGGGCCGCTCCCCGGGGCCGTGTGGGCCGCTCCCCGGGGCCGTGTGGGGCCGCTCCCCGGGGCCGTGTGGGCCGCTCCCCGGGGCCGTGTGGGGCCGCTCCCCGGGGCCCTCCTTACCGGCGCCGCTCCCACTTTGTTGGTGTCCCAGGAGCAGCGGCTCTCCTCCCGGATGGCGGTGTCTCTGATGCCCAGGAGCGGGGCCTCGGGCCCCGGGGGCCTGACTGAGGCCATGCGGCCTGTGGGTGAGATGGGGGGGCGGGGCCGACAGCCTCCGCTGTCTGTCCGGGCCTCGGGGCGTGTGCGGGGGGGGGAGTCTCAGGGAGGTGTGTGTGGGGGGGGGGTCGGTCTGTTTTAACTTTGGTAGTTGGTAGTTCAGTCACAGTTACAATCTCTATTAAAATAAATCAGACGTGTGCATCATTGAACGAACACATGAACATTCCTTTATTTTCCAGACACACAGAATGGATTATAATATTAATATTATTGTGACATTTCTCGGAATCACTTTAGACCAGAAGTCCATCCTGTATTGCCTGAACCTCTGCCTTACGCTGATGGTCAGGTTGAACAACTTGTATTGTTCTTTGGCATCAAACGATGGCCAATAGGAAAGATCGGGTGAGTTTGGGTCCCTGCAGAAAAGATGTGTTTTTTTTCTGTATTACGTATTAAATACAAATCGTCAGTGAAAGACAGTTTTGCAAATATTTCAATTGGAATACAGACTATATGCCTTTTATTCTCACTCTGGCAAAGTTGGATTGAGCAATACACCCAAGTATCCAACGGCAGGTTAACATTCCAGTCATACATTTTAGAAAAGATTTCGGACACCCACATTGTTAACGTAGTGAAAATAAGATAAGCTCTTGAATTCCCCACCCAATTGATCTTACCCATCAAGAGCAAAATTAATCCAGTGCTTCATCATGAGATTGTAAAGTCTCCTCTCTCCAGCCATGCTTCCTGTCGGAGAGAAACATAAGATTCTGCAGTCATAAGTCTCTTTGGACTTGGTTTTCTGTGTTTATTTGTCATCTGTGGAGTCCTGTAACTCAGTGGTTAGAGCACTCGCTTTGCAAGTGAGAGACCTGAGGTCAATCCCCGGCAGAGGGCGAAACCTCGGGCAAGTTTCCTTACTCCACACAGAGCCTAATAATAATCCCTCCAAAACCAAAAACAACAATAAATTGGTCATTTTCAATCCATATATATGACTGTTTGTGGGACATTGCTGTGCGCAATTGGCTGCCGCGTTCGCCCACAAATATACAGTCAATTCACTTTACAGTGTGTTCTGTGAAGCTCTTTGGGACGTCCTCCCGACGTGAAAAGCGCTATATCAAATGCAAGGATTATTACTATCTCTGGGATCTCGCTTCAAATCTAGTCTAGACTAGTTGGATGAGCATCTTACTTTCATCTGCAATACCGTCACTACACTTCACAATAGCGGTGTGGTTAGCATGCTTGCCTCACAAGCCAAATGACCTGGGTTTGATTCCCGGGTGGCGCGAAACCTTAAGCAAGTTTCCGTAATCCACACACCTCTGTTTACCGAACAGTAAGTAGAAACTCGGTTGTTAAGTCGATTGGAGGATCACTTTCTGGTGGACAAAAAAATGTGGGACACTGCTGTGCACAATTACCTGCTGTGTGCAATTGGCTGCCGTGCTTCGCATATAGAATACACAGTCAGTTCACTTTACAATATACAGTATTCTGTGAAGTGCTTTGAGACCCCTCAATGACATGATGAGGCACTGTATCAATTGCAAGTATTATTACAATAAATCCTGTGAGGTGGTTTGAAATAATATATAATAATAATTCTTGCATTTTATATAGCTCCTTATCACGTTTTTGAGACCTCTCAAAGCACTTCACACAATATTCTGTAAAATAAATTGACTGTATATTTTGTGGGTGAAATGCGGCAGCCAATTAAATACAGCAGTGTCCTACAAACAATCGTGGATTGAGTGACCAATTTACTATTATTTTAGTGACCAATTTATTATTATAAACATCCTGACATGAAAAGTGATCTATCAAATCTGAGGATTTTTGTCATTGTTGACATTTTTGATCTTATATACTTGCTGTTCATCCAATGAGAATCATGTACTGTATTGCAGAAACAATAATAATTTGGTCACTTAATCCAAGACTGTTTGTGGGTCACTGCCAGTATCTACATTCTAACAAATGCAAGTTGTTTTCCACACGTGCTCTCCTGCTTACTGCATGGTTGGGTAAAATGTAGTAATAATAAAATAAATAATATTCCTTGCATTTGATATAGCTGTGCGTAATTGGCTGCCGCGTTTTGCCCACAAATAGACAGTCAATTCACTTTACAGTCTATTCTGTGAAGCACTTTGAGACGTCTAGAAGATGTGAAAAGCGCTATATCAATTATTTTATTATTACTATATTTTACCTAACCATGCAGTAAGCAGGAGAGCACGTGTGGAAAACAGTTTGCATTTGTTAGAATGTAGATACTTCAGTACAAGCAGACATGCCTGGGGAGCCCACTCTATCAGCTAGAGCTGACTTAGAGAGCTCAACGTTCAGTTTTATCATTGATCAGTATGCAAAAGAGAATTTTACCTAATGTTGTCTTTATATCAGGTTTGATATTGCCTCCAAAGACAAATGGCAACCTGGTGTAAACTGTGAGGTCAGAAAATAGAGTGTTGAAGTGTGAAGTATGCTCTATTTCATAGAAGTACACAGTGCATTCACCATCTGCAAAACAACAGTGACCAAAACCAATCATAGTCATTGCAAATTCAGCCTAGAAATCTATCAGAGCAAAGCCCTTCCCACTCACACCCGGTGTAAAAAATCCCAATAATAATCCTTACATTTTGTTTAGCATCTGTCACATAGGGAGGACGTTTCAAAGCACTTCACATGATACACTGTAAAGTGGAGTGACTGTATTTTACAGATGAATGTGAGAGCCAATTTGTACACCGCAGTGTCCCACACACAGCATGCAGTGAATGACCAATTTTATTGGGGGGTTGTTGGCCAGAGTTTCTCCTGGAGTCCTGGGAAAAAAATCCACCAGATAAAATTGGTCAATCACTTCAGACTATTTGTATGACTTTGTTGTTGCAAAATGGCTACTGTTTTCGCCTACAAAATAGTCATTACACTTTGTTGTAAATACTGTGAAGCGCTTTGAGACGTCCTCCAGATGTTGAAATGTGGTGTATCAAAATCGAGGATTATTGATCGCTCACTCACAAGCTATTTTCCTCCTGCCTCCCTCCCTCACTCACCTCTGAGAAATTGGGCAGTCTGAATTAATGGAATGATTACAAGGGCATCAGTTGTCATTTCAATAAGGTTGTCAAGTATGGAGAGAGGATGAGTCACATTTGTGAAGTACTCCTTAAAAATTTTCTCTGCTGACTTCACTCCAAACTGTGATTAGAAAGTTAAATCAATGGTTAATGATGATATTTCAATAAATCCTTTCACCCATCCAGCTGACTGAGCCCTGACCAGCTCAGTCAGCTGGATGTCATCAAAAAATAGATTGACGGCCTGATTTCTGACGTCTGTATCAGGGCGTTAAACATTTTAACTGAGACTTTTTTTTGTAATTGTTCAATTTTTTTGTAAAAAAGAAACATTGAAACTAGGTGGTGGAAGGCAAAATAGATGGACCAAGCAAGTTCTTATGTTCTAAACTGACTTAGCAGAGTGTAGACTGCAATGTAGCCTGTCCCCCCAAAACAAACTTTTATTTTATAGAAAGCTTAAAGACCACCATTGCTGAAAAGAGCCGAGACGATCAGGTCTGAACAAAGCCAAAGCCGCACCCCACCACACACACACACACACACGGTAACGTTTCCCATGGTGCTTTTCCCCTTAAAACTATCAGGATTGAGCATTAAACTATCTTACCAACGGAGTCAAATGTTTGTTTATAAAACCCATTGCTGTTTCTTTTGATATTCCTTGGAGCCATTCTGGTAGAACGTACGTCTGTGATAAAAAATAAAATCTGAGTTATAATAATAATCCTTGCATTTGATAAAGCGCTTTATCACGTCTTCAAGACGTCTCAAAGCACTTCACAGAATATACTGTAAAGTGAATTGACTGTATATGTTGTGGGCGAAACACGGCAGCCAATTGCGGCCAGCAGTGTCCTACAATTAGTCATGGATTGAGTGACACAATTATTATTTTTTTTGAAGGGATTATTACGCCCAGAAAAGCGATCCGCCAATTGACTAACAACCGGGTTCCTACTTACTGCTGGGTAAACAGAGGAGTGTGGAGTAAGAAAATTTGCCTAACATTTCACCCTGCCCGGGAATCGAACACAGATCCTATCGCTTGCGAGGCAAGTGCTCTACCCACCAATCTACAGGACTCCACTATAGTCTTGCAGTAACCACTGTATTCTTACATGTATAATGTGGTCAACCACGCCATAAGTGTCCAGCCCGATCAGATACCAAATCCTCCGAAAATGTCGATCTGCCAATATCCTTCTGGGATCGTCAACAATTACCTTCCCATCCATCACGACCGGGATTACCTGATACTTTTTATTCTGAAACGCCAAAAGTAACAACTACAACAATTTGCAGTTATATAGCGCCTTTACGCAGGGTAGCGTCTTGGAGTGCTTAACAGCGGAACCTGATGCTGAGCCAAGGGGAGGTGACTGTAAGCATGGTCGAAGAGGAAGGCCTTTCGGCATGATCTAAAAATGGGGAAGGAGGGGGTAATAATAATAATAATCCTTACATTTGATATAGCTCCTTATCATATCGTTGAGTTGTCGTAAAGTCCTTTACAGAATATACTGTAAAGTATAGGGACTATATAGTTTGTTGGTGAAACGCGGCAGCCAATTGTGCACAGCAATGTCCCACAAACAGTCATGGATAGAGTGACCAAATTATTATTTTTTTATTACCTGCTTACTCCCCACTCCACCACCTGCCTCCGCTTGGCTGGCTCCAGAGGCAATAAAAACTGTTACCACGTTTACAGAGGGATTGAGAGAGAGAGTTCCAAAGTTTCGGGGCACAGTGGCTGAAAGCACAGCCACCGATGGTGGAGCAGAGGGGATGAGGGATGAACAAGTGGCCAGAGCCAGCTGAGAGGAGACAGCAGGTGGTGGAATCAGGTGCAAGCAGGTCGGGAAGGAAGGGAGGTGCAAGGGTGTGAAGGGCGCTAGTCATTTGTATTGAAATCCTGAATCGTCTTCTTGACTGCCTCTGAAGGTCAAAGCTCAACACCACCTCAGAGGGCCAGAGAGTAACCCCCCCCCACCCGCAGGCAAGCACCCAAGAAGCAAAACAAACAGCATTTCACTGAGTGAAATTATCAATAATACTTTTAAAATAAAAACTTACCACATTTATGATGATTGTTCTCATTTCATCTTCTGTTTTATTCCTCAGGCAACTGAGGATCTCCATGGAATTTCTTGTGTTGCAGTTGCCTATCTGAGAAGCTTCCTAGAAAGTTGTAGAGAAAACACAATCAGTCAGCTCAATCCATTGCCTTCAGTCAGAGTCTCGTAGTGTAGTGGTTAGAGCACTTGCCTCGCAAATGAGAGGACCTAGGTTTGATTCGCAGGCAGGGCGAAACCTTAGGTAAGTTTCCATATTCCACACACCTCTTGTTACCCAGCAGTAAGTAGGAACCCTTTAAGTGCGCTGACATGCTACCCTGGTGGAGATCCCTATATAAGTGTAAGTTGTTGTTGTTGAACCCGGTTGTGAGTTGATTGGTGGATTGCTTTCTGGTGGCAATAATCCCTAAAGGCAAAACATTTGGTCACTCAGTCCACAACTATTTGTGGGCCACTGCTGTGCGCAATTGACTGCCACGTTTCACCCACAAAATACGCAGTCACTCCACTTTACAATGTATTCTGTGAAGAGCTTTGAGACGTCTCAACGATGTGATAAGACGCGATATCAAATGCAAGGACTCTTATTATATTCCTGGTCTTTGACCCATTCAGCATGCTCTTCTGGTTATGTGCTGTGTGGCAGTGAGGTGAGGAAAGCTCAGGCTCAACCTCAGCAGTCGAATGGCCTACACACACTCCCTGCTCACTTCACACGTGGACAACGGGGACTGGAGGATCCAGAGCCCATGGAACTTGTCTCTGCTCCCGGTCACCACAATGAGGGTGGTGACCTAGAGCAGAGACAAGTGCTAAAATTAAAAGCCAACTGGAAAATAATTGGACATGTTTCAAAAATGCACTTCTGAAGATTCAATAGAAGAAAGCTGTTTACGTGAGCGAGCTGTGTTTTGTTTGGTGTGATAATGCCTGGTATCAGAGCAGAGCCACCTTCAATTATGACTCTGTGGAACAAGGAGGACGTCATAGGTAATAAAGCCTAGAAAACACAGGAAAATATATTCAGTATAAATTAAAATCTTTGTTTTTCTCCTCTCCTGCTCTGAAGCAGTATCTCGTACTGGGGTTGGCTTGTACAGGCTGGCGATTCTCCAGGCCTTGCCTGATAGCCATTGTTCATATCTGAGGGTGACGGAAAGTGTTGGGAAACTACTGAACCATGGGAGACTTTCCCATGAGAGGATACAGCTTGTGCTTTGCTTGGTTCTCACTTCCAATGCCCTTCACTGATCGCTTTCAATAGCAATTGAGACTCGGATATTATGTAACACAGCGAAAACAAACGCCTGTTTCTAAACATTAAAATCCACGTGGATTCATAACAACATAAGAACATAAGAAATGCCAGACGAAAAAAAAAGACCAAGGTCCATCTAGTTTGCCTTCCACCTTCCTGGCGGTCACATGCACATATGTCCCAAACTCCCTATGTACGATATCCTATAATGTGATTTCCTAAAAGGAAACTGTCTAATCTGTGTTTGAAAGAATCAACACTTCCTACTCCACACTCCTAATAATAATCCCTCCAAAACCAAAAACAATAATAAAAATTGGTCATTTTCAATCTACGACTGTTTGTGGGACATTGCTGTGCGCAATTGGCTGCGCATTCGCCCACAAATATACAGTCAATTCACTTTACAGTGTGTTCTGTGAAGCGCTTTGGGACGTCCTCCCGACGTGAAAAGTGCTACAGCAAATGCAGGGATTATTATTATTATTATTATTCAACCGTCTCCCTAGGGAACCTGTTCCACAGGTTCACTATTCGCTCACTGAAATAGTGTTTGCGTAGATTTGTTCTGAATTTATCCCCCTTCAATCGCAGGCCATGACCTCTGGTTTTACTATACAGCACAAGTTGAAACAGCCTGTCATGATCTATATTGTTTTGCCCCTTTAGAATCTTAATGACAGCAATCATGTCGCCTCTCAATCTTCTCTTTTTCAGCGTGAACATGCCCAATTTACTTAGTTGCTCCTCATAGTCCTGTCCCTCCCTTCCATCAATCGTTCATCTCAACTTCTCCAATACCCTTTTGTACTGCAGTAACCAGAACTGTACACAGTCTCTAAGTATGATCTCACCAATGATTTATACAGTGGCAGGATTACCCCACTATTTCGGCTGCTATTGGTCTTTTGATACATCCCAACATTTGGTTTGCTTTTCTCACTGCCACAGAGCATTGCTGGGAGAGCTTCAATTTATTGTCAATCAGTACCTTCCAGGTCTTTTTCATTTTCCATACATATTATTTTCCTTCCGTTCAAATAATTGTCCATCCTAGGATTTTTTGTCCCCATGTGAAGTGCTTTACATTGAATTTCATCTGGCACTGATTTGCTCAATTCCCAAGTATGTTCAAGTCTTCCTATGACCGATCTTGTTCAGCTTTGCAATCTACCTCCTTCATTAGCTTGGTGTCATCTGCAAAGTTAGCCACTGTGCTTGAGACTCCTAGTTCCAGATCATTTATTAAAATATTAAACGCTAGACGTCCCAAAACAGACCCTTGTGGAACTCCACTGGTAACAGTTTCCCAATTTGATGACATTCCTGTACCACCACCCACTGGGTTCTTCCGGTCAACCAATTGTGTATCCGTTGTAATATACCTCCACTGATTCCCACTTTATTTACTTTCAGTACCAGCCTTTTAAGAGGCCTTACTGAAATACAGTTATACAACATCCACAGCCTTAACCTTATCAAGCTCCCTTGTCATACCGTCAAAGAAAAACAGTAAATTAGAAGACCTTCCCTTCATGAACCCATATTGGTTATCATTTATGATTTATTTCTGTCCAGATGCTCCATGATTTTATCCTTAATAAGTCTCCATAATGTTAACCACCTTTGGAGATTCCTTTCCTTTGTACCTGGGTACAACACGAGTCTTCCTGTCAACTTTCTCTGTTCGAGTGAAAACCACCCCAGTTTATCTAGTATCTCCATGATCGCCTACTCCCATCCATTGTATCACTGGTCACTCACTCCATAGCTGTTTATGGAACACTGCTGTGCTCAAAGTGGCTGCCACATTTCACCCACAAAATATAGTCACTCCACTTTACAATATATCATGTGAAGAGCTTTGAAACGTCTCGTTGATGTGTTAAGGAGCTTTATCAAATGCAAGAATTATTATTATTATCATCCTCTCTGTGATCTTGGCATATTTCCTAAATTGGGCACCCTAAAATGGACCCAGTATTCTACCTGACGCCTCACCAATAACATGTTCAGGTTAATTATTGCCTCTTTGCTCTCGTATCCAAATCAACATTTTTTCCCTTCCATCGCTACTAAAAAAACTATTTGTTCTTACTTAAATTAAAACGTTTGAGAAGAGACTGAAATAACAGAAGCAATATGTTTCAAGCTTACAAACAGCGAGGAACTAATGGCCCCGGAAAATTGTCCAAACAGTGTAACTGATTCCATATCACCAGCAAAGCGTTCTATATTTTTCTGTACCCAGAGCAGGGCTGCTAGCTGATCCACCATGCCGAAGTTCCCTTCTGCCCACTTGTCACCTGTGCTGCAATCAAGTTGGAAATGGTATTAGACAGAGGTGTGCTGGGGGCTTGAGCAGTGGGAATATAAACCCAGCCGCAGCACAAGAAAATGCACGGAAAGTACACAACACACACAACCCGGGACAATGACTTGTGTGCTGAGTCAGAGAGGGAAGGCTCAGCACACCGTACTGAGTTTAAGCAACAAGACATTGCCCCATGCAACTAGGCGCAGCCACGGGGTAAAAATAAGACACAGGGGAGACAGACAGAGACCCAGAGAGAGAGAGAGACACACACAGACATAGAGAGAGAGAGAGAGAGAGACGAACTGACAGTGATCATGTCCATCAGAATAAGCTACTCAGAAGGACAGTATTGAGGAGCAGGCATGCACCTTGTCTCATGGTTTTAGACGATACATTGCCCAGTGTGACCAATGGAATAACAGAAAATACAGAGATTCAATCCCCTCAAAAACTCTATGTTTGCAGAAAGAAGAAAAATATGAAACATAAAGGGAGTTAACTATTTGGCCCGTAGCTCCAGCGTCTCCAGTGTCTTCGCCTGTCTCACAAACATCCAGACACCTACCTGAGGAAGCCCGCTATGCCCAGCCGGTACTGAATAGAAACCACAACTACACGGTGCAGAGAGACCATTAGATAGCCCTGAAAATCAGAACTGCTTCCTGTTATTAATCTGTCTCCGTGGATGCACACAATCACCTGGAAGGAGATGGGGAACAAAGGAACAATTTTAAATTACAAAAATTCAAGGAAAAAAATCGCAAAATGAATCAAAGTGTGGGAATAGAAAGTGTCTGAGAAACAAATGCCGACAACAACAACTTGCATGTCTTACAGAGCATTTTTAAGAAATGGTCATGGAAAGGTTCCACAGTGGAAGGAAAGAGGGGTCAACTGTCTTCAGGAGAGGAAGGGAACAAGGGAGGAGCAAGACATTGTGGATGCAAAAAGCTGGACTCCCAATCCCTGTGCTCCTTAAAAACATTAAATACAACAAATAGTCATTACATATTATATCTTCTTTGCTCCCTTTGATAAAGCGCAGGTCAGCATATTGTATGGCCACCAAGGTGTTGACTCACTGGGAGAGGATTGTAATTGTGCAGGTCTGTGTTGAGCTCTGGAGTGTACACATCAAGATAAAGACAGTCCTCACTGATCCGCAGTGGGGGGGATTCGTCATCATCATCATCATCATTAACCAATTCTTGCAGACACCTGAAAAATATTGGAGAAAAGAGAGCTGGAGAGACTGTGCAGAGTACATGATTTGTAGCAGTAGATACTGGATAACCGGATACCAGCTTAGCCAAATGGAAAACCTGGCCAGCTGTCAGAGCCACAAGCCCACAGGGCCAGGAATAACATGGCTGGCTTCTGGGTGCCAGTAACTTGTAGCATTGTGTGTTGGGGTGGGAGGGCGTCTCCAGAGATAAATAACATATCACCTAGGGACTTTTTTCAATAATGTGTTAGTTATCCCATTGCATCCTGCTATTTTCATCCCACTGTTATCCTGAAGGTGGAGTTCTCAGGATTGGACCCAGAGTAGTTCTACCCCAGGGAAGGAATGTACAGAAAATATCCCTATGGAACATGTCGTGCTATGTGACAACTGAGATAGATACACTTAGCTTTTATCTTTATGAAGATTTACAAACGAGAGATTCATTTGTTTGAACCATTGATGCATTTTAGAAAAACAACATTATGATAAAGTTTATCAAATTCATGACTCCAGTGGGCAGTACTATTGAGGCCAGATTTGCTACTGATCGTGTGAGTGGGGATTGTTACAATCAGACAGAGAGTTGTGTTGAAGACTGTTCCCAGGGAGTTTGGGAATTCCATACATACTTCGGAGCGTGTTGCGTTGTGTTCCTGACGCCTTTCCATGGCTTTGGGTCCTTTGGATAGGTAAACCTCAGGGGTCCCACAGGTGGCTCTGCAAACGGTATTCCTAAATAGAAGAAAACCTTAACCTTCTGAATTTCTTCCATTCCTCCCTGTATCAGCCCACCAGTAACAGGAACGATGGGTGATGGTTTGACTGTAAGAAAGAAAAAGATATTAACTAATATACAGTCTGTGTCCAGCGCCTTGGGACGTCCTCCCGATGTGAAAGGCGCTATACAAATGTAATTTTGTTGTTGTTGCATCACTCAAAATCTCTCCCTCCCTTTCTCAGTTAGTGTTTATTCAGAAGTCAATGCTCTGGTCCGACGTGAAAAAGGCTGTGTGTAAATGTTATGTTTCTGGAAGGGAAACATAAAAACTATTGCTCCTGCAGCCCGTGGAATTTTCTCAAAGCTGGCATCTGGCCCTATCTGATTGTGACTTGTTTTTTTCTTTGCTGAAAATGCTACATGTCTGTGTTTGAAAATAGCATGTACATCCCTCAGGGAAGCACAGACAAAAAANCTAATTCAAGGCTGTAAAGTAGCAAACGGATCATTTGTTACTTTCTCGCTGTTTCAAAGAAACAGTTGTGTTTGTAAGAAATGGAAAGCTCCTCTGTCCTTTGACTCAGCAAAAGTACCTCAGGTGGGGGTTGGGGCTGGACATAAGATAAGTATCATCTTGGCTCAGTTGGTCGTGCTCTTTGTCTGTGGGTCGGTAGGTAAGGCCCACGCCAGGGTTCTAGCTCACTGACCCTCACTGAAGATTAGTCATTTGGGTAAGACAGAGAGCACCAATAAGAGAGAAGGGAATTCAATAAGGAGGGGGGAATAACTTCTTGTCTTTTTACTCAATATTGAGTAATATGAATCCATTACCTGAAGCCGAAGATATTGTCCACAAGATGATCAAGTTGAGAGAGATGATGAATGAACAAGTTCTCCAGCCCATCGCTCTGTAGGTAGAAGACTTCTGTACAGTCCAGCTCTCACTTTGTATCCAGTGGAGGTGAGGATGGAGCATAAAATGGCAGGAATGGAACCAAATGTCACTGTATGGAGGAAGCAGCTGATCTCTCTCTCTCTCTCTCTCCTGTCTGAGGAACCAATGGACTGGTGACGCTGGTTATCTGTCAGCCGCTGGAGGCTGGCCTGACCCTGACCTCAGGGCATCTACTCATTCGGAAATGAAATTCCTGATTACTTTAAAAGTATAATTAACCCTTTTGCCATCTGCTATGAAACAACAACATTACGTTTGTATAACACCTTACATGTCGGGAGGATGTCCCAAGGCGTTAGACAGACAGAGTTACGGACCTGAGCTGAGGGTCAAGGTGGGGGAGGGTGGAGGGCAGGGGGGGGAAGCAGGGAGATCAAAAGCACAGTTGAAGAGGAGGGTCTTGAGGTGAGTCTTGAAGGTGGTGAGGGAGGGGGCGAGATGGAGGGACTACGGGATGGAGTTCCAGATGGTTGGTGCAGAGTGGCAGAAGGTGGAGGGCTTTGAAGGTGAGGGCCAGGATCTTGAACTGTATCCTCTGTGTGTTGGGAGGGCCAATGGAGTTGAGTAAGGATGGGGGTGATAGGGTCACAGAGCCTAGTGCGGGAGAGGACACAGGCTGCAGAGTTCTAGATGATCTGCAGCCTGTGGAGGCTGACAAGCAGGGAGTTTGCATAGTCGAGCCTCGATGTAATGAAGGAGTGTATGTTACATGCTTTGTTAATATGCTACATGCTCTTATTTCTCTGTTTATCGCAATGTAAACACCCACTAAAATTCAGTTGGTGTTGATAGGATATTTTTGTGTGGGATTCCCCACAACAGTAGGGCTATTACACCTGGGAAACCTTGTTGTGACATGTCCCTCTGGTGCTGGAGGGCAGAACAGTAACTTAGGAAATTAAATATCAATTGTGTGACTGTGTTACAATGGTGAGCATCCTGTTCTCTGGGATAAAAATAATCCGAAATAACTGACGTTTACTGAAGCTGTTGCCAAGTGGAGGAACACAGCTCAAAGGACCCCAAGACTTTATTTGCTGTTTTCCTTTGTTCCTAATCTTTGGAATATAGGAAAACAGGAACAGAAGGACACTATTTAACCTCTCAAGTGTTGTCAAAATCTTTTGGTCCAATTTAGGATAAAAAATGGAAATATTAAAGATGATTTAGTTTCATTTTTAATAAGTTGTACTTCATAAATCCTTTTAAAATTAATTCACAGGAGTACACAAGATGATTTAACAGAATTTCCCACGTGACTTTATCCTCTCAGTTCAGCAAGAATAGAGCATGCACCGTCAGAATTTAAAGATTATTGAGTTATGTTTTCTGATCACACAGACTTCAATATCACTACTCCTGGAAGATTTGCTTTTTATAAAAATGAAGATATCTTTCATATGAAGACACTGGTCGTTAGAGGTCTGAATGGTTGATATTCTCCTCTCCTTCAGGGCCTTCGGTTCCCCTTTGGGCTTTCATTTCCTGGATTTTTTCTGGCAGACTGTCGAACCAGAATTTCATCCGATGTTCTTTTAGTTTTGTGCCAGGCTCCTGCTTCAGATTTAGCTGCATATACCTTTCTTCATGGTCATAGAGTGGCCAAAACACCAGTCCATCCCCGTTTGGGTATCTGAGGTTGAAGTAATTTAACACACTAATTACATTTCTACACAAGGAAATTCTTGGATAATCAGCAATTGACTCTCCCAAGTCCCCCAGCTCAGTGCATGGTGTGCGATTGAGCCAAAGTTATATCAGATAATTTCAAGATGTGATAGCAGTAGAGGTGCTATAATTAGCCTCAGTGTCTTAATAATCTTTGATGTAGCACCTTATATCGTTGAGACGTCTCAAAGTGTTTTAGAGGATATGCTGAAAAGTGGAGCGACTGTATGTTTTGTGGGTGAAACCCAGTAGCCAATTTATGCACAGCAATGTCCCACAAACAGCCATGGAGTGACCAAATTTATCGGGGGGGGCTTGTTGGCCAGGCTACCGGTAGAAACTCCTTTCTCTTTTCGAATAGCGCTATGGGATCCCTGATTTAACGTCCACCTGAACAGGCAAATGGTCCTCAGTTTAATATCTCTGAAGGACGGGATCTCCAACAATGCAAACCCCTCCCACAGCACTGCAGTGGAATGTCATCTTAAACTACGTGTTTCCAAGTCCTGACTTGGGGCTTGAAACCACAACCGTCCAGACTCCGAAGCAAAAGCATTACCACTGAGCCAAGGCTGAGATGAATTACGAGTTTCTCACAATGGGGTGGGGGGGAATCAAATCAGTAATTCTAGAAAGCTAGTGCACAATATTGCCTATGAATTCATCCTGTTCAGCTTGTACAAAGCCTCTTATATTGCTACAATCTCATTTTATGCAAGAACCTTACACCTGAGAAATGTGACTTTCATCCAATTAGTCTGGTTCGAATTAAAAAGTCTCTGCCACACTTATCTTTTATTTAAGGTTTGCCCAATTTTTAAAATGGTATTGCACCCAGTTACTAATGCATTTACCCATTTCTTGCAAAGTTAGCCCAGTACGACATCATTGTTCTGCTCAAAACAGCTTCCTCCTCCGTCAGATTACCTGCATTAAAATAAAATCAGATTAACATACCATCAAAAGTATCAGAAGGGATCAGTCAGCAATCAAATAACGAATGAGAATTTTGACAGGGTGAATAGGGAAAATCTAATTCCACTGGTCGTCATCATGAATCAGAAATAGCTCCTAAAACAGGGATAATACTGATAATAGATTGGGGAGGAAAAAAAATGTATTTTAAAAAATGTTTATTTCTTACCAGTCATTTTGATAAAAGAATTCCCGAAGTGAGCACCAAAAACAAATATAATGTCATCTCCATGATCAGACTTCACAAAATCTGGCCGGCTGGTTCCATAAATAGTTGGGCGATGCTGAAATTCATACAGGAACACAGAGTTTCCAGCATCTGAGAAGAGCAGAGAGGAAATTAAATGTACAATTTCAATATTCAAATCTCAACCATTGAACTCTTAACACCCTCTTACGCACTATCTTACTTTATAAAAGGCTTTGTTACCGACTTGTTTACAATCTAGACCACCAGCCCTGTAGTTACCCCCACAGTATCCATTATAATAGAGAACACGCCCACCCCACCAAACAGAGCCCCTACCTCTGGCTTGCTTTTGATTGAACTGGGAAAACAGAGGAATCCCATATCATAAAAGTGTTTTTAGGCTGGCAGAGGGTACTTTCTTGCCACCATAGAATCAAGGTGTTGTAGGCAGAGGGAGTCAGTCTTATGTGATTGAGAAGCTGAGTGAACAAGCGCAGCAGGGAACGGCTTGAAGCACCAAATTAGTGGCATGAACCCAGGGTGGAGGGGGGAAAGAAGAGAATAAGCTTCTGGAAGCAGTATTTCCTCCGGCATAATAATAATAGTCCTTACGTTTGGTACAGTGCCTTATTGTGTCAAAGCGCTTCACAGGATTTTGTTGTCAAGTGTAATAATAATAATCCTTGCATTTGATATAGCGCTTTTCACGTCTTTGACAACAACAACAACAACAACAAGATTCCATTTATAAAGCGCCTTTCACGTCAGGAGGACGTCCCAAGGCGCTGCACAGTTGGGTCATGACCCGAGCAGGGGGGAAATGGTCAGGGTGAGGGGAGGGGAGGGAGGGAGCGAGGAGGGGGGAAATGGTCAGGGTGAGGGGAGGGAAGGGAGGGAGCGAGAAGGGGAAGAGAGTCGAGAGGGGAGCTGAAGGCACGGTCAAAGAGAAAGGTTTTGAGACCGGCCTTGAAGGAGGAAAGGGAGGAGGCAAGGCGAAGGCACTGGGGGATAGAGTTCCAGAGCCTCGGGGCTTTGACGTCTCAAAGCGCTTCACAGAATAAACTGTAAAGTGAATTGACTGTATATTTGTGGGCAAAACGCAGAAGCCAATTGCGCACAGTAGTGTCCCACAAACAGTCGTGGATTGAAAATAACCAATTTATTATTGTTTTGTTTTGGAGGGATTATTATTAGGCTCTGTGTGGAGTAAGGAAACTTGCCCAAGGTTTCTCCATGCCTGGAATTGAACCCAGGTATCTCGCTTGCAAGGCAAGTGCTCTAACCACTGAGCTTCAGGACTCCACAGTCTAGTGTAGTGACTTTGAATTTGTAGATGAACATGGTAGCCAGTTTGTGCACAATAATATCCCAGAAATAGAAACTCCCTTCTCTTTTCAAACAGTACAATGGGATCTTTAAGGTCCACCTGAACAGGCAGACGAGGCTTGGTTTAACATCTTATCTGAAACTGCATTGGAGAATCAGCCTAGACTGTGAGTTCAAAGTCCTGACGTCATAGGGTTTGAACTCACAACCTTCTGACTCAGAGGCGAGGATGCCACCAACTCAGATCGACAACGCAGAACTCACCTCTGTGCAATTTGGCAGTTCGGATAGTCGGGAACACCATCATGAAATCACCCATTAATTCTTGGTACAGGTCCCGGACCTTGACTCTGTCTTCTATGTCTCCCATATATTCATTTATTGTTAGCTCCAAGAACTCATTTTGAAAAATCTGTTCATAGGAAGCAAATAACAGATTTGCAGTTGTTAGATAAAGCAGACGCACAGTGGACACTGAATAATGTTCACCAACCACTGAGCTCCATGGAGCTGAACTGGTTCCAAGGATGCCCCAAAGTGCTTGACAATGCTGGTTGGGCTGAGACAGGTGAAGAGGGGAAAATGACTGGCAGTGCGGTCAAAGGGATATTTTGAGGGGCACCTTGAAAGAGGGGAAGTGAAGAAGCCAGTTGAAGGACCTGTGAATAATGTACAGTCCTGATTGGCTCGCGTCAGCGCCTCCGCACCTCAGGCGCTGACAGCATCAGCATCCAAGGCTGCACTCTCCACCTCTCAAGGCCATCAGGAACCTCGGGGTTCTGTTCGACCCTGAGTTGTCCTTTCTTCCCCACATCCGCGCCACAACTGGCACCGCCTTCCATCACCTCCGGAACATCGCCAGACTACGGCACTACCTCACCCCTCACATTGCTGAAACTCTGGTCCACGCCTTTATCACCTCAAGGCTGGACTATGGGAACTCTCTCCTCGCCGGCCTTCCCGCCACCTCCCTCCACACTGCAGGTCATTCAGAACTCTGCAGCTCGTGTACTGTCCCGCACCAGACACTGCAACCACATCACTCCCACCCTCGCCCTCGCTCGCCTCCACTGGCTCCCCATCTCACAGAGGATCGAATTCAAGATCCTCATCCTCACCTACAAGGCCATTCATGGCCTTGCACCCTCCTACCTCTCTGACCTACTATCCCCCTACTTACCTGCCCATACCCTCCCTTCCTCTGGCTCCGGTCTGCTCCACGTCCCCTGCCCCAACCGCCCTACCATCAGTGGCCGGGCCTTCAGCCTCTCAGCCCCGAGGCTCCGGAACTCCATCCCCCAGTGCCTTCACCGCTTCCTCCCTTTCCTCCTTCAAGGCCGGTCTCAAGACCTTTCTCTTTGACCGTGCCTTCAGCTCCCCTCTCGACTCTCTACACCCTCCTCGCCCCCTCCCTTCCCTCCCCTCACCCTGACCATTCCCCCTCTCCTCGCTCCCTCCCTTCCCTCCCCTCACCCTGACCATTTCCCCCCCTCCTCGCTCCCTCCCTCCCCTCGCCCTGACCATTTCCCCCTTCCTCGCCCCTCCCTTCCCTCCCCTCACCCTGACCATTTCCCCCTCCTCGCCCCTCCCTTCCCTCCCCTCACCCTGACCATTTCCCCCTCCTCGCTCCCTCCCTCCCCTCACCCTGACCATTTCCCCCCTCCTCGCTCCCTCCCTCCCCTCACCCTGACCATTTCCCCCCTGCTCGGGTCCTGACCCAACTGTCCAGCGCTTTGGGACGTCCTCCCTACGTGAAAGGCGCTCTATAAATGGAATCTTGTTGTTGTTGTTGTACAGGGGATCTACCATTTCTCTTGGAGTGAACTTGATGGCCTACCAGAGCTTTTTCGTCTTCTGTGTATATAATAACAACAATATGTCTGCATATATCATCGGGGAGGGCGGAAGATATGTGGAGACCAAGGCAGCAGCTGCATTGAGCCCATCAAGTTGTGCAAAGGGTATTTGGAACCAAAAGGAATAATAGATTTGGAAACCGAGGGATTGGTTGATTTATTGCTATTCTGAAATTTCCTACAGTACTGCACTTACTGCCTATTGCAATTGCAGCTGCTAATCACACTGGAAGATTCAGTTTAAAATATGAGGCTGAGAACTTACCGACGATAGAAGGCTTTTGAGGAAAGGCAAGAGCACCTCCCGGTCTATTCCTTCCTCCCAGCCTGATAGGTTGAACATCTGTTGAAAAATGCTATATTAAAATCCAAAGTCAAGGTTCAAGATAATGACAGATTCATTCTTCTCAGTTGGTGTACAGCAGTGTATATTCTCAAAATATATAGTGAAGATGACAGATTTCAGTCAATTTAACAATGTAATAAATAATACAATGATGCTTGCATCTACAACAATCCTAGCCTTACTACACTGTCAAGACATCTCAAAGTGCTTCACAAGATTTTACTGTGAAGTGCATGAAATCCTGGATATCTGCAGGTGAAACACAGCAGTCAATTTGCGGGCAGGAATGTCCCACAAATGGCAATGAAGTGAATGATTAATTTTATTGGAGGATTGTTGATCAGGGCACTGGGAGAAATTCCCTGTTCTTTTTAAATAGTGCCATGGGATCCTTGATGTCCACCTGAACAGGAAGAAAGGATCCAGGTTTAATGTTTTGTTTGAAGGACACTACCTCTAACAATGCAGCACACCCACAGCATTGCATTGTTAGTGTAGACTGAGTTTAAAGCCCAAACATGGGGTTTGAACCCACTACCTTCTGACTAAGAGGCGAGAGTGCTACTAACCGAGCCAGGCTGACAAATACAGTGGACATCGATGGTGGAAGTGGGTAGGATTGAGCTCATCCTTTCAGGTAATTGGCCATGCTCACAAAAGAGAAACAGCCATCTGATTGAGACACAGAGGCAGACGGTAGCCATAGAACCACAAGGTGGCTAGAATCAACACTTTAAGAGAGTGAAGAAAATTTTTGGAGAGGAGGAAGAGGAAAAAGCAATCTAAGGATTTTCATTCTCGGGACCTCAAGATAACCTTTGCAGACAAACAAAAGCTAAAATGGCTAAGTCCTGCAGCAAGGTTAATGATAAAAATAATAAAGTTGTATTTGATATAGCGCTATTCACGTTTTCTAGACGTCTCAACGCGTTTCACAGCATATACTGTAAAATGAATTGACTGTATATTTTATGGGCAAAATGCAGCAGTCAATTGCACACAGCAGTGTCCCACAAACAGTCGTGGATTGAGTGACCAAATTTTTATTGTTAATTGTTAGAAAAATAAGGATAAAGTAGAAAACAATCTCACCGTTGGAAGCACCCAGCCAAATTCATGATTGTTGACTCCTAATAGATATGGAACAGCATTGACTGGTTTTGCTGCAAACAGTTCTACAGGGTGTTTAGGAATAAATACACCATCCACTGATGGAGCAACGTGCCATTTTTTACTTATCTGGAAATTTTTTTTAAAAAAAATGGTTAATCAGATGTATTGTGATGATATTCACTGAACCTTAGCTGATCCCTAACTGATCATATTCTGTGGAGTCCTTCCACAAATAGGAAGAAATTACAGTAAAACTTGCATAAGTCTTATCTTTATTCGTCGAATAATCACCTAAGTCTTCCATTAGAGAAAACTTTACATTTGGTCTCTTAGTTCAATGGTATACTGGAGGGAAGAATGATGTGAGAATTACTCAGCATCAAATTCATTCTAACCTTTTAAGGACTTGCCCAAAATGTGAAAATGATGTTCGTTCCAGTTCTTAATGCTAACATATCTCAACTCAATGAGCAGAACATCCAACAAAAAGTTTCAAGCACTTTGTCATACCATCAAGTCTGATAGGTTTATTATTTTGTCCATGGATATTTCTCGAAAGCATGCAAGAATCTCTTGAGATGTGAAAATGATGTTCGTTCCAGTTCTTAATGCTAACATATCTCACCTCAATGAGCAGAACATCCAACAAAAAGTTTCAAGTACTTTGTCATACCATCAAGTCTGTGAGGTTTATTAATTTGTCCACGGATATTTCTCGAAAGCATGTAAGAATCTCTTGAGAATTGTCTGTATTACAATCAGACAAGTTGGCAATCTCCTGTAGAATTTAGAAAAAGGTTAATAAATAGTTAATAAATCTGAACAATAGTGATTTAATAACTTTCAATTGAGGTTTGTAACAGTTATAAGAAGTTATAAATGGGCAAAACGCAAGAAAACAATTGTGCACAGCAGTGTCCAACACACAGTTGCATATTGAGTGACAATTCAAAAAAAAATAATCCTTGCATTTAATATAGCGCTTTTCACGTCTTCGAGACGTCTCAAAACGCTTCACAGAATATACTGTAAAGTGAATTGACCGTATATTTGTGGGCGAAAACGGCAGCCAATTGCGCACAGCAATGTCCCACAAACAGTCGTAGATTGAAAATGACCAATTTATTATTGTTGTGTTTGGAGGGATTATTATTAGGCTCTGTGTGGAGTAAGGAAACTTGCCCAAGGTTTCGCCCTCTGCCTGGAATTGAACTCAGGTCTCTCACTTGCAAAGCGAGTGCTCTAACCACTGAGCTACAGGACTCCACAAGACATGGATTAGAGTAGGTCACTTCTCTGGAGATGAATGGGAAAATTCTTTCATATTACTGAAAATAAATCTGACGGACGACTCCACACCCACCCACAAACACCCAAAAACACAGAAACATCCTCAGTGACTTACCAACGTAATGGATTTGGAATCTTGTATTAAAAACTGTTCCATCACAGTACTTCCACTTTGTGATATTGCCTTATGGAACAAGCCAGAGGACAAGGGAGAAACAATCTGAGGAACAATTAATACAGGAATAGTCAGCTTTGGATTTGGCCAATAGTTCCTCTTCCTCCTTTTCGTAAAATATCAAAGAACATGGTGGAATTACTCACATTTGTAATGCATTGTTTCTGATCAAACCATAATCTACCATCTTTGGTGACAGTGTGGCATTTTCTCTTGGACGATTCAAAATACAATTTAAATTTACATTTTATATTGTGCCTTTCAGGTGAAGAGGACGTCCCAAGGCGCTAGAGAGTCGAAGGTTGATACCCGACCGGGAGAGGGAGGTTGACCCAAAGGGGTGGGGGGGTGAGGAGAAAAGCCCAGTCAAAGAACAAGGTCTTGAGGGTGACCTTGAAGGAGGTAAGGAAAGGGGCAAGTCAAAGGGATTTCAGGATGGAGTTCCAGAGGGTGGGGGCAGCTACATTGAAAGCCCAACCTCTGATAGTGGGTCAGGTACTTGAAACAAGCTAATGCCAGCTGAGCGGAGGGAGCAACCCAGTTTGTAGGTTTTGAGGAGGCTAAAGAGATATGGTGGGATTTAAAGGTAAAGGCAAGGATTTTGCGGGAGAATGTAGATATTCAAATGAAGAGGACCAAGGATAGAACCTTGAGTAATGGTGCAGAGAGGAGAAGCCATTTTCAGATATGAAGAGGAGATAGGTAAGAACAAAACTAAGAAAGGACAGAAGCTTGATGGTAGATCTGAGATAATAGATGGTGGAGAAGGATAGAATGATTGACAATGTCGAAGGTGGCAGAGAGATCAAGAAAAACAAGGCAGCAGAGAGAATCCTGGTCACAGATAGAGAGAACAAGATGAGAGAAATTAAAATCAAAAGAACTGCCATACCTTTTAAGTTAAAGTATTGGAGAGAAGGGACATGTTTATAGGAACTTGATCAAGTGCAAGGATTATTATTAATTATTATTATCATCATTGTCTGGTGAAGACAGGATTGTGATGGTTATGATCCTAGAAGGCTATGATGCCATTCAAACAAATTCCAGCACAAGTCAGCACCTTAATATGAAAGTCGGGAATAAACTGGAAAGATTGGCCAAAAACATGGAAAGGAAACTTACATGCATTGAAACACTCATTGCTCCAGCAGATTCTCCAAATATTGTGACAGAACCTGGGTCACCTCCAAAGACATCTATGTTCCCTTTAACCCATTGAAGGGCCTCCACTTGATCCAGCAAACCCCAGTTTCCAGGCATGTGCTCATCTCCAGTACTGAACGAAAAAAACGTCAGAAGCCACTTACATTGCATTCCGCTAGATAGAAACTGGTCAGAGTACTTTATAAAACATTCATCTAACTTTGAAGACACCCCTCATTATATAACTCAGGTGATAAAACTGCCTTAGAGAGAAAATGAGCCATAGAGACCCAAAGATTCCAGATACAAATTTAATCTGTGGGAAAGTGCTTTTGACAGGATGAAAAATAAAGGGAAAAAACAAAAAAGGAACGACAATTGGTGCTAGTGATCTGGTAATCTCATGGAAAAAGTCATCTCGACTCCTGTGTCTCTTGCTTTAAGTAGTGTTGGTGGTACTCAGTGAAATTCAGTTTCTTATATGTGAGACTGGGGACAAAGTGAATCATCACGTTATTCCTTAGGTTTTGAATCTGAGCCACAATTCTGAATTGAAAGTCTCTTTTTGCTGGTTTTAAGGGTTTCGTGTGAACATTCTATGATTGATTGGGCTGAATCTTGGCAATTATAGGCATTTTCCTAATTTGGCATTAAATTGACAATTTTAGAGTGGCTACAAGAATGCCAATATACAAATATACGGTCAATTCACTTTACAGCATATTCTGTGAAGCGCTTTGAGGCATCTAGAAGACATGAAAAGCGCTATATCAAATGATGCAAGGATTATTATTATTAGAAGTGGAGCTCGGGAACAAATATTTTTGGGGAAGAGCAAAGACTATTTTACAGCTAAATTCGGCCACAAATATAAAGTCAATTCACTTGACACTATATTCTGTGAAGCGCTTGGAGACTTCTGGAAGACGCAATAAGGCGCTATACCAAATGAAAGGATTATTATATTATTAAATGTGCTGCACCTAATTCATGAGTATTTGATCTTGTGGCATTAGATGGCACCTGGCACCCAATGAATTGAATTCCAACAAGTGCTTTCAGGAGAGGAGGGGAGAATATTCGAGATGGGAGAAAAATAGCACCTAAGGTTAATTATTCATATTTACCTGAGAAACCCAAGTATTCCCAATCTGTACTGGATTGTCACGACCACTACATCTCCATAGGCTGCGAGGGCAGAGCCATCATAGATGGAAGCTCCTCCAATTGAAAATCCACCCCCATGGATGAACACCATAACCTGGCAAACATTTGAAATCAGAAAATAACATGTTCTTCTTTAAAAATGCAGAGCAATATTACGTCAGAATATTCATATCATAAAAAAACAAGAAAGACAATTGGTGTGTTAAGGGTTAAGGTTAGGTACCCTCAATAGCCCCCAAAAGTACAACAACAACTCGCATTTATGCCCTTCATGCAGGGTAGAGTCTTAGAGCACAGATCAGAAATTCAACATACTAGATATTGTCCTAAATTCCAAAGATATACAGCCAAACCATCATCCTTCCCCAAATCTCATTCAACCCTGATCTGCTAACCTCTGCTTCCGGTCCTAGCATTCCACAAACTATTATTTTCATTGCATATTTACCCATTTTCATTTATACCAGGACTTCTTAAACATCTGAAATTTGGTTTGGATTCGAACACGTAACAGGAATTCAGATCTTTTGATGGAAGACAGTGATAATTTCTGCTTAATCTGCCAAGTTGTTTTGGAAGTCTAAGAAATATCATTATGTCATATACTTACAGGCAGCTTTCTGATCCTTTCCCCTGGCCCAATCGGTGTCATTATGTTTAGATACAGACAGTCTTCACTGATTGTTAGGGGAGGAAATTGTATTTGCATCATTTCAGCAAGAATTTCACTAATTTGTAGACTTTGTAGACACCTAGAGCAATAGAATGAGAGGGAAGTTAAAGAAAAATAAATATGTGTAGAAGAGGTAATAGACCTAGAAAAGTATCAAAATATGTTTCAGCCCTTCAATTCTAATTGAAGAAAATAGATGTGAAAAGAACTATTGGTTTCTGAAACTTATAACTCAAGATAAAAGTTTATTATTAGATTCAAAGTTACGCTGCACGAGAGTCTTAAACTAAAAATTGCTAAACCATTCTGCAGTCAGACTTTCTGCAAGTCAGGAGCCCTTCACTTGTTGTACATCTGCAGACTAACATTCTTACAGTGGAGGGTTCTTGGTTGAATTCCTTATTCCGGTCCATGCTTCTGGAGGTTGGGGTGGAGCGAACCTCAAGGATCCAACTGGTGGCTTTGCAAAGGGAATATATAAATACTGATAGACTGGACTGTCCATTCCTTTCACCGTCACCTGCTTTCCCTCCAATTGGCCGTACTTTGTCACAACAATTGGGTTATTATCTCTGTGTGCTGCAGAGAAATCAAACAACTTCAGTTACTTCACAAATTGTAGTTACTTCCCTCCTTTGTCAGTCATTTTCTTTCTCCCCCCCCCCACTCCTAACATGTTACAGCACAGAAACGATCCATTTAGCCCACTTTGTCCATGCTACTACTTTCATTCCACACGAGCTTCCACCCTTCCTAATCCCCTCTTCCACCCCCTTCTATTATTGTTGATGTATTCCTTTCGCCTTATGTTTGTCAAATGGTTTACCTACTTTTAGATTCAATACCCAATTTATTAATAAAATATTTAACAAATAGATGTCAGTATTATCAGCCTCAACATTAAGATATAATTCACATTTTAATTTCCTTATTCAAGCCGACAATGTGATGGAGAGCCCATACGAGGACACCGGTATACATTGCAATGGGCCATTCTCAAAGCTTCCCACTGCCCCTTTTTTAAAAAACAAATGTTTTGTCCTGTATGAGCAACTAGGATTTGAATTAGGGCAGGATTCCAAATTTCTGCAATAATCTTACATTTTGTGACAACGGCCTCAGAGCTAAAACCACAAGAAGTGTCGGTACTCTATGCCAAGCAAATCATTCCAAGGTCACATTTGAGAACGCGTTCTTTGAGGAACTCGGTACTGCAGTGCACTGCACTGGAACTCCAACCCACTGAGAGAGCATCACATGTGTATCCCTGTGGGTATTGTGAGTTTGATTTGACAGCCTCGGCGGTGAAGATGCAGTTCATACCGTGCGGATGCAGATCAGATTATACAGATGCATTCAAGAGGAAACTAGAACTTCACGTGAGGGAGAAGGAAAATGTAGATGGGTGTGGGAGGGAGGGAGGGAGGGAGGGAGGAGGAGTGGAGACTTCTGTGGATTATAAGCACTGTTATAGACTGGTAGGAGAGAGTTTCGGAGCTGTACATTAATGTGGGATGTCTTCCCTATGTGACAGGCAATATACAAATATAATTTGTTGTTGTTCGTCAATCTTTGAGCAGATCGCGAGCCCCCAGGCCCTACTTCCATCCTAAAAGTTACAAAAGTTCAGTTTGTAAACAAAATAATATTTTATGAATAGCTTTAAGGATCTTGAAAAATAAAGTTTGGGGGTAAAAGTGGCAATAAATATATATATATATATATATATAGGCTTGACACGGAGGGCAAGAGTGAGTGCCTGTGTTCATGTCCGTCATTTGCTCCGAGAAGTAAGAGAAACCATTACAAAAGTGACTGTCCGTATTGTTCTCAAGTCACCACCTGCAGTTCCAGCCGATGGCACTGGTCCCCGGAGCCCGAGGCTCAGACCCCCGGGGTCGGCATTGCGCTCTGAGCCGATTATTCAGGTCGACTGCGATCGCCCCGCAGTGACCCGTCACTGTTACCCGCAGTGGGTGGTGTGTGCGGTGTTCAGGTTTTCTTACCTGCAAAGGCTCCCCCGGGACTCCACCACACCAGCAGCGCGCACAGCAGGTGTGCGGACACACTGCGGACTGACATGCCGGTGCGGACTGACATGCCGGTGCCGGTGCGGGCTGACAGGTCGGTGCGGGCTGACAGGTCGGTGCGGGCTGACAGGTCGGTGCGGACTGACAGGTCGGTGCGGACTGACAGGTCGGTGCGGGCTGACAGGTCGGTGCGGGCTGACAGGTCGGTGCGGACTGACAGGTCGGTGCGGGCTGACAGGTCGGTGCCGGTGCGGACTGACAGGTCGGTGCGGGCTGACAGGTCGGTGCGGGCTGACAGGTCGGTGCGGACTGACAGGTCGGTGCGGACTGACAGGTCGGTGCGGACTGACAGGTCGGTGCGGGCTGACTGGCCGGTGCCGGTGCGGACTGACAGGTCGGTGCGGTCTGACTGGTCGGTGCGGGCTGACAGGTCGGTGCCGGTGCGGACTGACAGGTCGGTGCGGTCTGACTGGTCGGTGCGGGCTGACAGGTCGGTGCGGGCTGACAGGTCGGTGCGGGCTGACTGGTCGGTGCCGGTGCGGGCTGACTGGCCGGTGCGGGCTGACAGGTCGGTGCGGGCTGACAGGTCGGTGCGGACTGACAGGTCGGTGCGGGTTTTAGTTGTTTGCACTTTCCGAGAATCAAAGCAATGTAAAGGATCAGTTTCTGAACCGCCCCCAAGTGAACCCGGAAGGTTCCGCCCGGTGACGGCCAACAAACAGCGGCTCTTGAACTGAGCGAAAGGGAAGACTTCCTTCGACCGGGAATCCGCAATATGTGTTTGAGAAAATTGCACAATTTCGGGGCAGTCACCGACCTCCGCAGCACCGGTCAGTGACTGAGGATCCGCGGCCACTGCTTTTATTGGGTGAGACCTCCTGTCAGTTGACAATCACATTCCGCTGACGCTGCGGGAGACGGGGACGGGGATAGCAATCCGCACAGTGTGGCCCACGGACTTCAGTCTCTGGGGCTGAAGATGGCTGATCCAAGTGCTGTATAATTCTACAATCCTATGAGCGACCAATCCAATGCTTTGTTCTCTTTAAATTTGTCTCCAACCTCCTCCTTCCCTATGTCAATAGCTGCCATTCGATTCCCTAACTTCCCCTCACAGGCTGCAGATCATCCACCCCCCCCCCCCCCCCACCAGGCTCTGACCCCATCGCCCTCTTTGATCGGGACACCCTCCCACCCTCTACCCCCCCCCCTCCCCCCCCCCCACCCCACCCCACCCCACCCCTCCCACCCCACCCCTCCCTCATGCTCAGGTCCCCACATCTGACTGTTCAGCGCTTTCGAACGTCCTCCCGATGTGAAAGGCACTCCATGAATGTAATTTTGTTGTTGTTGTTGTACACCTAACTACACTATTATTCCTATTGTTTTAATTAGTCTCCTTTGTAAAAACAAACTGAGACAAAATATTGGTTCAGTATTTCAGGTACTTAATGATCTCCTGTGAGCTTGTTCCCTTCGTCACTTAGTGCTGCTATCCCTAACAGCGCTCTTAGACACAATCCTTCGTGAAGGGCGCTCTACTAATGCAAGTTGTTGTTGTACCTCGGCTATTCTTCTATTTCTAATATATGTAGAGAACACCTTACTAGTTATTTTTATATTTTTTGATTTTTACTCACAAATCCTCTTTGCCATTCTAATTGTCTTTTTAACCTCTTTCCTAAGCGTGTGGTATACACTTTGCCTTCTCTGTTATCTGTTTTTGATTTTCATACAGACTTGTTTCTTAGATTCAGTTTTATCATCACTCCCTTATTCATCCATGGTATCTCATTGTTAGATAATTTCCCTTTATTTCTCAATATAATATGCTTCTTCTGTGGCTTTCCTATTTCATGTTTAAATACTTTCCATTGCTGCTTAATGCCTTCATTTGCCAATTTACTTTGTCTTGTTCATTTCTTTAGTGACTAGCGTTGGCAGTGGGTTTGTCCAAATGGGGCATGACAGCAAACTTGAAGCATCCTCACCTAAATTTCACACACCTACATTTCCCAAACCGGGGAAGAGGGTAGCAGCCAGGTGATTTCCACCTCCACGACCACTCTCAAGAACACTTAACCTTCCCATCTTTCACCGTCCCTGAGTTTTGTTACTTTAACCATGTTTATGATGGGTATTTAAAATGCATTCTGTATTGAGTATAAAGCTTGTGGTGTTTTATTGCCTATTATAAATCTGTTTCAGTTTAAAATGCACTTCAAGACGAACAGCAGTTATTCAATCCGTCACAGTTAGTTTAACATTTGCATTTATACGGTCTGTTCAGTTTGAGTCTGAATATTTATTACACCACATATTTATTCAATGCTGTTAATATTTCCTTAATTTCTTGTCATTTCAACAAGTAATCCAGATGTGCAGCCAACTTTACTGAACTCTGACTGCATTTCATTACTGATATCAGGTATGTACTCTTGGTCCAAATGGCCACTGTTGACTTTTCTGTGTTTTACATTTTTGGCACTGGTGTTTGGCTCTGGTTCCAGGCTGTGCTTTGTTTTTTATACCCTAAAGGACTCCCTTTCTGCTGTCCAATGTTTCCAGTTTTCTGATTCAGGAGTCTTTTGCTGGTTTTCCTTTTGCTACATTCCTTATTCTTCCTGGGATTCGGTGATTTATGTTTTCAATCTTTTAACCAAAAAAGTGGCAATCAGCAATCAAGCAGATCAACATCTAAAACACTACCAGGTCTGTTCAAGAATCGCAAGGCATTTTTATGATTTTAAAGAATTCCATTCCATCATTGACTCTGGTTCTGAGATGAGTTTTGCTGACCTGATTCCAGGTTATATTTTGCATACGTCTCTGTCTAGTGGTATTTATTCTGCTGTTTTTACTTAAAGTGGAGATTAAGTGGATGCTGAATTCTCGCTCTATGCCCATTGACATAGTCTTATGCTTACATGATAGGTTACCGATTGTGATCATCTCATTGAACAGATTTTTAAGGAATAATCCTTAATTTAATGTTGTAAAATTCTATATTCTGTATAATAATCTAAGCAACAAAAAGATAGCATTTATTATTTAATTGTTTAAATCATTTACAGTTTATAATGTACAATAATATGGTAACCAAGCCAACATGAAGATTAACCACCCAATTAACTATTGGAAGTTATCAAACCCATGCTGTTGGTGATGTGGGAATGCTGGATGGGATATTGTAAAAGGGAGCTTTATTCTGCCTCTAACCTGAGCTGCAGTTGATCTGGGAGTGCTGGATGAAATAGTGGAAAGGGAGGTTTGCTCTATATCTAGCCTGAAGTGTAGTGTTAAACAGTATTTCAATGTTTGATATTGACACTGGATAAAACCCTTCCTTGGTGTTGTATACTTTGATAGCACTGTTTAGTGTAGGCTGTGTAGAGATTTGCTGTTTCACATATGCTACAAAAAGCTACATCTAGAAATATATTGGCCTGGTGGCTGTGGGGAACAACAAACGTTTGGAGAACTTAACTGGAAGAAGAATCCATACAATAGTTCTGTGAAAGTTAACACAGTAAAGTTGCCTCCCCAGAAGGACAAGTGCTCTTACCTAATTCTCTTTGTCACAGGATGGCAAGAGACAGGTTTGGGGACCCCAGTGTGCATTGGGGTGGCTGCTGTAGTTTAAAGAGTCATAGAATTATACAACACATAAGGAGGCCATTTGGCCCATTGTGTCTGTGCCAGCTTTTTGAAAAGGGCTTCCAAATCAATCCCACTCTCTCCCCTAACCCTGTAAACTTGTCCGCCCCAAATAATTATCTATTTCTCACTTAAAAGTTGTTTAACCTGTTTTTGGCTTGTCCCCCCTCCCAGGAGCTTCTGTGATGTTGTAGCAATGACCAAGACATACTTCCTCATTCATTATTATTTATTTATTTTCAAATTCCAGCGAATCGTGAGATGCTGGAGCTGCTTTACACACGTACATCCAGCTTCTCCGCCTCTTGTATTCGCTGGAGGCTGAGGTGCGGCTGCTTACTGGAGCAGGTCTGGCCACCTTTGCCTTCAACAACATCAGCCACCAGTGAGCCATTGCACAGGCAGGTTGGGTCCTGTGGAAAACTCTGCAGCCACTCCTCCAGTTACAGAACCAACTATGTCAAGTCAACATTGCATTCCAGGTACTGCTAAACCATCTCACATCAGGCACCGCTCAGCCACATCATCAAATCTCTCAGAATAAACATTAAACAACATCAAACAACTTGCATTTATTCTACATCATAGCGCCCTTCATGTAGAATAAGGCCTCAGAGTGCTTTACAGTGGCAAGGGGGAGGTGACCATAGGCACAGTCAAAGCTACACCAAGAGCAGCTGTACGTATACCAGGAGCAATGTACTGCATCTGCTCCCAGGAGCCAGCTATGGACATACCCCATTAGGTAAGTGGGGCAGAGGGAGAGCCTGCAAACCACGGAGCCAATGGGTAATACATGCAATAAGCAGTGAATCAGGAATCTGCAGAAATAAGAAGCAGCTCGGAGTCTGTGATGTGTAGAGAGAGAGAGCGAGAGAGAACCACAGAAGCCACAAAGAACCTGGGTAATTCAAAACTGCCCAGAAACAATTGGTAAACAAAGGAACCATTTGTGGATTTATTATGGCACCAATTCAATCTGTGTGGGACATAGTTGATAGGGCAGGGCTGTGTGGCACCTCCTTTATTCTCTAGTAGTGTCTCATTCTCCTGGTGAATATTGATCTAGCTAACAATCCGTAAGGATCAAGTTAAGAACCTTTAAGTGTGAATAATCTCTACCATACACAGCTCACGTAAGCATTGCAGATTATTCCAATGGGCTGTTACTAAGGGTACTTCATTGGCTCATTTAATTTTTTTTAAAAGTCTTGCTACAAGTTGTGAAATACAAAGGTCAAACTTTTACGGGTTGTGAAAGAGAGTAGGGTACAACATTATTAGATAGTGTGATGAAACAGTGCAAAGTCATCAATTAAATATTAACTGCATCAATAAAAACACTTCACAGTAATCTGGAGCCCATGTCATAGGACTGCTTCAGTGGGTGAAATGTCAGATGTTCCACTCCTGAAGTCATAAGAGTTTTCCAAATTATAATGAATTTTCCTATGATGGGATAAGTTGCCCCACTTCCCAATTGCTGTTCTTTCCTTGTGCTCTATTCTTTCTCTTCAACTGTTTTCGATCTCACGTTTAAATGTTATGGTCTCAGCCACTTGTACCTACATCCTGGCAGTAAAACAAGAGGGCAGAGTTCAGGGTGTGAAGATCAACTTCAGAACAGATATTGGGAACTATATCTTTATACTGAGGGTAATCGGGATGTCCTCCTGACATGAAAGGCACTATACAAATGTAATCTTGTAATTGTTGTAATTTATAGCTGGAAAGGGTTACGAGGGAGGTGGTTAAAGCCAGACCCTGGACTTGTTTAAGAAATGGCTTGAAGCTGCAATGTCTTTACATAAGATTAAACCAAGAAGTGTTGGTATCAGTTTACAGCAGCAGATATATCTCCAAAGAGCAATCACATCAATGCAATTCTAAATATACCCTATCACAATATCTGGAACACAACACAGCATAGGTTCAAGTTTGCACCTTGGGTTGGATACGGCCATAATTAACTCCGAGAACTCGAATCCAGCCAGTCTGATTGGATAAAGGTCTCTTATTGCTATATGATATAATTCTTGCATTTGTCTTATCACATCATTGAAACTTTGAAGAACTTAAAAGGATTTACTGTAGAGTGTAGTGATTGCTTATTTGTGGATGGAGACAACCTTCTGAATCGGAAGCAAGAGTACAACCAACTGAGGCAGGTTCAGGACTCAATGTAACTGAATATTATCCTTTCGCATCTGTGACACTGGTATAAATCCAGTCCAGATTGATGGATAAATGTTTCCATTCATTGATGAGGAGTGTGCTGAACACATGCTGAATTAATCAGCAGGTCTGACACGCCCGAGACCAGAATAATATGCTACTGATAGTTACCTTAGAGATTGCGTGCAATATCATTAATTAGAAAGAACCATATCAGTATGTTTGTTTCGGGATAAAGATGCTTGTGGATGTGCTGGAACATTCCAAAGCAAAGGATGTGCTTGCCCTGGCTGTGGACTGTATCGCAAGACTGGTACGTACCAGAGCAGGTAACCTTGTCTGCTGAGAACAAAGCTATTTGCTCCCTGTAGAGTAAAATATATACGGTCAATTCACTTTACAGTCTATTCTGTGAAGCGCTTTGAGACATCAAGAAGATGTGAAAAGCACTATATCAAATGCAAGGATTATTATTATTATTAAAATTGGAAACCAACAGTAAGATACCAGTCTGATGCTGAAATATATTGCGAGTTCAATGTAATTTTGGATCTGTTCAGGGTATGTCTGGAAATTGATGCTGATAAAATGTGAACATAGCTCCTGACACCTCAGCTAAAATAAACAGTCACACTAACTCAATATTTTCAGGACATAGCTGATAGTGTCAGATCTGACAGCGCTCCACACAGCAACAAAAGATCATCTCTTTTGGTTTGTCCTTGATCTTGTGTTAATTTCCCAGCTGCTGATGAGCTATTGTGTTTGTGTCCAGGAGTTCCGGCTGCCATTGTGTCTGCAAATGTTGTGCATTTGCTGTGTGACCTCTTGTCCAGTCCTGAAGAGCAGGCCCAGGGCTCGGCCGCTATCGCCCTTGGCTTCCTCAGCTTCCACCACCAGGCGGAGAGGCAGTTGCTGAAACGGTAAGTAACTGAATGCAGTTCAGCATCACTGAGTCACATTCTAGCTTGCTTCAATTGTAAGACATCAGTTCATAGGCTGGCTCGATGGGCAGATGTCTGGGGTACAGAGCAGTGCAATGTTCTGGAGACTTGAATCAATTGTCACTGGTCAGGTTCCAATTAACTGGAAGCCCGAAAATGTGTTTCCCATATACAAGAAAGTTGACAGGACAATGCCTGGCAACTCCAGACCCTTTAGCCTGACCTCAATAACGGTGAAACTGATGGAGTTAATGATTGGAAAGAAAATTGAATTTTACATCTATAAAAATGACTTGACAAATGTCTGCCAACATGGATTCAAAAGGAACAAATCTCGTCTGATCAACCTCATTGATGTTTTGAGGAGTTGACATCGTAAACTGACTGTAGGGGAAGCCATATATGGTACCTGTAGTATTTTAGGCTAGGATGTGGGATGCCCTGCCAGAGTGATGATGATGCAGAATCTGTATTCATTTTCAAAAGAGAATTAGATAATTAAAAAGGGGTGAGTTACTGGGGTATGGGAAAAGGGCAGCTAAATGGGACTGAATGGATTGCTCTTAAAAGGGTAAAGACATGGGCTGAATGCTCTTCTGTGCTGTAAATTTCTGTGGTTCTGTGGAACAGGAATAGGGGCTATTCCTTAAATTATGACCGATTGTTTCATCCTGTCTGTTTACACTCCCTGTCTGTGAACTAGGTGCCGACTGGAGCTTCAGCTCATGAGGATCCTCCTTCACTACAATAGGCACCACAAGCTGGCCAGCACTTTCCTAGATAGATGGAAACACGTGAAGGAGTTGGGGCTCTCTCCTCTCTGGTACGCTGAGGCAGTTCACACTTTAGAAAGGGAATTAGCCAAACATTTGAAAAGGAAAAAAAGACAATGGAGAAGGGGCTGAAAGAGCTACTCTTTCACACTGGACTGAATCATCTCCTTTCGTGCTGTAAAATAATCCCTCCAAAAAATAATAATTTGGTCACTCAATCCATGACTGTTCTGTAGGACACTGCTGTGTGCAATTGGCTGCTGTGTTTCCCCCACAAAATACACAGTCAATTCATTTTGCAGTATATCCTATGAAGCGCTTGGAGGCATCTCAATAACGTGATAGCTGTATCAAATGTAAGAATTATAATTATTGTTGTATAAAATTGTATGATTTGATGATTCAATGACCAACCCACAGCCTCCTGTAATTGATATGTAAGGACCCAGCATACTTCCCTGTGAAGTGCACAAATATTTTAATTGTACATGTTCCATTTCAACGGACAAGAAGATCAGCGTGCCTATCCCACTGGATCACAAGTCTTTATCTCAAGGCAAGGCGCCACCTGGTAAGATTTAATTATTGTACAGAATGAGTTAATTTGTTATGTCCAACTGTGCTGCTCACGGCAGTTTATTTCTCCAGTAAGCACAAGGTGTAGTTGCTGAGCAACTCTTGCTGCATCAACATGAGAACTTTTGAGTGTAAATGGATGCCTCTTCTGCAAACCTGAGACTGCAGCAGACCACAGTGTAACCATACTCCAGCAAAAGCCAGCACTGGAGGATCGCAGTAAACCAAACCACACACTAACGTACGTGGTAACAGAGAGCCACTGTCCCTGTGAAGAGCACTACCTGCTTTATTTCTCGTGTCTTCCTTTTGATCTAACTTCTCGTCTTCCGCAGATTCTGATGGTTGTTTCATGACAACATTTGCAAAGTAGCAAAACAAACAAAATATAGAAAGACATCACTAAAGGTATTCTATATCTTTAAACTTTTATTTACATGTTAAATTGATACTTTATTCAATCCCACAATGATCACCTCATGAGTGAGACTATTGGAAAATGTGGTGTCGCCACCTGATGGCATGAAGGCACTGCTCAGAATCCACCTGGAAACCTGAGCAACATCAAACATTCCCAGACCTTCAATCTTAATAGTTACGTTAAAATGATTCAATCCTCCAAGGCAAGCCAATGATTTTTATTAACTGAAAAGATATGGGGCAATAGATTACTCTCAGAATGTTTGTTCCCGTGATAACACAGGATTTGGTCACATAACCTAGGCTCTTACTGAGAATTTCCAGTATTGCATTATAATAATGTAAATCACACAATTGAATACAGAGGTGACACAAGCTGTGATAGGCTATAGGAAGCGGTTGCACTACATGGCACTTCATAGCTGTGATCTCACCACCAGTAAAATCCAACTGTGGCCACGAACAGGGCTCAGGAATTGCTTCTTCCAACATCTTGTGGTCACCACTCCCAGAGGTTACTGTACAATGAAGCCACTGAGACTCCTTTAAATAATAAGGGGTTTCTACTCTCTCATTCTAGATCCACAAGACTTGCAATTAAGCAGCAATGTACTTACAGGCACTAACCATACCTTTTTTATAATCAGGTTTAGAAATTACAGGAAACAGAGACCAGAATCCATGTCATTTTCCTCCCCTTTCCCCATTCATTTCCAGATGCCACCAAGGAGCCTCCTCTTCTCCATCACAATCTTCCCGACAAACACTGATTGACAACTTCCAGCAAGTGAGAGTTTTCCAGAGCAGCAGCCACCCGCTCCTTGTCCGCCAGCTGTTTGTTGACTGAGAAACAGAACGAGAATCTTCAGGAAAACATCAACTGCAAACCAGCACAAGGTGCATCTCACCAAAGCCATAAATTTGGAACATGCTACCCCAGAAATTCATTGAGGGATTCAAGGAGGTGGTGAAATACCTGGGAAGTAGAAACATTAAAAGGTGTGAGGAGAAGGCAGTGGGTTTAGGGAACGGGAGCGCTCAGTGCCATAGAATGATCTGTAGTGGAGAGGGCCTGGGGCTGAATGGCCTAAATACCATCGTTCAGACTCCCCACCCCGAGTACTAAGTAGTAGGCTTGTCACTAAAACATTTTAGAAATATTAAAACAAAAACCTCTAATAGAGAACAGGTTTAAAAGCTTGAAGGTGGGTTTATGTTGGGAGTTTTTCAGAGTTGATTACCTGCTTGTTCCGAGGCATGTGTACCTGGCGTTATATGAACATCCACCTGCAGCAATAAGAGTTTACTGTTAGCTTGTACCATTGGTGACTGGGTGAAAAACTATTAAATGGGTTAAGAAGCAGCATTTTCCTCATAGATCTCAACTTACACTACAAACTTATACTACAATATAAATACCTATTTTGTTCAAGTTTGAGTTTTGTTCTTAGCCAGAAATAGAGAAGTCAGAGCCCAAGAGGATTTGGAAAGGAAATGGATAAATAAGTTGAGAAAATTGACATTAAAAGGCACAGGGAATGAGCAGAGGAATGGGATTAGTAGAAAGCTCCAGTGTGGGACGGGCTGAATGATGTCCTCCAGTGATTTAATCTTTCTAGGATTGCAGGAAACAAGCGTCATGTAGTCAGAACCTTTTCTAATAATCAACTGCTTCTAATACTTCCTCCATTGAGGCCAGAAGTAGTGAGTCCTTAAAGCATTCTGTGGCTCAGAGCACTGGGGCTCCAACATCGCTGTACACAGGAGTAGCATGTGGCAAGCTTGCCCTTACCTTGAACCGTTCAGGCAGTGATCGCAGCAGCTTCACTTTGATTGACAGGCCGATCAGTGTGGCCATACTGCAGTGAGGGATGGTGGGAGTGAAAGCCACTGTCACAGTGCTCTCCTCATCATTAACCTGTCAAAGGCAAAAAATACATGTCACTTTTCGCATCAGATGGGAGTTCCTCCACTTTCTACATTTCATCTCTCTCCCTCGAATTTTGTTTGTGTTTGGAGTTAGAGCCTCCCCATTGGGTGTGAGGAGTTAGGAGGTGAAGATTCCCCAAATCACTTCTCCTACACCACTGATATTTCCATTTCCCACACTGAACATTTTTGTGAAAGCTGGAACTCAGGCAAGTATAAAATGGGCTGAGACGTTTAGAGATGGTCAGGTTTAAACTCACACACAATTCTGATTGCAATCTCTTCAACTTTTAGCAAAACAATTTGGGGATATTTATAAAGACATTGGATTTAGTTCTTAATACAATAAATGTAACTAAATTGCATAACAATGGTATACGTTAAACTAAAGTCTGCCTGTTCTATCGTAACAGAATATTCTTTGAACCCTTTTCCTCAGAAGCCACTTACGTGGACCCTCACTGGCTCCACAACATTCAGCTCCTCGAGGCTGAGCGGATGTTCAGGATCATTGATTGATCGGATGAGATGTAGAATGTCAAGGAAAGATGCTGTACATTAGAATCAGCCGGTACGTTATTCCCCAGATACAGTCCGTGTATTAGTTTAGTTCCTGATCTCAATCAGGATTACTGTCGACCCCAGCACTTAAGGTCCACAATTCAAGGCACTGACCCCCCAATGACACGTGGCCGATGTTTGCTCACAGTGAACGCTGGTCAGCACAGGGCAGTGCCTTCAGCATGAGATATATACTCAATAATAATAATAATCCTTGCATTTGATATAGGAGTTTAGTACGTCATCAAGACGCCCCCAAGTACTTCACTGGATATATTTATAATGGAGTGACTGTGTGTTTTGTGGGCGAGAATGTTACAGAGCACAAACAGGTCTAACCCCCCCCCACCCCACCCCGCGTCTGCCAGAGAGACACAGAGCAATTCAGTCAGTGGGCCCGGGTGGGGCCCGGGTGGGGGGTGGGGCCCGGGTGGGGCCCGGGTGGGGCCTGGGGCCCGGGTGGGGCCTGGGGCCCGGGTGGGGGGTGGGGGGTGGGGCCTGGGGGGTGGGGCCCGGGTGGGGCCTGGGGTTCGGGTCCGGTTATTTCTGGTTGTTCAGTCGCTGCCTTTAAGGATATCGAAGATTTCTCTGTGGTCGATGGGGTCGGTCTCGGCCTCGTCCTCCTCCCGGGCGCTCGGGGGCCGGTCTTTGCTGCGCTGATAAACCAGCGGGTTGGCGTTCTCCAGCCGCGTCCCGGCCGCCATCTTTACCCGCGGCGCCGCTTCCGGCCCGCGCTGCCAATCACCCGCGACTTCCGGCCCGCGCTGCCAATCACCCGCAGCTTCCGGCCCGCGCTGCCAATCACCCGCGACTTCCGGCCCGCGCCGCTGTGACATTGCCCGCCCCCACCGCGGGAGGGCGCTAACACCGCACAGCGAACGCCGAGGGTGCGGGACCCACAGTGGGCAGGAGGTGACGCTGTTCCCGGTAACAGTCGAACCGCCGTTATCTGACAGGAGCGGTTCCCGGGGCCGCGCGCTGAGCACAGCCGGTGTGACGGCAGTGACGGCAGTGTGTGACGCACAACCGGTGCCAAGGAAGGCAGCGGCCGGGGTTTACCGTCACAGCGAGTCGGTAACCGAGGCTCAGCGGTCACTCCAGGCGGACAGACCGGGCACTGGGCCCACACACACAGGGACAGGCCCTCGGCCGCCAGGAGCCGCTGTCTGTGTGTGTGTGTGTGTCTGTGTCTGTGTGTGTTTTACTGGGAAGTGTTTTGTTCGCCACTGCGGAGACATCGGGTGGAAATATTTGTGACTTAAATACTGGAAATTGCCGTCAGGAGGTGGACCTGAGCCAAGAGGGGAGGAGACAGTGAGGGTCACAGCCAAGACTGCACAAGGCCTGGAGCCGCCTCGGGCACAGACACACACACACACACACAGAGACACACACAGACACAGACAGACACACACACAGACAGACACACACACAGACAGACACACACACAGACAGACACAGACACACACAGACAGACAGACACACAGACAGACACACACACACAGACAGACAGACACACACACACAGACACACACACACAGACAGACACACACACAGACAGACAGACACACACACAGACACACACAGTTACACACAACAGCAATAACAGAATTACATTTGTAAAGGGCCTTTCGCGTCGGGAGGACGTCCGAAGGTGTTGAACAGTCCATTTCCTTCACACGGGAATTAGGACCTGAGGGTTGGGATGAGGGAGTAGGAGGGCCTTGAAGGGGGCCAGGAGGGAGCGAGGCGAAGGGATTGTGGGATGGAGTTCCAAAGGATGGGGTCTGAGAGGCTGAAAGCCCGGCCACTGACGGTGGGGCGAGTCGATACACAGAAAGATACATACATAAACACTCCACATATACACAAATACACGCGTAACATCTGCCTATTTGGGTGGATGTTAACGATCTTGTGGCACTATTCAAAAGAGAAGGCAGTTACTCTTTCTCTCCTGGTGTACTGGCCAACAATCCCCCCAAGTAAAAAAAAATTGGTCACTCACTCCATTGGCTGTTTGTGGAACACAAACTGGCTGCTGAGTTTTCGCTCACAAAATACACAGTCAATCCACTTTTAAGTGTATCCTGTTGAGACTTCTCAACAACGTGATATTCCTTGTATTCGCGTATTGAATACAAGGATTATTATTATCATTAGAGATGAAACCAACATGGTCAAAAAAGACCACGTGGTTTAAGAAGCTTTGGAGGTGGAGTCCCCACAACTGGTGGAAAACCTTGTTTAAACATTCCGGAGGAGTATTTTAGATGTTAGATGTTATAAATAGCTGAGTGGTGGGTAAGCAGACACCCCCCCCCATCCCCGAGTCATGTGCTGGCCTCACACTCACTCGCTCACTGCCGAGGGCTGAGTATTTTAGGCACTGACAGTCACTGTTCTGCCTGACGTCAGAGAGTCAGTCCATTATAAATAGTCTTTAGTGGGAAAGTGCGCGGCAACAAATCCATTCAGATCACAGTCCTCAACAGCAAGTAGCACTGAGCAACAGAACCAGCTATCTGCAATCCCTGCCCGGACAGACAAGGTGAGTGAGGAACTAACTGTGTGTGTGTGTGACTGGTGCGTGTGGAGAGAGCCTCAGCCCCCGGGCACTGATCGTCACAGACAACTGGCAAAGTTACTGACAACCCTGTGAAGCTGAGCCGCTTTTCTTATTAGTTATAGCCAGGCTCAGCCTAAATTGATTTGCGCGTCTGCTCTGTTTAGTGGTTAATACTTTCAGCATCATTCCTGTGAGAGTGAATTGCGGGAATTGAGAAGCCCTTCACAGGACCCTGTATTGTGAAGGTTAGAGCACTCACCTCACGGGCAAGATGACCTGGGTTCAATTCACGGCACGGAAAAATAGTTTCCTTACTCCACACGCCTCTGTTCAGCTAGCAGTAAGTAGGAACTCGGTTGTTAGTCGATTGGCGGATCGCATTCCGGTGGTAATAATGCCTTAAAAAAACATTTGGTCACTCAATCCACGACTGTGTGTGGGACACTGCTATGCGCAATTGGCTGTCGCGTTTCGCCCACAAAATACACAAGTCAATTCACTTTACAGTATTTTCGCTTTGAGACATCTCAACAATGTAAAAAGGTGCTATATCAAATGCAAGGATTATTACATGATATATAAGATTCCTTTCCCCCATCTCCCCTTTCATTAATTATATAATAATAATCCTTCCATTTGATATAGCGCTTTTCATGTCTTCTGGATGATTCAAAGCTCTTCACAGAATATACTGTGAAGTGAATTGACTGTATATTTGTGTGCGAAACGCTAATTCCTCCTGTGGTTTGTGCTTCCCTGGCTCCTGACTTTTCTCTGCGGAAATGTTTCTCGTTGCAGGTTTGGGGGTGAGATGACACTGAACAAAACGGACAAGCTGAGGAGCCTGGAGCGGAGGCGAGGCAGTATGCCGGTGCCCCAGTATCAGGCTGTGCACCGATGCAGCATGCCCCTGGCCGATCGGGAGTTGAGTGCGGCCATACCCGCCCTGCAGCAGGGCAGCCTGGTACGTTGCACCTCCTACAGCCCCGGACACCCCCAGCGAGAGAGCTGGACCTCCGGCTCCTCCGACTCTGTCATCTCCAGCGGCAGCGACATGGACACCTGCGTCCACAAGGTGGTGCTACTGGGCGGGCACAGGGTGGGCAGGTCCAGTCTGGCCCACATCTTCGGGGGTGTGGAGGACAGTGAGCCCCATGAGGCCGGGGAAAGAGGTGAGACCACAGAGAACTCTGTAGATACACATGGTGCACAATATACATGGGATGTAGTTTACATGTCGTTTACACATGATGTATAATAATAGACCCCATTGAGGACCTGAATGATTGGGAACAAAAAACAAACAATGCTGCATAAATATTTCCGCTCACATCACAGGGCCGGGTTGTTCAGTTTCGAAGCTGAGATTGTCGGGTGGGTTGGACAGGGAGAGATGGTGACGTAATGTGTTAAGCGCTTCTAGTCGTTACCCTGCGTGACGGGCTCTATAAACGCGCAAGTTGTTGTGTGAAATGAGCCACTCACGGGCTCAGCTCTCGCACCACCCCGGGAGAGTGTCACAGTGTGTGACATGCACAGGACCCTCTCCTGACCACAGCCCCTCTAGCCTGACTGCCCAATAACATGGGTTCACTTGTGCCCAATCTTCTTACCTGCAGAGAACACGTATGACAGAACAATCTTGGTTGATGACGAGGAGGCGAATCTCATTGTGTTTGACATCTGGCAGCAGGTAACTATGTGCCCCCCACCTCCCCACTGCAGCTCTCTGCTCTTCATTATCCCTGCGCCCTTGCCTTCTCTCTCTCTCTCTCTTTGATCTTGTGAGTGGGTCAGTTCAGGAACTCCAGTAATCAGATTTTTCTTGCTGTTGCCCAGGATGAGAGTAGTCGGCTACAGGAACACTGCATGAAGCTGGGAGACGCCTACCTCATCGTCTACTCGGTGACGGACCGAGCGAGCTTTGACAAAGCCTCAGAGCTCCGCATCCAGCTGCGGAGAGCCAGGCAGGCCGAGGACATCCCCATCATCCTGGTTGGGAACAAGACGGACTTGGTGCGCTCCCGAGAGGTCTCCGTGGACGGTGAGTCACTGGATGGGGTGGGGACAAACACCAGGAAGTATTTCTTCACACTGAGCAGGGTTAATGGTCGGACAGGCAACCAGGAAGGTTTTTTTTGCAGTTCTTCAGCTTCAAATTTAAGACTGAATTGAAAGAGTTTTCCATAATTCTGCACCAACTTAAACTTTACGATAAAATGGTGTGACAGACCCAGTCACACCCCTGCACAACCCCACTTGAGTCTGTAAAATAGCATGAATCATTGGTTTGTTCTGGTGCTTTGTTGAAACCTCTAGAGCGCTGTGTTCTTCTCTCTCTCTATTTCTCTCTGACTTGTTCTTTCTCTCTCTTTTCCCTCTCAGTCTACATTGTTCTCTGTATATCTCTCCTAAGTTGTTCTCCTCTCTCCTTCTGTCTGACCACAGAGGGCCGTGCCTGTGCTGTGGTGTTTGACTGTAAGTTTATTGAGACCTCGGCTGCTCTCCACCACAATGTGACCGACCTGTTTGAGGGCATCGTCCGACAGATCAGGCTGCGCACAGACAGCAAGGAGGACAACCTGCGGCGCCTGGCCTGCACCAAGCGACGGCAGAGTCTTGGGCAGAAAGCCAAGCGCTTCCTGGGCAAACTGGCAGCCAAAAACAACAAGAAGATGGCCTTCAAGCAGAAATCCAAGTCCTGCCACGACCTGTCCGTCCTGTGAAGCAAGATAGATAACAGAGTTGTCGTGATATCCCCCTCCCGCGTGTGTGATTTTAACAGAAACAAAGGTCTGGGGTCCAGATTGAGTCTGGGTTTCAGAACGGTGAGTGTGAAGCAGATTTAGACAGTCTGTCTGTACGGGCAGTGATGAACGAAAACTGTTACCAACCTCTGCCTTTCCTTAAAAACTCCCATGTTACAGCACAGGGTTTTAGATCTCGGGGTGAGGCACAGAGAGAAGGGCGATCACTTTGTTCTTCACTTGACTGGCCCTTTAAGAAGTTATAAAACCTGGTGACTTGCCTCAGGCTGTGTGCGACACTTGCGTTGTGTGTGTGTGTGAGTGTGTGTATGGTACACAGGCTCATATGCTCCGTGTACAGGATGTGAACAAAGTCCTATTACCCTCATGTTGTTTTCCGTACAGTCACTGACCAACAACCGAAACGTGGAAGAATGATGATCATTGTATTTAGAAGTACTCAATCGTACTTATAAATACTTAACTGTATTTAGACGTCCAGAGGATGGGTGTGAGTGTGTGTATGTGAGTGCCATAATTTTCATGACAGATAATGATCTGTCGCCATGTTCGGTACCACATCTTCTGTAAGCTGGATGGAGTGAGGAGATGATATGCAGCTGTTTCAGCTCTTCCAGAGTCTCAGATAATAAAAATGTATTGTTAGGGGGAAAAATAGTAACAGGATTTTGTGGATACCCTGTACCGGTGTAGCGATGACACAGCACCTGAGGAGCGTCCCACTCGCTCGCTTCACTCGCACTTCGGTTTTGCTATTGTACAGATCATTTCTTACCTGTTTACATTTTTTTTGTATTTGAATAAAACTTTTATTGATCTCTAGCCTTGTTCTGTGTGATTTTCTGTCTTTGTTTCCTGAGTAAACGCTTCACTTTAGGATCAATACAAACACTGATCCTGACCGGCAAAACAACGCTGAGTCTTTGTGAGGTTCCTCTGGCTCCCTCACATCGTCAGGCTCAGTCTCTCCTTGGGCCCAGTGACCTATCTCACTGACTCTGTCCATCTATCTGTCTCACTATCTATTTATTTTCCATCGTCACTTTCTTACGATTAAAACTTCACCAACCTGTCTGCTCTCTCTGGCCTGCTCCCCCTGCCCTGCCTGCTCCACCATTGGCAATTTAGCTTTCAGCCTTTCTGTCCCCACCCTCTGGAACTCATTCCAGATCCCCTCTGCCTGGCCCCCTTCCTTTCCTTCTGCAAGGACCGTCGCAAGACCTTCCTTTTTGACCCTGCCCATCTTCCCTCCTCCACTCCTTGCTCTCCACCCCTCTCTGATCCCAAAGCCCAGCACAGGTCCAAACCCTTCATTATCCAGCGCCTTGGGACGTCTTCCCGGCATGAAAGGTAATATATCAATGCAATTTGTTGTTGTTTCTTACTTCATTGCTCCATATTGCGCTATTTCCATCTGTATCTCCTTATTTTTTGTTTCTGTCTCGTCCCTGCTCTATTTCTCTCTCTCCCTCTCTCTCTGTATTTTTTGCCATTGGATACAATGAAATGAGGCTCTGGAGCAGATGACTGGAATGTGGATGATTTAGGATTTGGCTGGTTTTAAACCAAAAGTCAATGATTAACTCGGGAACAATTTATTAGCTGCTTTCTCTCAGCCTGAGTTAACTGTTCAGCAGCTCAGTTTTGTCTCTGGTGCATCACAGGTAAGAGGTCTCGAGGGCATCTCCAGCTCCGTGTGGCTCTGAGTTAAGTGTAAACTCCTCAAGAGAGAGAAACTAAACCGAAGTTTTAATAGTTGAGAGCGGGGAGTTGGTGCAATGGAACATGTCAGAAACTCTCTGTTGTAACACAATTATGTTCAACAAGAGGGACCTGATCCCAACCCCCAGCTCGGGCAAATCCTTGACCGTTCAGTGCCTCGGTACGTCTTCCCGACGTGAAAGGCATTGTGTAAATGCAAGTTGTTGAGTTTCTGACTCCTCATTATGGGTTTTCTCTTTGGAACTTAAAGGTTAGTGACATTCACGTCTCATCAGCACAGGTTAATGTTTATATTCTAATATTTGATGATCTCTATCAGCAACAGAATGTCGGAATCGAGCCAGCTCTCTGTGGTGGTCTCTCAGCCGGTTCCTGAGCCAGGCAGGTCCACTGTATTTCAGGGCACTGCTGATGACAGCACTGGCTCATCGGCAGGACCTGGAAGAGCGGACCAGTCACTTGGGGCAGGAAATCCTCCCACTCAGCTCCTGTTAGCCCTGCAGCCAAAGCCTTAACGGGTAGGGTTGTCCTAACTGTACGAGCAACGGGAAAGCTTTCCAGACAGTTGATGATCTCTATTTGAATGGGATTGTGTAACTGGAGTATTACACTGAGTTACACAGCGTGTTGTAACAACACTAGAGTCTGGGAGGGGAGTGGAGAGGGGGGTTTGGGCACTGGGGAGTGGGAGGCGTTGCCTCCAGTGGCTCGATGGCTTTTTGAACAAACAAAGAACTTGTTAAAAAGTGGAAATAACGCGCGTGCTCTGGGTGCAGAGTCATTGGAGCAAAGACGATCACTTCAAAGGTGAACATAAATGTAAAATATGTGAGCTGCCAGGCGTCAGTGCCAGAGTGCGAGTACCGTGTTAAGCTCGGTTTAATGATTGGCTCAGGTGGAGGTTTGCTCCTGTTCCTGGCTTGGAGTTGACTGATGCTCATTTGTTTGATTTCCTCTCCACAGACCCTGAGGCTATGTTCAGCATCCGCTCCATGCACATCAGCCACTGCCCTCAGGTGGGTAACTCCAGCCCACTTACTTGCTCACTCACACTCGGCTCTCACACTTGCGCAGTTGTTGTATTCACCCTCTCACACACTCTCTCGCACTCTCATTGACAGACATTCACATTGATTGACTTCCACACTCAGGCGCACTCACATTGTGTTAATGCAGAGTTTTATACAACAGGTGTTGCTGTTGGTGCTGGTGGCTGGGGGCCCCTGTCTGCACGCTGCCAGAGAAGTGTTGGTGTCTGAGAACTACGTGGGGACCTTCCCCTATTACCTGACTCGGGTAAACATCCACTATTGTTAATAGTTCAGTCGTTAAATGGACCAACTGCTGGGGAATGTAGAAGGAAACTACAACACTCTCGATCTCTGTCTCAATCTCTGTCTCATCCCAGATCTCTGTCTCTCTTTGGATCTCTTTCTCTGCCTCATTCCTCTGTCATTCCCGTGAGTAAATATTGTTGTTGAGTTTCAGATTGGCACAGGTGTTGCTGGTACGGTCAGGCTGGATCTGGTCAGAGATTATGACGGGTTGTTTGGAATCGAAGCCCCTGGGCTGCTGTTCGCAACGATGTCTTTTGATCGAGAAACTCAGGATCTATACGAGCTGAAGGTAAAGAAATGGAGAGTCTCAGGTAACACAGCAATGTGAGCAGGGCTGGAGAATCCATAATCACAGACAATTTAGCACAACAGAAGACCATTTCAGTTCATTCTGTATTACACTGTGATCCTGTAGTGTAGTGGTTAGAGTACTAACCTCGTAAGTGAGCGGACTCAGGTTTGATTCCCAGGCATGGCAAAATCACATACATGATTTACTCCACACAAGTCTGTTTACCTAGCAGTAAGTAGGAACTTGGGTGTTAGTTGAAAGGTGGATTGCATTTCTAGGGGAAATAATACATTAAAAAAATGTTGGTCACTCAGTCCACAACTGTTTGTGGGACACTGCTGTGCGGAATTGGCTGCTGCGTTTCGTCCACAAAATACACAGTCACTACACTTTACAGTATATCCTGTGAAGCGCTTTGAGACGTCTCAACGACATGATAAGGAGCTATATCAAATGCAATGATTATTATTATTATCATCCCGTTTTCTGTTTCACGATCCTGTCTTCAGTGATCCAATATTCTGGTTTGTGATCCATGCTCACCCGTTCCGGGACTTGCCGTGGCATCAGTAACCGGTCTCTCTCGCTCTCTCTGGCACCAGGTAAACGTGACGGATGCGATGGGGGAGGAGCTGGCGCCACTCATTTCCATCGACATCCGCATCCTCGATCAAAACGACAATGCCCCGCGCTTCCCCGGCCGAGTTACTCGGCCAGTGTCCACCAGGGAGCAAAGCCAGGTCAGTCACTCCAGCAACACAACCGGATAACCTGCCCGTTACTAGTTATAACCAGGGAATTAACTCATCAACCATCCCATTTCCAAGTCAGTAACGAGCGCTGTGCCAGGGGTTATGGGGGGAAACATAAAGTGAAAGTCTCTCTGGGTTTTCACTGCAACGTCACTCAAGTGAGATGGTGGCAGCAAAGGGTTAATCACAGCGTTAAGCTTGGTGTAAAGTGTGGCGTTATAGCCGCTTGTGAGTGGTTTATTACACAATTACCCGGCAGTGTGTGCTGTCTGGGGCTGTGTGCATAGGCACAGACCTGCTGCTTTTACAGATTCTCGTTAAACCTCAGTCACTCACATCCTGTGGCTGATATCGCTCCTTCCACTCCCCACCCCCAACGCACTCCCCATCATGTCTGCTGGTGCTCACTCCCCATGGAGTGGTACTCTAATCCCATGAGAAGCAGATTCCAGGGTTTGTGTGCCCCCCCCCCCGGCCCCCCAGACCCCTACCACCCCCCCCAGCTACCTTGGTTCCTTGGCCCCCTTGGTCCCCTGGCCCCTTGGTCTCCTGGCTTCTCAGTCCCCTGGCCCCCCAGTCCACGGCCCCCCCAGCCCCGGCCTCTTCTGTCACTGGCACCGAGAGCAGCACATGGAGGTGGTGAATGTTACATTCCAGCCGGTGTCTCTTATCTGTTGTTTGTCTCTATTTATAGTGAAGGTTCAGCCAGTCGCATTCTCTCCTGGACAATAGCAAGCGTTCGCACTGCAAGTGGAGAGAGACCTTAACCTTTCCTTCACTGAAGCCAGCTGTCACCTCACAGCCTCTGATCCTAAACCCCAAACACATCCCAGTGGCTCTCACCATCACATGGCAAACATGGAGCAGTGGGCACAATGGGGAAAGGGAATGGTTAACTCCCGGCTGGAGCTGCCTGCTCCTGTTTGTGTGTTATTGCCGGCTCCAGCGCCTTTGGGACGCCCTGCATTATTGTTGTTGTTGTTGTGTGTACAGTAGGCACCGGGTAACGGGAATGATTTGCTGTTTGCCCTCTGGGTGATCTCTGACGCAGTGTGTTGTGTGACAGGTTTTAGCATAGTCTCCGTCACGGCCACGGACCCTGATGACCCCTCTCTGCCCAACGCTGACTTGCGTTACACCATCTTCACACAGCACCCTGCACCGACCGCAGACCTCATGTTCCAGATCCACAGGATGTCGGGAGTCGTGTCGGTCTCTGAGGAAGGTACCGGGGCAGACTCACAGTGTCCCCGCCACCGGGAGAGCGCGAGGGGGAAGAGAGAGCGAGGGAGGAAGAGAGGGAAGGGGGGAGACGGAGGGGGAGAGAGCAAGGAGAGCAAGGGAGAGAGAGGGAGGGGGCGAGGAAGAGGGCAAGAGAGTGAAGCAGAGGTTGAGTGAAGGGCAAGAATAGGGCAAGGGCACATCGCAGTTTCAGCTTTTATTTGTTTACGGAACACTTTGCCACGAGTTCTTACTAAAGCTCAAACCAGTAAAGATTTTACAACGGGTGAATGAGGAATTAACGAGGAACAATAAAAAAGGATATGGGAGCGAGCACAGCACCGATATGATGGGGAGAGAGAGAGCAGGGAATGGGGTTAGAGTAGAGAGCTCTAATGGGGGAGTGAGCACCAGCACAGACACGATGAGTCCATGTGTTCAGACATGTGTGTCTGTGTTTCCATGTTGCCAGGAGCTGTCTCGCTGGATCCCTCCCGAGTTGACGAGTACCAGTTGGCTGTTGAAGTGAAAGACATGGGCGACCAGAAACTTGGCCACTTCACACGTGTTAACGTGACCATCCGTGTAACTGAGAACATCTGGCTTCCCCCACCTGCTGTCACCGTGTCAGAAAACCATGCAGGCCCCTACCCCATGGTCATCTCCAAGGTACGGCCTGGGATTGACTGTATATTTGTGAACGTAACGTAGCAACCAATACACACAGCAGTGTCCCACAAATAGTCGTGGATTGAATGGAGACATTTTTTTGAGGGATTATTACTCCTGGAAAGCAATCCTGAAACTAACAACTGAACTAACAACTGAGTTCCTATTCACTGCTAGGTAAACAGAGGGATGGCAGCAAGGAAACTTGCCTAAGGTTTCGCCCTGCCCAGGAAATGAACCAGGGACCTCTCACTTGCAAAGCAAGTGCTCTAACCGCTACATTACAGGAGTCATTGAGAGGGTGTGAATATTTATTCACTCTCAGGACCTGCCTGACAATCTCCAGATTCATTACTCGTTCACCATAAGGTGTGTTTTGCCTGATATAATAAAAGCCGTCACTCCACTCTCCACAATCACTTGTGAGGTGTTTAACGTGATGCTGATGCTGCTCTATAAACAATGGAGGATCTCTGACCCAATGAAGGGTGTAATGTGCGGTGTCCTGTCCCAGGTGCAATGGAATGCGGACGGTGCCCGTTACCACTGGAGCGGCCGCACGGCCAACTGGCAGAGCCATTCAGCATTGGTGACGATGGTAACATTTACCTCATCCGCCCACTGGACCACGAGCAACAAGCAGAGGTGAGCTCATTGTGCCAGTACACAGGGAATGCTCTCAGTCTCCCTCTCCCTGTCTTTCTCACACTCTCTTTCTCGCTCTCACTTTCTCTTTCACATACTCTCTCAAATACACACACTCTCGCTCTCATGCACTCTCTCTGACATTCTCTTTCTCTCACACAGTACTTGTTGCTGATCAGTGCTGTGGACAAGGCGGGGATGCTGTATGATGAGCCTCTGGAGCTGACGGTCACAGTCAGTGATGTGAACGACAACGCACCGGCTTGCTTCCCCCACAGTTACCGGGCATTGCTGAGAGAGACGGCCCCCGAGGGTACGGTGAGAACCCTCCGGAGCCCCTCCCCCCTGCAGCCCCCCTCCCCCACAGCCCTGAGCGTCTGACACGCGTGCCGAGAGCCACACATGGGCCGGGAGCCACACACGGGCCAAGTCTGTAATACCTCCTCTTGTTTAATGGCTCCAAAATACCGAAAACAATGTCTGACTCTGTGCCGGGCGCTCACTCCCTGTCACTCCCCAGCTCAGATTCTGTCAGTCGTTCAGTAAGTTTATCCCAGGTGAATGGTGCGTGTAAAGGCCATGTGTAAACAACAACAACAAAATTAGATTTGTACAGCGCCTTTCACGTCGGGAGGACGTTCTAAGGCCATGTGTAAAGGCCATGTGTGAGGCCTGAGTAAATGCAGTGTAAACGTGGTGTGGTTTCAGGCACGGAGCTGGTGACACTGGGAGCTGTGGATGCTGATGATCCCAGCACAGAGAACGCACATCTCTCTTTCCGGCTGGTGAGGCAGACACCACTGGCCCCCGGTGACCCCGTCTTCACTGTGACCCCTAGCGGCCTGGTCACATTGGCCACAGCCGCCCACAACCGCACCGCGGCCCGGTACTCACTGAACATCACCGTGACTGACCGCGGGGGCGAGGAGGGAGGTAAGGGAGGAGCAGCTCTTCCCCCAGTGGGGATTGTTACACACCAATGTCACGCACACATACTCATGATCTCACACTTATACTTCACGCAATTACACGCTCTGACATTCACGTACTGATACTCACTCCTGATTCACAAGGATCAGGGGATTAAATAAGTTGAGACGTTGGGGAGAGAGGAATATTGGGCAGGATCTGGGAGACTTTCCAACACTTCCCAAGTAGTACTGGGGGCGGGGTGGGGGTGGGTGGTATCTGGGAGGGAGGGGTTCCCGTGAGGAGCTGGGTGGTGTGTAGTGCAGGGAGAGTTAACCAGGTCACAATGTGTCCTGCCTAGGGCTGTGGGCTGAGTGCCTGGTGACGGTGGAGGTGGAGGAGGTAAACGATCACGCACCGGCGTTTCCACAACAGCAGGTAAGCATGTTCCCCGCCAGCGACACTGTGTTCCACGCAGGGCAACCCGCGTGTTCCCCGCCAGCGACACGAGTCTTATTGCCCCTCGAAGTCCGGACCCTCTCCAGCCCGGCCCTGTGTGTCAGCAAACTCTTATTATCTAAATAATGATGAAATAATGCGCAACTGATTTAGCTGATAAGCAATCGTTTCCTTTATTATAGTTCCACAGTCAGTGATTATTATGATTTTTCACTTTTTTAAAAATATTGTCACTCAATCCACGATGGTTTGTGGGACGCTGCTGTGCGCAATTGGCTGCCACGTTTTGCCCAGTCACTACACTTTACTGTGTATTCTGTGAAGCGCTTTGACTTTGGCTACCTCTCTCATTGTGAACGCTGACATCTCTCCCCTGTCGAGCAGTACGGCCCTTTCACTGTCCCGAGGACACAGGCCTGGCCTCTCCCATAGCCACGCTGAACGCCAGCGACGCTGACCGTCCCGGTACAGACAGCTGGTTCATTACCTACACCTTCCTGTCCGGGAACCACAACCACACATTTCACATTCTGCACGACAGAGAGAGTAACACAGGCCGCTTAGTGCTTAACAAGGTATGTGGACCCCTGTCTCTCTGTCACTGTGTGTGTCTCACTGTGTGCATGTGTCTCACTCTGTGTGTTTCTCTGTTACTGTGTGTGTGCGGGTGGGGAGGGTGCTGCGGGCGGGTGGACAGAGGTGACGCTGTTGTGTTCCAGACCCTGGATTACGAGACAGAGCGTGAGTTCACGCTGATCATCGCTGCCCGGAATGAAGTGGAGCTGGTGGACAGTGTGTACGGACCAAGCGGCACTGCCACAGTCAGCGTCACCGTGCAGGATGTGAACGAGCCCCCGGTCTTCACCCACCGCCAGTACCAGGTGTCGGTGCCCAGAGACATCACTCCCGGCAGCTCACTGCTGACCCTCAGCGGCTACGATCCCGACACCCCTCATACCCCCATCAGGTACCCACACAGAGCCCGTCCCCATCCTGTGTGTGTTTGTGTGGGGGGGGGGGAGGGAGGGGCTGGGGAGCTTAGGTGTAGGGTGTGCGTGTGTGAGGGTGTAGGAGGGATGTGGAATGTTGTCCGGGGCTCACTCTTGCTCCACTCACAGGTATCACCTGGAGAAAGACATGCTCGGGTGGCTTTCAATCGACGGCTCAGGGACGGTGAGCACGGTGCGGGGGCTGGGCTGGGAGCTGGCGGGGACCACCTACACCGTTTTGGTGGTCGCTGAGGACACAGGTAACAGCAACGGTCACCACTCCCGCAACACCGACCGGCTCCAAACATCTTGTGGGGAAACAGCGGCGAGTGCAGTGACTGAACGAATATCTATAATCCTTGCATTTGCTACAGTCCCTCATCACAGCTTCGAAACATCTCAAAGCGCTTCACAGGATACGCTGTAAACTGAGTTGACTGTTTATATTGTGGTTGAGTATCTGACACTCCTTTTTACTCTGTTGCAGAAAATACATCTTTATCTGTCGCTGTACCTCTGCTCATTCACCTCGAAACCCCGACAGAGGGACCGGGATTGGGCCGGGAGGGGCTGGGGTCGGGGCTGGTGCTGAAGAAAACCTCGGGTGGGGTACTGTGTACCCCTCGCCGTGAGGCGCAGTCGCTCAGTATCAGGGTCACCACACGGGAGGGGACAGAGCCTGCAGCCCCCCTGGTGCTCACCCTCGCCTCGGACGCCCTGATACAGAGAAACTGGCGGCTCCAGCAAACCAACAGTACGTGGTGGGGGGGGGGCGGGAGCAAGTCACTAGGCACCTGATGAGGGGTGTGAGGTGGGGGGCAGCTTAACACACACGCAGATCTGAGACTGACTGTGGGCGAAGGTTTATATCAGTCACTGCACACACTCACGCTCACACACAAAGAGGAGCCGATCCTCACAGACACTCTTATTCATACACACACACACAAGCCTTACAGCACAGATAAGGGGCAATGGGTCCCTGTTCCCCGATGGATACTGTAGATACAAGAGCCAGCGCTGACACACACATGATCTGTCCAGCACTGAGCGCTCCATACTGTCAGCAGGAATGTGACGCCGTGGATCTGGCTATTTTTCAGACACACACGCTTATCTGACCTTTGGGTTCCGCTGGGTGACTCCTAGGGTCCACCTGGTCGCTATTGTCGTTTCAGTCTCTGGCCCAGCCACAGCAAGTCAGAGCCAGAGCCTAACCCTCCCAGGTAAGAGCAGGGGAATGTGTGATCTCCCCCGCCCCACAACCCCCACCCCCCCCTCCCCGGCCCCCTACACACACTCATAGTCCCCACACCCAGTGTTGCTGCTCCAGCACAGGATTCCTCCAAATAACATCGCTCACTCACGTGACAGCTGTTTGTGGGACGTTGCTGTGTGCAGAATTGGCTGCCGCGTTCACCTGCAAATACGGTCACTGCACTTTACTGTAAATCCTGTAAAGCTCTGTAAGACGTCCTCCAACATGAAAGGCACCGGATCAAATGTGAGGATTACTATTCATTATAAATAACCAGTGTGTTACATTAAATAAATTGAACGTCGTGGGAGTAAAATAGAACAAAACAAGAGGTATTTCCTGGGAGTGTGAGGCACTTGACTCAAACTGTGTGTTGGGTTCCCTGAGTCACCAGCAGACAAACCAGCCCAACTCCCCATGTGTCTGGCTCAATCACCACCCACCGCCCGCACCTTCACCCCATCCAACTCTCCCACCCCCTCCCCCCCCATACTAAGCAGTGTGATCTTTCTCCAGTGACGGTGTGTACCTGCGGCTCCGGTGATTATTGCCGGATGGAGCTGGAGCCGGTGACGGGCAAACCCACCATCCTGTCGGCCGTAGCCATCCTGGGGGTGCTTTGGGAGTCGCGGGTAAGTGACCAGCAATACTCCCTCCCCCCGGGTTGGGGGCAGCGATTTGTGGCTTCGATTGTCCAGTAGATATTCACTGCGGATCTGTCACCCCCCACCCCCCAAAACACAGTGTCACCCCCCAACACAGCTCCTGTGTCTGGTGTAGCACAGACGAGTTTGAGCCGTTTTGGGGGCAGGTTGGAGCATTGGCCCCAGTGGGAAGGGAGTGAGGGTGGGTGTTACTACCGAGAGCCCTCGTGGTTCACACGTGAGTGAGTAGAGGCTATCACTGGCCACAGTGGGGCAGCATTGAGTCACTCCAGGTTCCAATCCTCTCTGTCTGTCTCTGACCCTCAGCCTTGATCCTGATGGTCACCTTCACCCATCTGTCTGTGAGGAGGAGGCGGGAGAGTGTGAATCCCGAGGCCCTGCCTCTCCAGCCCGCTCGATACTAATTGGACAGTGAACGTTCGCTGAGGTGGGGCCACATACCAGTGCTGTGATTGAACGTTCAGCTCTTACACTTCTCCTCCAATCAGGGTTGATCATTCAATCAGTCACTTTCCTATCTCCCTGGGACCGCACAGACCAGCGTGTAAACCGTGTGTAAATCGTGTTGAAACCACGTGTGCTTTATGAATTTGGGTGCAACCAAAGTCTAAATGCATGTGTACAAAGGAAATTCTATGTACAATGTGTAAACCATGTGTCAATTGTGTGTAAACCCATGTGTACAGAGGGAATTGTATGTGTAAACCATGTGTCTGAGACACCATTCGGGGTGGAGGGCACTATATAAATCCAAGTTGTTGTTGTTGTTGTGTCCATTGCGTGTAAACCCATGTGTACAGAGGGAATTCTATGTATAAACCATGTGTAAACTGTGGGTACAGAAGGATTTCCAGGTGACTTGACTAATGTGGCTTTTCAACAATTCCTTTCCATTGGTGGTAAATTATGTAATTAAAGGTGACCCACCCCATGCACATGTGTTTGCCCAATACACATGGTTTACACATGGTGCAGTGTTGACCCCAGTGACTGGAATCTCTAGTTCTGACACTGATTGTTAAATACATTATGAGATAATTACGTCACTGCTTCGTGCTGTCCGGGTGCGTGTGACGTGCTGCTGCATAAACCAGCTTTGTGTAACACTGAGATTGATTTTGCGATTGTTCCATGTGTTAATTATCACATTGGGTGAACCAGAGGGGAACCTTCTCTCTTCCTGTCTCTACTTTCTCTCTCTCTGTTCTCACTGGTGTTGGTCGCAAAGCCAGGCTTGAGATGATAGAATTCCGGACAGCGGCTGGTTTGGCATTCCCATCTTCTATGTCCCAAATCTCCGGGATCCTATCCGCTGATCTGGTTGATGGAGCTGGAATTCCTGTGTAGCTGCTGTTCGCTCTGCCTCTGTGCCGTTGCTGTGGTGAAGGTCTCAGGGCCTTGTGTGATAACCACTGAGATAGTTTCTCACCATCATAAACCCACCGGCGTCTGGTCAGTCCCCCAGCCTAGGGTTGCTCACGCTCTGAGTCTCTGCACTGTCTCTGCTTTCCCCGTCACCTCCTGCTAATCTCAGAATCACACTCACCGCTTTGATTTTTATAATTGATTGTCAGATCAGAGACTTGCCGTTAATCCCAATGCAAATACTCACAATCTAGCAAAGTGCCTATTAAACCACTGAGCACCGCTCACTCACACAGTCTGTTTACTCCATTTTCTGAAAACCGGCGCAAAGGCCTCTCAAAGCGCTTCACATGATTCACTGTGAAGTGTAGTGACTGTGTGTTTAGCAGGTAAGCCTGGCAGCCAATTTGCACACAGAACGATCTGCAGTCATGGAGTAAGTGAGGGATTTTTCTCTGGGGGATTGTCGGCCAGGATACCAGGAGAGAGAAACTTCCTGCTCTTTTCAAATAGTGCCGCAGGATCATTAATGTCCAGGCAGATGGCACCTCAGTTTAATGTCTGATCCGAAGGGATCTGAACAGTTCTGATCGAAGACCCCCCTCATTGTGAGCAAAGTCCCTAATGGGGAACGTGAGCCCACAAGCTTCTGACTCAGTGGAGAGAGGGCTGGTGACTGATGCCATCAACACCGTTGAAAGTCTGGCCACATGGTGTCACACAGAGAGTTACAGAGAGTGAGAGTCACACAGAGCAGGTGGTGTACACTGGGAAGAGACATTTTTTACACAATTCTTCGTCATCTGGAGTTGAGGGCAAATGGCCTGGATTCTGTGGATTCTGCCCCCAACTCCCCCTCCCCCACCCACCACCATCGGTGGAGCCAGGCAGCTGTAGGTAGGCTGGGACCGGTGTGTCATTGTTAATGACAGCGATGTGTGACTGAATCACTGGGATACCAGTGTCCAGCCCGAGTCACTGACAGTTAGTGTGTGTGTGTGTGTGACTGTCACTCTTTACAGACAGTTTTTTTTGGGGAATATTACATCAATGTAATATTGATGTTGATGATCTTCGGCGCTCAAATTCGAGGACTCCAGCTGTCTGGCTGGGGGTGTAGTGGTTGTGTGTTTAGCAGGTGAACCGGGTGTGGGGGGAGAGCTACAGCTCGCTGGGTGACAGGATTTTTCCCGTTTCGCTTCACAAGGCAGCAGACCTGGTTTCTGTCACTGTGTTGTGAAATGTTATTGTTTGGATCTCACCAGTACATTCCTGTGCGGCCAAATCTTGAGAGAGTTTCTATAAACAGCGCAGTTGTTGGCTCAGGGCTGTGTCTTGTGGATATTCACAGCGATACCCTCCCTTCCTCTACTCCCTCCCACTCTCAAACCCCAACAGCAAAGCAACACGAAGGGTGGGGATAAAGCAAACCCCAATAACGTGCTGAACACAGGCACAAACTCCGCCACGAAGGAAGAGGGTGTAGGAGTGAGTGATGGCTTTACACACATGGTGCGGAGTGTGTGGAGCTTTCTGACTCTGCTGGAAAATAGGAGACTGGTCAAAGGAAAGCTGTGGAGATGGAATCAATGGTCAGTGAGGGTTAGCCAGAGACTGGGGTAGTTTCAGGTAATCAGGGTGTCATAGAAGGGTGGGGATTTGGATTAAAAAGTGTGCCCAAATCTAACACGCTTTTGGCACAACCTGGATAGTCTGAATGGCCTCTTCCTGTCCCTGTGTTCTTCTAAAACAAGCCAGGGTAGCATAGTGGTTAGTGCGCTGGCCTCGCAAGTGAGAGGACCCGGGTTCGATTCCCAGGCAGGGCGAAACCTTAGGCAAGTTTCCTTTCTCCACACACCTTCATTGACCCAATAATCATCTGAAGGCTATTGACCTAATAATCCCTCAACAAAAATGTGGTCATTCAATCCATGACTGTTTGTGGGACATTGCTGTACGCATTTGCCTGCCTTGTTTTGCCCAGAAAATACACAGTCATTATACTTTACAGTATGTCCTGTGAAGCGCTTTGAGACATCTCCAAGTTATGATAAGGAGCTGTATCAAATGCAAGGATTACTTTTATTATTAGTAACATGGTTCAGCTGCTTTAGCCAGTAATGGTATGAGGCTCTCTGGCTGCTTATCAGACACTCTGATGGTGGTGCGAGGGGAATGCCGGGGGAGGGAATGCCAGGAAGCGTTTCCAAGGGTTGTGTTTAGTAAATAAACGGCTGGGAGCAGCTGGTGGATTCCCAGCCCTGGACGAGGTGAGGCCTGACAGTGGCTGTCAGCGCGGCCTATAAATAAACCGTGTGAGAGCGCGTGGCTGTGCATTCAGTAGCTTGCTGCTAATGGCCTGGGTCTGGGGGGTTTTAGTGTTTGTTATTTATAACTGGGAGGCAGTGCTCATCCCCACACACACACATCCTCCCCCTCCCCCTCCCACATACAGGCTCTTCATTCTCCTTCACATGTTCACAGTCACATAATAATAATTCTTGCATTTGATATAGCACCTTATCACTTTGTTGAGATGTATCAAAGTGCTTCACAGAATATATTGTAAAGTGGATTGACTATGTATTTTGTAGGTGAAACGCGGCAGTCAATTGCGCACATGAGTGTCCGACAAACAGTCATGAATTGAGTGACTACATTTTCTTGTTGGGAGGGTTTATTACTCCGAGAAAGCTTTCCGCTAATTGACTAACAACTGGGTTTCTACTTACTGCTAGGTAAACAGAAGGGTGTGGAGTAAAGAAACTTGCCTAAGGTTTGGAAACAAACCGGGGTCTCTCGCTTGCGAAGCGAGCATCCTAACCACTATGCTATGGGACATCCTTCCCCCACCCCATCCTCTGTATGAGGAGCCAGTCCTAATTAAACACCCTGGTTTCTGGCTCACAGCATAAATTGCCTGTAAGCCAGCGCTGAATTGTCAATCTGCCCCCGAGAGGCCAGTGACTGCTGCTGGGATGAAGGCCAGGTTCTGGGGTCAGACACGTTAGAGTCTATTTTCCGCCGCCGGCCAGAAATAGATACCGTTTCTTTTTGTGGCCGCACGGTTGCTGAGTTTAGGACCAGACCTCCCCAGGCTATAAATAGCCCAGGGGAGACTCAACTCCTGCCGGAACGTGCTGGCTGGATGCTGACACTGGGCTATTTCCCAGCACTGACATCCCTGATCTCAGAGAACACAAACCTCATCCCAATTCCCCCTGCCCCCCCTTGATCCCCACCACCAATAAAACCTGTAAGAGTCTAGAGAACACTGTCTCCGTGTAGCAGCAGAGACACCCCGATCGGAATGTCAGAGTCAGGCCGAGCCGCCGCATCACGTGGGAACGTGTGGTGACATCACGTGGGAACGTGTGGTGACATCACAGATTGTGTGGTGACATCACGTGAGAACGTTTGGTGGCATCACATGGGAACTTGTGACATCATGTGGGAACTTGTGGTGACATCACGTGGGAACGTGTGGTGACATCACGTGGGAACGTGTGGTGACATCACAGATTGTGTGGTGACATCACGTGAGAACGTTTGGTGGCATCACATGGGAACTTGTGACATCACGTGAGAACGTGTGGTGACATCACGTGGGAACGTGTGGCGACATCACGTGGGAATGTGTGGTGACATCACGTGAGAACGTGTGGTGACATCACGTGGGAACTTGTGACATCACGTGGGAACATGTGGTGACATCACGTGAGAACTTGTGACATCACGTGAGAACGTTTGGTGGCATCACATGGGAACTTGTGACATCATGTGGGAACTTGTGGTGACATCACATGAGAATGTGTGGTGGCATCGCGTGAGAACGTATGGTGACATCACGTGGGAACGTGTGGTGACATCACGTGAGAACGTTTGGTGACATCACGTGGGAATTTGTGACATCACGTGGGAACATGTGGTGACATCACGTGGGAACGTGTGGTGACATCACGTGGGAACGGGTACACTCTCGTTGTCCTCTGTATACTCAGTGCCCCTGTATACACACCTCTGCTTTAAAGGGCTAATTGGAGCTTTCATCTGTTCTATAGATGTGTGTACAGAGAGCATCTATTCTGAGTGAAACACGATCTCTGGCTAGTGAGTGACTCAGACTGGCCAGGATTAAAACAACTATATTTACACTGATCGTCACTAATACAGCAAACCCAGCCAGCCGGTGATTCATGTTAAGCTGAAAATAACAGACATTGTGAGATATTTACTCTCCAATTCCAACAGAGACAGAGAGAAATAGACAGAGACAAAAGAGACCATTCATTCTGAGTGCTTTAGGACTGTCTGTGTGTGACTGAAATGCAATAATAATAATAATCCTTGTATCGTCATTGAGATGGCTCAAAGCACTGCATAGAGTATAGTGTAAAATGAATTGATTGTAGTATATTGTGTATGTGCGAGGAGCGTGTGTGTCAATGTGCAGGAGCATGCGTGAGTGTACAAGGAGCGTGTGTAAGTGCCATGCTGTGTGTGTGTGACTGGATTTGAATGGTTGGGGCGCCATCTGGTGGGCAGAAACATTTCCTGAGCTCTTTATGGCACCCCAGAAATTTACAGCACAGGAGAGCGGGGGCCATCGCTGGTGAGGCCAGTTCCAGCCTGGGCTGCATGGGCGTTGGGCTGGGTCGTGGGATGGGGGGGGCGGGACTGTGGGTGGTGGCCGGGGCCACAGAGTTGTGGGCAAAGCTGGAGATGGTGATGCCACAAACCCAACCTGCGACGGGTGCTTTCCTAGTCATTGTGTACGGCTTCCCTATGAGTTCAGTCACTACACATGACAATGTAATAAGGCACTAGATCAAATGTAAGGATTATTATATATTGATTATATGTGGTCGGGCAGGAGGATGGAGAGGTTAGTGCCAGACACCTATTCTATAATAAACGCAATCTTCCAACAGCACTTTACGAGCAGCAGGGAGGTGGGAAATGCAGGAGATGAGACTCACTCGCTCACAGCCTGGGCGTTTCCGCACCTCGCATGCCCATCAAAGGTGCCCAAGGCAATTAGTCAGTCTGTAGGCAGGTAAGTACCTCCTCGGGGGTGGGGGTGCGTGATCAGCACAGCACCCATTAGCAACAACAACTTGCATTTATATAGCACCCTTCACCCCTGTGCTGAGGATTTTAAACATTGTTCAGCACCTGCACTGGATTCGGTGAGTGTATGTAAAAGCACAAAATCTAAACCGACAGCAGCAATACAGCATCAGTCACTGTCTGCTTGTGTGTGAGGCATCGTCTGCAGTAGGTGGTGCTGTGGCTTCACTCTTGATTTTATCATCATCGTCGACCTTACGTTCAATATTCGATAGAGCATCTTTAATAAGAAACCTCAAAATGCTTCACAGGGAATTGCTCCCAAGTGCAGTGACTGTGCAAATAAACACAGGCACACAGTCACTACACTTTTCAGTGTATCTCGTGAAACTCTGAGCCATGAAAGTCCCTGTGTAAAATGCAGGGATTATTATTAATAATAAAATAGATTTTCATGTGCCATCTTTTATTATTGTTAAATAAACTCAGTCATTACATCTTGTGAAGGACTTTTGAGATGTCCTTCCTTCATAAGTGAAAGGTAGTAAGTGCATGGAATATTAAATAATCTTTTATAATTATCATTATTAAACTCATGGAAGACAATCTGAAGGTTGATTTCTCACATTCCATTTGAAGGAATTAATTAGGAAGTCAGTAACTGAAGCCAATCCCCGTTAGGAAATCTGACCGCTCCCCCCTGCCCAACTTGGTCTGTAAACCATAGAACATTCCAGAACTGTGGGAACATCCTGCACTTTAGGCCCCGTTTGGATGAGTCTTTCCTGCATTTCGTAAAGAAACCAGTTTCCAAATGAGGATTGACGTTGCAGAATGCTTCACCGTTCTAGGCCACCTCATCAACAATTTGAGACGAAAATTATTTTTTATAAAGCAAAACTTGTAGATGTCACTATTTCTCTGGAATAACGGAATGTAGTGATTGTGCTAATGACACCTGATGGCTGATCAGTGCATGAAGAGACGATTAACAGAATATGGGTCGTGTTGCAACAATGGCAATGATTTACAGCAAACAAGAGATTTCACCCATTGTGTGAATCCATTGGTTACCACACCCACCGCAAGTCCAGGGAAGAAATCCACAGTTTATATACGGGAGTGGTTGGGGGTGTCTAGTATCTGCCCCACCCTACAGGAGTCCACCCTCCTGCGATCACACAGCCTGAAGGTGGATGATGCAGGATTCCAGCCCTGAGACGAACAATTTGACAGTAATTAAATCTGTGCTGAGCGACTCTCAGACAATCGGCCTCTCCACCGCCCCCTGCTGGAGTCCCGCAGTGGTTACTGGCGTCTGTGGGCCGAACGCCTGAACGAGGCTTCAACCGTCCTCCCCTTGAGGGGTTGAGGGGGGCGGAAGTTGTCCATCATCCGGGTCCTCAACCCCTCCTCCTCCCCTGAGAAAAAGAGTGTCCGGAACTTCTCCATCTGCAAAGAAACCGGACAAACAGAGTCAGACGCCGGGGCTGAGCCCAGCCCCCACCTGCACCTCTTGCCTCTCGCTCCAGCCTTGGAGACAATTTCATCTTAAAACGTTTAAAGTTGGGCTGGAGTGAGCATCAGCACAGACACGATAATAATAAATAATAATCAATTGCATTTGATATAGCGCTTTTCATGTCTTCCAGACGTCTCAAAGCGCTTCACAGAATAGACTGTATAGTGAATAGACTGTATATTTGTGGGTGAAACACAGCAGCCAATTGCGCACAGTGGCTTCCCACAAACAATCGTGGATTGAAGTTACCAATTTTATTATTGTTTTTTTTCTTGAGGGATTATTATCCTGGAGTAAGGAAACTTGCCCAAGGTTTCACCCTGCCGGGAATCAAACCCAGGTGTCTCGATTGCAAGGCGAGTGCCTTAACCACTGAGCTACAGGACTCCAACATTGGGGAGAGAGCAGGGAATGGGGTTAGAGTAGAAAGCTCTGGAGTTGGCGCTGGGGACATGTTGCCCGAGTGACTGACCTGCTTCTCAGACAAGTATAGTGGTTCCTTCAACATCAGCCAGGTGACGCTCTCATGCAGGGGAGGTGTGGTCAGTGAGCCGCGGTAGGTCCAGTAATCCAGGCAGTCGGGGAGGAGACCCGAAGGGTTAAAGTCCTTAAACTGGGCCTTGGTTTCCTGCCAGAGATCAATAACTATATCAGCTGTGCTCTGTGTCTAATCACATTGTAAGTACAATGAGATAGGAGCCAGCTCAGTTCAGCAATGATTAACTACAAATTACTTTCCTTCAATCCGGCTCTTGTCCAGAGTCCTGAGCTCACAAGGCCCAGTCAGCAATAATAATACTAATTCTTGCATTTACTATAGTGCCTTATCACATTGTTGAGACGTCTCAATTCACTTCAAAGAATATATTGTAAAGTGAATTGACTGTAATATTTTGTGGGAAAAGAGCGGCAACCAATGCACACAGCAGTGTCCCACAAACAGTCGTGGATTTAGTGATCAAATTATTATTAGTATTTTTTGGAGAGATTATTATCCCCCGAAAAGTGATCTGCCAATTGATTAACAATTGGATTCCTACTTAATGCTCGAGTAACAGAGGCGTATGCAGTAAGGAAACTTGACTGGGAATCAAAGCTGGGTCCTCTCCCTTGCAATGCGAACACATGAGCCACTGAGCTCCAGGGTGATTCCCGGTTTGATGTGGATGCAGGGGCGAGCGAGTGAGGTGGGGAGGGGGGGGTCAGACAGGTAGGGGAGAGGGCTGGACATACCTTGAATCTGACCATGTAGAGAGCGTCCGTCAGCCGGTGTAAGACACTGTGCTTCTCGCCGGTCTGAAAGGCACGAACAAGCTCAATTATTATTATTATATTTAATGAAACGTCAAGAGTTTCATTCGCTATTCGGGGTTCCTGTGATTATATAAAATCAACCAGTCACCCCTCACCCCTGGAAACCCATCTCCAACCCCCCTCAGCACTTCACCCAATCTGCCTTGGTCCCTAAATCCTGCCTGAAGACTAACCGCTATGACCTCGCCTGTGGGCACACACCCCTGACTTAGCCTCCTCCCCCACCGCTGTGCAGCACTCTTGACACTGTCCTGTGTGAGGGACTGTCTAAATACAAGTTGTACATATTTAATATTAAGAGTTTATATTTTACCGGCAATCAGCCTCACTGGGGCAACCCCCAGACTAACTCTCTCTCTATCACACACACACACACACACACACACACAGAGGCTGTGACCTGTTTTACATTTTTTTTATTGAATTAAACATATTCTTTCTTTGTGGCCAAAACACACACAGCGATTGTCAGGCTCTGAGCCACTGCCTTATACGGGAGGAAACATAAACTGCGCTGCTGCGTGGGGAAGAGAGAGGATCATCTTCCATAATAAAATAATAATAATCCTTGCATTTGATATAGAGCCTCATCACGTCTTCAAGACATATCAAAGCGCATCACAGAATATACTGTAAAGTGAATTGAGTGATTAGTTTGTGGGCAAACGTGGCAGCCAATTGCGCACAGCAGCGTCCCATAAATAATCGTTAAGGGATTATTAGCCCCAGAAAAGTGATCCGCAAATCAACTAATGACCGGGTTCCTACTTACTGCAGGGTAAACAGAGGAGTGGAGTAAGGAAACTTGCTCAACATTTTGCCCTGCCCAGGAATCAAACCCAGATCCTCTCGCTTTAAGGCGAGTGCTCCAACTGAGCTACAGTCTTGAATGCCATGGTTTGGGATGATGTGAATGAACATGCAGCTTTGCCGGGACTGGAGATGCCGACGGCTAAACTCACCTCCAGGAACACCCCAAGCACCGCCAGCCCGTCCGGGGCCGAAGCCGCTTCATCAAAGCTTTTATACTTCGCTGCGTTCCAGTGCACCAGGTGTAGCTGTGACAACAATAAAACTACAGCTGGTTACACAGCGAACACTGGCTGTGGCATTGCAGAGGACTGCTGTCCAGTGAAGTGACTGTTATTTGGGCAAACACGGCAGCCGATTTGCACGCAAGAAAACTCCCCACAAACAGCCATGAGGTGAGTGACCATTGACCATTTTTTCTCTCAACTTGTGTCTACCAGGGAAAAAAAACCTCCGTTCTCTTTTCCCAACAGTGCCTTTAATGCCTGAACAGGCACAGCGGGACCTCGGTTTAATGTCTCACCCGAAGATGAGATGCGATGCAACCTGGGTTATAATCACCAGAGGCGAAGATGGGATGGTGGGTGGGATTTGATTGAGAAAGGGAATCAGGAGACAACTTCCCTCTGGTAGAGGGGTCTAAAGAAAGAGAAGGAAGTCTTATGGTAACTCGGCTAGAAGAGGGACACAGGTGCCTCCACAGTGTCAGAGCACTCACCTCTCCAGGATAAGACTTGCCGTTGACTGTATGCTCGGAGCCTCTGCTGTCCTTCCCTCCCCAGTGGAAATGGAACTGTTTCAGTCTGTAGGGAAACTCCAGGGGCCCCCCTCTGATCACTGCGGACAATAACACACCGAGGCGAGGGATTAGACACAGCCAAGGAAATGCCCCAAGATGCTTTAATATTACTAATAATAATCATTGTGTTTTATATAGTGTCGTATCATGTCAATGAGACATCTCAAGGTGCTTCACAGGATTCACTGTAAAGTGGATTTAAGTGTGTATTGTGTGGGCGAAACGCGGCATTTATTTATTTTGGGGGGAAGGATTATTAGCTCTGGAAGGCAATCTGCCAATCGACTAACAACCAGGTTCCTACTTACTGCTAGGTAAACAGAGGCGTGTGGAGTAGGAAAATTTGCCTAAGGTTTTGCTCCACCTGGGAATCAAACCTCGGTCCTCTGGTTTGCGAGGTGAGTGCTCCATTCAATACTCTACAGGACTCCTGATATACCGAGAGCATGGATAAGAGGACACAAGACTAGGTGTGAGGGACAAGTGTAGGGTGTAGACCAGGAAGTGTTCAATTACAATGAAAGGAGATGAGGGGAACAGGGAGGATGGTTAACGTCAGGAAACTGAGACCCATTTAAGCAGCAGCTGTAACTTTGGGCTGAGACAAATATCTCGAGGATCTTTGTCACCCGACCCTCTTGTGGTTGCCCCCCTATTTCTCACTCAATGGAAGAGACATGACGGTCACTCTGATTAACCAGCAGACACTCGGGGAGCGGGGAGGGAGAGACAAATCGGCCGTTTGACTCATTGCCTGGTTGCCATTGGGACAACTCTTCACACAGTTGCTGACTGACTGTAGACTAATCCATAGACAGTTAATTGTTATCAACATCGCCATCATTTAAAGCACGCGACTACCAGGATGGCAGAAGGCGAATTAGATGGACCTTGGTATTTTTTCATCTGGCAATTCCTATGTTCCCGTGACTGCCTCAACTCGATAAAACCCAGTTCAGAGTTAGTGACCCACCCAGTACTGCTTCATTATCACTCTGTTAATTAGTGACCAGTAAAGAAATGGAATCTGTACCCTGTGACCGGGCTGCGAGCTCACACACTGGCCAGGAGTGTCAGACCAGAGCTGGGTGGGGGGAGATGAACACAAAGAGAAAAGGCCACTTGCCCCCGAGCTCTACACGGTTATTAGCCAGTGGGGGTGGTCCCAGAGGCTGGTGTCTGTCAGAGGAATGATGATATGTCACAGCACATGACTTTCCCTTTAAAGAAAGCTGTTCTGATCCACGTCCTCGTGCGAGCGTGAGAGCGACAGCCACCGCCCACAGCACGGGCCACAAGTTACCAGATAAAGATTTAAAAGGGTCACAAGAATGAAACCTTGCGTTTTAGTGAGGAAACAACACAGGGCAGCAGAGAGAGCAGGGAATTAGTATTGTTTAGCTGCAGTGGAGCAGTGGCACAGACCAGTCTCCTCTGAACCAGTGATTCTATATCAGTTACTGCTCACATGGGCACTTATTTGCCAATTTTAGAAACAGCTTTTAAACATCAAGTCCAAAATGAATCAGTTTCCCAAAGTCTGATAATTACAAACTTGTCACATCTGAGAGACAGTTTGTCACATCAGCGTCTCCGACTGCAAGATACACACCCACGCTGTGTGTCTCAGCATCGAGGACAGAGAGAGAGTGGGAGAGAGCAGGAGATGAATCAAGAAGTCGTGGTTAGGTGATGCCAAGCTCGGGGATTGAATGTGAAGTGCAGGAGGGAGGGGAGAGGGAAGAAAACCTGGAGGGAGGGAGGAACAACAACAACTATTTGTATTTACACAGCACGTTTCAACAACAACAAGATTACATTTGTATAGCGCTTTTCACGTCGGGGAGAACGTCCCAAGGCGATGGACAGTATACAGCATTTCAGACCCGAGCTGGGGTCGGGGGGCAGAAGGGAGGGGAGGGGAGGGGAAGGGGGGTGGCTGATGGCATGGTCGAAGAGGAGGGTCTTGAGGCGGGACTTGAAGGAGGAAGGACATCCCAAGGCCTGTAGGAAGGAAGTGTCTTGGGATGTCCTTCATCTAGGAAGGACATCCCAAGGCACTGGACAGTTAAAGGTTTGCACTCAAGTTGAGGGTGAGATCAAGAGGGGTGGAGGGTAAGGCAGTGGGGGTGGGAGTGTGTCTGAAGGCACGGTCAAAGAGGACGGTCTTGAGACAAGTTTTGAAGGAGGCAATGGAGGGAGCGAAGTGGTGGGATTTGGTGATGGAGTTCCAGCAGATGGGGGCAAAAAAGCTGAAGGCCCGACTGTCAATGGTGAGTGGGGCAGGAAGGGAGGGAGGGAGTAAGAAATCCCACAATTTTGAGTTCCTGGGAGAGAATGAGTGAGAGGGTTCCCGTTGTAAACTCGTGATGTGAAGAAAATTCACAAGAAAGAGCATCGACAGTGTGGCAATAGCTCCCATTATCACAATTAAAACGATGCAATAAACTTAGGAGTAATCAATCTACCCTTTGAACAAGAAAGTAGGCATCAGGCTGGCTCAGTCAGCAGCACTCTTGCCTCAGAGTCCCAAGGTGGGTTCAAGCCCTACATTGGGCAGTTTGAACTCAGTCTAAGGTGACACTTCAATGCAGTGCTGGGGGTAAGGAGGATTGGGGGGCAGGAGTGCTTCATTGTCAGAGGCAGTGTCCTCCAGGTGAGATGTTCAACCAAGGTCCTGTCTGCTGGTTCAGGTGGACATTAAAGATCCCGTGACGCTGTTCAGAAAGAGAAGAGTTTCTCCTGGTTTCCTGGCTGACAATCTTTCAAATTAAACATTCATCTCTGGTCTGGCTGTCCAAACACACAGTCACTACACTTGATCTTAATTACCTGAGAGGCACTTTGATGATTCAACATTACAGCTACTGTAAACTAAGGTCTCTCTTTCCTTTGGGTGGGGGGGGAATCCTATCTTTGGAATGGTTTTCCTCCAGGAAAGTCAAGCATTATAATTTGGGATGGACTTGTCTCTAGGTCACTAGCTGTGGATATTTTGTACACTGGCAAGAGCTTGGCTTCCACAGTCAGTGCCTCCCCAGTCACACCCTTCACCGTCACACCCGGGTCCTGGCTCAGCACTTTGCAGGTTTGGAACTGAAGTCCACACCAGGTGACAACTTTTCCAGGGGCACCTTCAGGGAAGTGGCAGGACTGCACCCTGATCTACTCCAAGAGACTGGGCATGAATAATAATAATCCTTGGATTTGGTACAGCCCCTTATCAGGTCGGAAGGATGTCTCCAAATTCTTCACAGGATTTATTGTCAAATGGATTGACTGTATTTTGTAGGCAAAACGCAACCCAATTGTGCACAGCGGTGTCCCACAAACAGCCATGAAGCAAGTGACCAATTTTATCTAGGGAGTTGTTGGCCAGGACACTAGGAGAGAGAAACTTCTTTCCCTTTTCGAATTACATAATGCAATGGCATAAGCCCCATGAATACATACAGCCAACCCACCCTCTGTCAATAATGACCAGAAAGAATAAAACAGTGTGCAATATTAACACTGTCGTTAACCAATCCATGTCACTGAGAGGCTACACAGGAAAATAAGGCAGAGCTTCTAGTTATAAGAATAACAATACTTGCATTTGATATAGCACCTTATCACATCGTTGAGACGTCTCAAAGCACTTCACAGGATATATTGTAAAGTGGAGTGACTGTGTATTTTGTGGGTGTTATGGGCAGAGATGTGAAAAATTGGGGCTGTTTTGCATTGAGAAAAAATGTTTACAGCATCAACAAACAATAACAAGAACTTGCATTTATATAACCCTCTTCACATGGGATAGTGTCTGGAACGCTTGGAAGAGTGTAACAGAGGCTTTTTAACAATGACGGTAAGTGGGAGGAGTGAGGGAATAAAGAGACTATTTGCACCGTTGCGAGAGGCATTTGCACTGGAGTTACCACAAGTAGAAGTGTGTAGATAGTGTTAGCGATGGCAAATAAAAGCCCCTCTCACCAGTTTCCCACTGCACCACTTAGGCAAAGTGAAATTTAGCCTCCAGAGAGTTAGTGAAACGCCAGTCAGCAGATTCCAGCCTGTAACTTTCCCCCCATAAAGAAATTGGTCCCTCAATCCATGACTTTTTGTGGGACACTCCTGTGCGCAATTGGCTGCTGCATTGTGCTCACAAAATACACAGTCACTACACTTTACAATATATTCTGTGAGGCGCTTTGCAACGTCTCAACAACGTGATAAGGCAGCATATCAATGCAAGGATTATTATTTTAATAAAACAATCCCCTTGATGTAGAGGCTGTAAGGAGTTTGTAAACTTACCAGTTTTATCATCACAGTCTTCATACTCCACCATGACCGAGTGGCCATTGTTGCAGATGGACAGTGAGGTACAAGCATCGTAGGACACCCAGATAGGCTTGAGGCTGGAGTTGTACACCGTCTGCTCAGACTGAATGTCAATGGGAGACTGTCTGTCTCCATTGGCTAAAGAGTAATCCTTGTACCAATCGCTGGGACCTTTAAGCACAATAATAATCATAATAATAAATTCAACCACATAATCACAGCTGATCTTCTGCCCCCAGAGAGAGAGAGATGTCTCCAGCCTCCTGGACTGTACCCAGGTCCATTATACTCTTTACATGAACAGAAATAGATATAATTAACTGAAAGGCACCAAAACAAGTAAGCAAATCCAGTGGTGGGGCTTGGGTTCCATTCCTGACAGGGCAAAACATTGGGCAAGTTTCCATACTCCACGTGCCTCTGTTTACGCAGCAGTAAGTAGGAACCTGATTGTTAGTCGATTAGCGGATTACTTTTCCAGGGGTAATAATCCCTCAAAAAAATAATTTGGTCACTCAATCCTTTGTAGGACACTGCTGTGCACACTCAGCTGCGGGTTTCACGCACAAAATGTACAGTCAATTCACTTTACACTATATTCTATGAAGAGCTCTGAGACATTTCAAAGATGTGATAAGGTGCCAGAACACATGCAAGGATTATTATTATCTCTGCAATTTTTTTATTGCACAAAAAAATAGAAAAATCTAACAATGGGAAGTTTGGGGGTGAGAGGGGTAACTAGAAGTCTGGTTTATTAACTAAAGTTTATTAACTAGAGAAGTCTGGTTAACTTACAGAAGAAATAACTCACCATTCTCCTCTCCGTAGCCCCAGCAGTGATGTCCAGGCATCTTTGCAGCGTGTGAGTGTGAACGTGTGTGACTCTCACTCCCGGGCTGTAGGGGATCCCGGGCTGTCGGGGATCCCGGGCTGTCGGACGGGGATCCCGGGCTGGACGGGGATCCCGGGCTGGACGGGGATCCCGGGCTGGACGGTGGTCCCGGGCTGGACGGTGGTCCCGGGCTGGACGGTGGTCCCGGGCTGGACGGTGGTCCCGGGCTGGACGGTGGTCCCGGGCTGTAGGGGATCCCGGGCTGGACGGTGGTCCCGGGCTGTCGGACGGTGGTCCCGGGCTGTCGGACGGTGGTCCCGGGCTGTCGGACGGTGGTCCCGGGCTGTCGGACGGTGGTCCCGGGCTGTCGGACGGTGGTCCCGGGCTGTAGGGGGTCCCGGGCTGTACGGTGGTCCCGGGCTGTTGGACGGTGGTCCCGGGCTGTTGGACGGGGGTCCCGGGCTGTAGGGGGTCCCGGGCTGTAGGGGGTCCCGGGCTGTTGGCTGTTGTGAGCTTTGCAATGGGACTGACTGACGCTGAAGAGGGTTTAAATGACCATCAGAGGAGGAGTGTCCGCAGCTGTCAATCAGCCATCACTGGGAGTCAATGCCAAAAATCTGGGGATTCACTCCCTCCCTCAATCACTCACTCACTCAATCACTCCCTCCCTCAATCACTCACTCCCTCAATCACTCACTCACTCCCTCAATCACTCCCTCCCTCAATCACTCCCTCCCTCAATCACTCCCTCCCTCAATCACTCCCTCCCTCAATCACTCACTCACTCCCTCAATCACTCCCTCCCTCAATCACTCCCTTCCCCCCTCAATCACTCACTCCCTCAATCACTCCCTCAATCACTCCCTCCCTCACTCACTCCCTCCCTCAATCACTCCCTCACTCCCTCCCTCAATCACTCACTCCCTCAATCACTCCCTCAATCACTCACTCCCTCAATCACTCACTCACTCACTCACTCCCTCACTCACTCCTCACTCACTCCCCTCCCTCAATCACTCCCTCCCTCCCTCCCTCAATCACTCCCTCCCTCCCTCCCTCAATCACTCCCTCCCTCCCTCCCTCAATCACTCCCTCCCTGCCTCCTTCACACCTTCTCTCAATCACTCACTCCCTCAATCACTCACTCATTCAGGGCTTCAAGTCGCCAGAAACATGATCTCTTTCTCCATCTCTGTCCCGTTTTCCCGCAGCCGCCGCGAGAGGTTTGGCGCCACCGGACAAGTCTGAACCCAACAAATATGGTTTAAACTAATGATCATCTGCCTCTGTGCCTCCTCTCTCTCCCTCTCCCAACTCTTCCTCTCTCCTTCTTTACCTCTCTCCTTTCTGCTTCTTTCTCTGTCCTTTCTGTTTCTCCGCTCTCCTCTTTGCCTCTCTCTCCTTTCTCTTAGAGTGAAAACATCGCTCAGAGATTATCCCGAGTAGTGATGGTGGGATCCCCCTGAGATGACCTTGTGTGAGAGGAGAGGGAGAGAGGGAGATGGGTTGGGGGTATTTGATGGCAGGAGCTCTTCCTGCACACTCACCCCAAAATGAAGTAATGACTGTTACAGCCTATTTTGGCACAGGGGGTGGGGGGGGGGAGTGAAATCATACCTCAGGTTCCGTATTCAGTCATCAAATCACTGCAGTTATTGGAGGAGACAGAGAGAGAGGATTACAAACCTGGGCTCCACTGCTCCCAGCCTCACTCAACGTGTCACAGCACTTTGCCTCACAACTGGGGATCTCACAGAGTTGAGGAAAAATCTTACATTCAGTCTTAATTTGAAGCCGATCGATTATGACAAAATTTAAGAATTTCCTACAATTTTGCACAATCTTACATTTTAAGACAAAGCGACTATAAAGATAAGATTAGTTAGTTGTAAAGATTAGTTAGTTGTATTTTTTGCCCTTAGATACCTTAAGGCTTATAGTGTAGAGATTATATAAATGCTTAATGAGATAAAGTAAATCCGGGACCTAATTTCAGATCCGCCAAGGCAGCAGGAATGAAAGGTCACACGGTCAGTGTGTGTCAAGGGCACATTTAGGCTCCAGGAAGTGTGTGTATGGATGTTGGGGGAGGAAAGAGCCAGGCGTCAGAGAGGAAGGTTTTGTTTTGCTCAGCCGGATGTCTGACACGTGCGGAAACCCATCACCGTACTTAAGGGTCTCCAAACCAAACTGAGAATTCCATTGCATCCCACCTACACCTGGAAATCCCAGAGATTGATTGTTGGAATGGAACGTGCACTCTCCCCCTGGAGAGATGATCCTGCTTACCTGATATTGGGTAATTAGCCCCGGGGTCCCCAAGCCTTGGCACTTGCCAACCTGCACAGGTATTAGGCGCAGGTTGGCAAGTGCCAAGGCTTGGGGACCCCAGGGTGTGCTTTAGGGTAACTGCTGGAGTATAACTTGCTAAAACCGCATCGCTTGCCATTGCTATTGACATCACTGTCTGGCAAGCTCTCCCGCTTACCCGTGAGGGCTTTGGCTTGTGGGGTTAACAGTGGGTGAGAGGATTCCCTGTCCCCAGTGATAAAGTCAGAACCAACATACTGGGTGAGGCCAGGATTGGAGCTGTGATGCCCCCTTGTGGTCGAATGCCCTCTCTTCAAGGCAGCAGATAAGACTGTGGTTGTCTCTTGAGTGAGATACAGCTGATGCAGGTACGTGCACCTTCCCACCACAAGTCACGTCTCTCAGGATATGAGGGGGAATGGGGGAGAGGGAAAGAGCCAGAAAACATGTTCCTTGGACATGTTGTATACATGTGTTTATATGGTACAAACTGTCCCACAACATACCTAATGCTTAAACTGTTACTTATTACAATGCTTATCATAACAGGTGTTTCAATGCTGTGAAAGAAAAATGCAAACAGACGTGACCGTTAATGTTGGTAATGGACTGTGTGAGTGGGAGAGTCAGTGGCAGTGAGTGGGAGGGAGTTGCCGGCGGGTGAGCTGCAGCGCCCTCTGGCGGCCCGGCCCGGCCGCACAGGGCCGTGACGAATGTGCGGCTGCGGGTGGCGGGACGGCCCTGTCTGTGCCTCTGTGTGTGTGTGTGGCTGCGGTGAATGTGCGGCCCGGGAGCCGGGACACGTTTACCTGCCGCGCGGGGACATGGCGGCGCCGGGAACCACCGCGAGAGCGCGGAGAGAGGAGAAATATGACAGACAACTGAGGTACTGCCATATACACAGCATATACACCTTAAATACACCCCATATACACCTTATACATCCCATACACACACCATATACACCCTATACACTCTATATACACACCATATACACACCCCTTATACACACCCCACACACCCTATATACACCTTAAATACACCCTGTGTACACACCACATACACCCCATACACACCCTATATATACACACTAAACACCACATAACACCCTATATACACAACACACACCTGTATACACACACCACATACATACAGTATATACACCATATATACACCACATACACACCGCATATACATCGTATATACACCACACATACACCATATATATTATATATACCATATATACACTACACATATACTATGTAAATCACATATACACACCATGTATACCATATATACACTCTGTACACCAAACACTCCCCCAGAGAGGAGGAATATGACAGCTCAGGTATTCTGTCATATATACCATACTCATCCTATATACATAACACACACACACATATATTCTGTGTATATATATATTGTATATATATTCCCAATCCCATACACCCTCAGAGAGGAGAAATGTGACGGACAGCTCAGGTTAAGAGACTATGTAATCTATACCATACATATCCTGTGTACAGTGTTGTTGCAGCGTTTTACTTGGTCTCACCTCTGGCTCAGAAGTTTGTGCCAAAAAAAAATTGGTCATTCACTCGACGGCAGTTTGTGGGACATTGCTGTGTGCAATTGGCTGCCACATTTTGCCCACAAAATATACAGTCATTCCACTTTACAGCATATTCTGTGAAGTGCTTTGAGACGTCTCAACGACTTGATAAGGCACTATATCAAATGCAATAATTATTATTATTATTACTGCAAAGCCTTTTGAGACAATTCTTCCTTCTCATTTTTCCTGTTTGGATTTTTTCTCTAGGCTGTGGGGTGACCATGGACAGGAGGCACTGGAAGCAGCTCACGTTTGCTTGATAAATGCCACTGCGACTGGGACTGAAATGCTGAAGAATCTGGTGCTTCCTGGTGGGGCTGAGTTCTGTTTGATTGGACTGTTTACTGGCTTGTTGATGTTGCCCACAAGCGAGTTTATTGCCCACGTGTTGACTCTCACTTTTTTGGTTGCCAGGAATCGGATCTTTCACCATTGTGGATGGCAGCTCTGTTAGTGGAGCTGATGTTGGGAATAAGTAAGTATTTAAAATCTTCAAAGATTGTTCCCTTGACTTTGAGCAATCGGCAGAAAAGCAGCAGAGGGAGGGGGCGAGGAGCATTGTGTAAATATGGGGTTAACGCTCGGATAAGATAGCACTCTAGTGGGAGGGGGAGCATGGTGGGGGGGCATCATGAGAAATCTGAGCCCTGTTTAGCAAATCCTTTGTAAAATATTTTCCATCACTAAGTCTGAGTTTAGTGGTGAATCTCAGACAATTCTCGGTATTAACTACTTCCTTCATTTTGTTCCCAGCTTCTTCTTGACTAAAAATAGCATTGGAAAGGTGAGTTCCATTTCTTTAGCTGAAAGGCATCACATGGAACAACTCTGATGTTTGGTTAAAACATGTTTTCTGAGCTCTCTTAGGGGTGCTTAGGGTGGGGAGGATCCTCACCTGTGATTAGTTTATCCCATCAGTAGAAGAGGGGAATTGGGGGAGAGAGGGGGATGGCTGATAAGGAAGGGAATTGGGGAGGAAGTATGAGAGATTGTGAGAGATGGCACTGACAGATGGATACCAGGGGTCTGTTGTGGCCCTGCACATTCCTGTGTTCTTGTATTTTAGTTTGTAAACAGTTGGACTGCTATACGTCACCGTCTCTTCCTCTTTGATTTCTTCTCTAGAATCGAGCTCAGGCTGCCACAGAACTTCTGCAGGAGCTGAACAGCGATGTGTGTGGGAACTTTGTGGAGGAGGTTAGTACAGCTGGGAATGTGTCTGTGTTTCACAATAAACGTGTCACTCTTCTGTTCTCTTTCGAAAGGGTGTGAATATCAAAATCATCGCCACCTTTTCAAATCCTTCAGCTCCTCTGCCTCCTTACAGGAGATGGTGCTTGTGGATAGAAACGTGAATGAGAGGTAGTGCTCTGACACAGTTGGACATGGAGTTCCTCAGTGTTAATTAACACCTAGTAACAGTGTAGGGACACAATTCAGCTGCAACACAAGGATGTTCTTTATTCTGCTAAACGTTTTATACACCCACAGAGATTACAGCACAGAAAGGAAGTTTTCAGTACATCAACAACAACAACTTACATATGTATAGCGCCCTTCACGCAGGGTAGCATCCTGGAGCGGTTGAGCTGGTTGCTAGCTGTCCGCACTAATTCCAACTCCTCTCCTTTTTATTATTATTTATTTTCAAATACTTATCTAATTCCATTGTAAACATTGTTCTGACCTTCACTTCCGTGACAAAGCGTTCCACGTTCTAATAACCCTCTGCGTGAAAATGTTCCTTCTGATAACCCGATAACGGGCTTGAAAGTTAAGATGGTTTCCAGGGAATTGAGAGGATTTCTGCATTAGGGAGTGATCTGGCATCTTTTGAGAAGTTGGTTTGGGGAGGAATCATCAGTCATGGTCCTTGTCAACTGATGGTGGGCATTGCTGCTGAGCGGGTGTGGTCTCTGGGTGAGTGTGACCACCAGGGGGTGGGGGGGCCAAGTGAGAGTGGAATCTTCATTGTCTATTCCCGTCAGGAGAGGTATAACAGGAAGAACCCAGACTGAATGTCGCTTGTCTGGGAACAAAGCTTGTGAGGAATGGGAATGTGGCATCTTGTCTTTCAGAGCGCGGAGCAGCTCCTGGAGAACGATCACACTTTCTTCTCTCGGTTTCACTTGGTGATTGCGATCCAGCTCCAGGAAAGGTAAAACATTGTGAGGTTTGTTATGTAACACAGACATAATCTCAGTGGTCATTTCTTCTCCATTTCCTCCCTTTCATGTTATGCATCTCTGAGGGAACACGGGTATCTTGGTGCCAGGTTTCAGTCCGAGCTCATTTGGGTTATGAAACCTGTCAGAGGCTGGGGGTGGGGGTGGTGGGTGGTTGGTACGGTCACAGGAAAGGTTTGAAGGGCGAGATCAACTCACTTGGCACTGATCAGACCTGGGACCTTCCTGCTCTGTTCTGCTCAGTGCTGTATCACTCGGGCAGGTGTATTCCCAGATCAGTCCATGGATGTTTTGGTGACCAGGGAATGAAAGGATCCTGGTATTGTGTCATGTTTAGATGTTCGGAAATGATCAAATGATCTTGATCAGATCCTCGCTGGGGTACAGTCTGTAATCGTCAGTTCCAGGTTTTATATTGCTTTACCCAGCAGGAGCCTGGCAGCCATTTCCCATTCAGTTAAAATGCAGGTTTAACCAGCTGATGCACCTCTGTTTATTTCTCAGATGTTCCACTGTTTATGCACTAACCGTTTGTTTATTCCCCAACTGACAGCACTCTGCTGCGCTTGGCTGGTGTGCTATGGAATATGGAGGTGCCGCTTCTCGTCTGCAGGACGTACGGGCTGGTGGGGTACATGAGACTGGCTGTGAAAGAGCACACAGGTAAAGTTTCTTTGACTCTTTACTTTTTTTCTTCTTGAAATCCAGGAGGAGCTGAGTTCCCCTCAGCCACAAACTTAGGGAAGAGCAGTTCCTCGGGTTCAGTGGATAAAGCACAGTCCATCTTGTGCTGCACTAAGCTCCACACACACAGACGCACACATACAGACCCACACACACAAACTCACACACACAGACGCACACATACACACCAGGAGGTTGTGGGCTTGAATCCCGCTCTGCTGAGTGTGCTGGTCTTGGATGGGGCTTGCGGTTGATTTCCGTGCCCCTCACATTAGGGTGCGGGAAACCTGTTAGAATTCCCTTTCTTGTCTAGTGTGAGAATTGGGAATGATTCCTTTTCTCTGCCCCCTCTCTGGGAAAACTATTCCACTTGTTCACTGCACTTTGTCAAAGTAATTCAATCTGCCCCCTCCCTTGCCTCCCTCGAGGCCTGTCTCAAGACTTTCCTCTTAGATCGTGGTTTTGGGCACTGTCCCACCTCCTCTATCCTCCATTGCTAAGTTTGACAATGAAGTATTGTGACTCAGAGCAGTAGGTGACTGACTGACGTGCCGGTGTGTGTTTCTCTTTCAGTTGTGGAATCTCACCCTGACAACGCACTGGAGGATTTGAGGCTGGATTTGCCTTTCACCCAACTCCGCGATCATGTGCAGGCATACAGCCTGGGCACAATGGAGAGAAAGGTGTGTCGGGGGCTGTGGTGCTGGAATCTTGTGAACGACATGTTTAATGTAACTCCAATGATTCCTCACTAAAGTCAAACAGCATTTAAAAGGGACGCCAGCCCTGGACTGTCCAGCACCTTGGGACTTTCCCCTGATGTGAAAGGCGCTGTGGTATAAATGTAGATTTGTTGCCGTTGTCGATAAATACTTGTGGAAAAATAATATTAAAGAGTCCGGGAAAGAGCAGGGAATAGGATTAATGCACCAAGCTCCAGCACAGACACGATGGGCTGAAGGAATGGCCTTCTCCTGTGCTGTGACCGTTCTATGATTCTAACCTGTATTTTCTCCTCTAACACGCCAGGACCACAGACACACGCCTTGGCTCATTGTGATAGCAAAATCCCTTGAAACGTGGCTGAATGAGGTACACTGTTCCAACTGCTGCGGTTTTAACCCTTGCCCTGCTGTGTAAATGCAGCCTCCCATAGAGCATCACGAGTCCTCCATATTATACCCGAATTTGTGTTCGTGTGAAGTATTAATATGACTGAGATCGGGTGTTATTCCTAATCTACTTCTCAATGCAAAATTTTCTGCAGTTTCAGAAGTGTACTACAAGCTGAAGTGAATCCTTTGATCACATGTAATATGCTCTGTTTGTGGAGAAGTGACCTACTCTAATCCACGTCTTGTTACAGTCATCAATCTTGTTTGCCTCTCCTCTGATGGCTCGAGGTGGTGGAGTGGGCGGGGCTATTCAGTGAATACCTCATGCAGACAGATCTGAAAGTCTGGTTCACAAACTGCTCTGTGGTGGGTCACTGATCTCAGCCTGGTTTCCCTCTGCTGATGATTATTCAGTGCCCGCGCAAACAGTGACAGGATCAGTACAGCTGTGATTCTCAACCTCTACGATTAGATACCTTGATTCTCCTAGTCAATGCTCACCACACAGCCCTTGCGGGTGAGGTACCAGAGAGCAATGGCTGCCAGTGGAATCATAGCTGCCGAGAGAGTCTGACACCTATTTTAGCAGCAGCTGTTACACAGCTTACCTTAGAGAAATTCTTAATATAGTTTTGTGTCTGGATCATTAGGAAGCAAATTGCTGTGTGAGCCAGAGTCACAGACTGTCTCTTATTCCTGTTCCTGCAGCATAACGATCAGCTACCGAAAAACTACAAGGAGAAGGAATCTTTTAGAGAGCTCATACGACGAGGTGAGGGATTTGTTTACTCAGTTTTGTGTCTGGATTGGCTGCTAGAGATCTGCCGCAGAGGGATTAGGATTTGCAAATTGGATTCTGTGCTTTGCGAATTACTAATTTGGAAAGCTGGCCACTTCTCACACTTTGCCGGCTTTGGGATTCTCCGTTTGCCAATCTCACAATTAGTAGTATCAAGTCTGGCCACAAATGAAACATGTCTGGTTCACTGCTAATCCCGTGCAAAAACAACTGCAGTTAGCTAAAGCTGCTCATTATAATGCCTGTTTTTCTATTATGTCCCATTGAACTCAACAGTGTAATTATTAATATTCTTACAAACCTGTGTGTGGAGCACGATTGCTGTGTGAAGGAAGGTTTTTGGTGCTGTACAATTTTGGTGATTCTCAGCTCTGAGCAGCGTGAGAGCAATCTGAGCGCCAGACTCTCTGCTCAGCCTCTGTGACGCTGTGAAGAATGCTGTCCTGGCCGACAATCCAACACATAAACTACCATTCACCTCGTTTGCTGTTTGCAAAATGACTGCTGGATTTGCCAATAAAACCAATCATTGCCTGTGACCCGAAATGAGCTATTTTGACGTAAAGTGCTATAAAAGTAAAATTTCATCCTTTCCTTCCTGCTGCTGATATTTGGAGAAGGTTGTTAGTGAGAGTGACGTGTTGAGCTTGAGGAAGCAGATATGTGGCTGGAATGTCCCTGTTGTGGTTTGATTTCCTTTGTGTAACTAACTGAAATCAGGAATCCTGAAGAACAAGGATGGTGTGCCGGAGGACGAGGAGAACTTCATGGAAGCCATCAAGAACGTCAACACTGCTCTGAACCCCACCAAGGTATGGTCAGTGTTCGCCAGCTGCTTTGGCAGAGATCCTCGTGGAGGGGGTGGGGGTTGTGTTGGAGGGAGAGACAGGGACGTGGTGAGTAAAAATCAGGCTCAGATATTTTAATTCTACTCCTTGATTCCAGGGTGTGTGGAATCAGGTGCTTAGTCTTTTACTGGTGGACGTACATTAATTACATTTCAAGCCTTGTACCTGTTAATGGTCATTTTCTGAACCGGTTTACATTGCAGCTGAGATTGAGAGGGGTTTGGGCGGGGAGGGTCCAGAGTGGTGGGTCTCTGGTGATTGAGAGCCCTCCTAGGCATGTGATGCTCAGGATATTTTGCAAACTTGTGTTTGTAGATTCCAAGTGACATACAGGAGCTGTTCAAGGATGAGCGGTGCTGCCACATCACTGCCCAGGTAAGGGCTGAACTTGGTGAGTGTGGTGTGGGGAAAGCACGTAAGGTTTTCAGTGTCATGTTCTAGCAAACTTCCATTTGTCAAACAGCTCTGGTCTCTGAAGAAGAGCAACTGCAGGGGGACCGAGCTAACAGTTTACAGTAAATGAAAGTTGCGGTAGATTGACTTCTATTGAATCCTCTACATTGTGGGAGAGCTGGGTCTGGGTGGTTGGAAGTAATTGGATTGTAAAGTATGCATTGTGTGTCTAATAGTAAAGCATGAAAATTGCAGTCTGATATGCCTCTGTGTGTGTGTCTCTGTGTGTGTGTGTGTGTGTGTGTGTGTCTCTGTGTGTGTGTGTGTCTCTGTGTGTGTGTGTGTCTCTCTGTGCGTGTGTGTCTCTCTGTGCGTGTGTGTCTCTCTGCGTGTGTGTCTCTGTGCGTGTGTGTGTGTATTTCTAGAGCTCTATGTTTTGGATATTGACTCGATCAGTGAAGCAGTTTGTGGAGAACGAAGGAAAGGGGACCCTCCCCGTACGCGGCACCATTCCTGACATGATTGCTGACTCAGCTCGCTTCATCAAGCTGCAGAACGTGTACGTACGCCAAGTCTAACCCCCAGCGAAACGTTTATTAGGAGACAGTCACTGACTGGTGTGTAACCTCTCCTCTCCTCACCGCAGATACCGTGAGAAAGCTAAACAAGATGCTGGCACAGTGATCAAATATGCTGCTGCACTGCTGGAATCCATAGGCAGGGTAAGTCTGTCACTGTCACTGCGGGCTTTCCTCGTTTTGCGTTGAGAAGTCTCGGACTGTGTTTCTGGGTTAATATCTTTGTAAGTTCACGGATGAGGATATGTGTGTGTGCTTGAAAACTGATGCAAGTTCAGAAGCATTTTGATAATGGGAGCTATTCTCTCTCAAGCTGCAGACTGCTCTTTCTCAATGAGCGTGTATTATGTGGAACCTGCCGTAACGGTGCCTTGTGTTCTTTCCTCAGTCACCTGAGGCGGTCTCTGAGAAAGACGTTAGGCTTTTCTGTAAGTATCCCTGACATATGCTCTTGTTCCACCATTATTTGAATGAAGATGCCGGGGCCACTTATACTTCCTACTCGTTTCAATCATCCACTGAACAATCCTGTCCATTTCTTGTCCAGCATTGAAGAGTCACCACTTCCAGAATATTAATGATAATCCTTGCATTGATGTCTATAGGTCAAGAGGCCAGAGTGCTTTCCAGGAAATTATTATTATTAGCATTATCATCAATAGTGATGACTGTTTGTTTGGTAATGGGGGAGTAGAGTATACATGAAACCATAAATCCCACTAGTTAATTCAGTCTGAAACTGAGTGTCCTGACTTCACTTGTATTTGCTGTAGTCTCTTCATTAGTCCCTCCCCAACACCTAAACCTCTGCCTTTTCCCAGCTGAAAGTGAAGTCAGGCTGAAGGTGAATGAGGACTTGGTGCGGGTCGATGGGTGCGGACGGCATCACAGTCCTGTCCCCACACAGTTGGCTGGTGGTCAGTTCTGGGAACCCAGGCTGAATGTCACCCTCTATAGCCTGGGAGTTTTGAGGCACGCCTTGCTTCCAGCCAACTTAGTGCAGAGCAAGGCATTCCTGCTCAACTCGGTCACGCACTGTTTTATGTCAGTGTGTAATTTTATTTATACTAATGTTGAGTGTCTCGGTCTCTAGGTAAGAACGCAGCCTTTCTACGAGTTGTGCGGTGCCGTTCTTTGGCCGAGGAGTACAGTGTGGAGACAGTTAATAAAGATCAAATAGGTACGTTTTGCACTGTTTGCCGGCCTCCGTCTCAAAGGCGGTGTCTTTCATTCGGCTGCTTCATAATCCACAATTAATAATCACGAGCTATCAAAAGGGGACAAGACGAGATAGATGTCTATAAAGGTATCATTTTCAAGGCTATAGGGAAAATAGACTGCATGGATTGCTCTTTCAGAGAGCAGTATGGACATGATGGGCCAAATGGTCATTTTCTGCAGTTCTAGCCCTCGATGTTGCACTTAAAGTTGTGCGTTTCCTTGTGTTTGCCTTGTTCAACTCCTGGTTAGAGAAGGTTTGGGAAGAACTCTTTGGGTAGAATTCCCAGAGACGTGACCTGAACAGCGATTAATGATGTGATTTTGTCTCTGTTTGCCAGTGTCCTGCATGGAGAACCTCGACAGTGAAATGGTGTTGTACATAATGCTTCGGGCTGTCGATGCCTTCCATAAGCAACATGGGAGATTCCCAGGTATGGACATCAATTCATTGCTTATTTGTCACGCATTTTGTTATGTATAGTATCTATGGCGTAATGTTCAGAGTAGCCTCCTTTGCATTTTTTGCTTCCTTCTACCTCAACTATTCAGCCCACGTTTTAAGATGCAGCCGAGCTAAATAATTGATACGGCTCTGATTCCCTGAACTGGTTGTGCCTCTACAACGTGGCTGGTCCTACTTTCAATCCAGTGTTTGTAGCAGAGTTTATAAATCCAGGCTGACAGTTGAGTGCAGTTCTGCCAGATCACTGCCTTATCAGAAGTGCTATTCTTTGATTAAGGCATTAAACCCGCATTCAGTCCACCCTGATTCTAATTCACAAAAGTGTCAAATGTACAGGTAAATTGGCCGTTCCTGTCATCACTCTTAGCCTCCGCTGTATTTCAGTATAACTGTTGTAAGAAATGCGCTTTGACCTGTCATTGTGATCAGCCACGTTTTATTTAGGTTGAGAGGTAGCCATTCCACCTGGCGCTTGCTCTGACATTTTATTCAATCCTGGTAATTCAGAGCTGAGTATTAATTGACTTTAATAACCTCTTGCTATGTTGGCAGGTGTTTATAATTACCAAGTAGAAGAGGACATTGGGAGGCTGAAACTGTGCGTCGTTGGCCTCCTGCAGGAGTGGGGGGTGTCTGTGTCTGTCAAAGATGACTATATCCATGAATTGTAAGTCATATAAATTAAGTGGTTTCATTGAGCTAGTATTGTGATATTGCCAACCAAGCTTAAATATTGCATCAACTACAACACACCACAAAATACCCATTTTGTAAAGTTAAAATCAGATCATCATAGGCCTGTCTCAATCCAAGAACCACTTAATAGTTGTAGATTGACATTCATTTATTCAAAGCTTAATGTTTGACTGTAAATCCTGCTGGATTGCAGCCTGAGCTGGTCCTGTTAATGTTCCCTAGAGCGTTCCTGTGAAGAGGAACACAGCCCTGTGACAAAGTAATGGTACAGTGTGAGTTGTGCAGATTTACAAACACATGGAAGTATCGTCTGAAACATTTGTCTCTTTCAGCTGTCGTTACGGGGCTGCTGAACCACACACTGTAGCTGCTTTTTTGGGAGGTAAGTTTCATTCAACTAACATTACAAGTGGCTCCATCTTTTGCTGTGTCTTGCTGTTGTTTTAGGCCTATGCCAGCCTTGCTATGGGGAAACAGTGCACAGGAGCAGGGGACATATGCCTCCAAAGTGACACCCACATTTGGGGGTCAAAGTTGCAAGGACTGAGGGCTGCTATCTGCCAGCAGCACTATCACTGTGCACAGGTGGCTGGGATTCCTGAGGTGCACGCACACCATCAGGTTGTCACAAGGCAGGAAATAACGGGCAGCGCAGTGTGTCGGAGAGAGTGCTAATCCGGGTCAGATGGGGTGTCAGGTAGGAAATAGGGGGCCCGGCAGCAAAGCTCGCACTTGTAGGTATTGTTTAGGAGCGTGTCCAAAGGAAACGATAAGAGAGAGATCTGACCTTTCTGTTGCTTGTTTTTCAGGAGCTGCTGCTCAGGAGGCCATCAAAATAATCACAAGACAGTTTGTACCATTCAATAACACATTTATTTATAACGCTATGCTGCAGACATCGATGAGTGTGCGGCTTTAGATTCCCTCACACTCTCTCTTTCTCTCCCCCACCCCTCCTGCTGCACACACACAAAGCTGTCATGATTTCCCTCATCAATTACAAGGCAAAGCTGTGTTGCTAATATTTGGTGCTATGTTTTGTCTCTCCAATTCCTGTAATATCAGACAGAATAAAATTAAAACCCAATCTCTGTCTTGTTTTTGTCAACCTCACTTCGGAACACAAGAAAATTGTGAAGTGTGTGGTAACATTGTCTAGGATTGGCTTGATGGTGGATTTAAATATTTGATGTATAGAATCCAATGAAGTTTGTCTAAGTTAAACTGTGAAAGTCCACCCTCGTCAGTCACGACAGGAGTGTCTGTTCTTCCGACTTGTACAGTAATCCAACCACAGAGGAACAGAGTACAAAAGCAGGGAAGTAGTGTTATATTAATGTAAACCTTGTTTAGGCCATATTTATAATAATCCTTGCAAGCGCTCCAAGACACCGTCCGGCACGAAGAGTGCTATATAAATGCAAGTTGTTGTTGCATTTGTTATAGTGCCTTATGTCATTGAAACATCTCAATGTGCTTCACAGAATATGAATAAATTGTATTTTGTGAGTGAAAACACCACAGCCAGTTGGCGGGAAGTGGAGTGTTGATATTACCTATCTATCAAGCTGTTATCTTTAGCCATCAAGAGAGATTGGTTAGATTAGAGATTTGTTTTCGAGGTGAGACGATTGAAAGGGAACCTGCTGTTTTTTGTCTTCTACTTGTTGGTGAATCCAAAACGAGGGGCATAAATATGAGACAGTCAGTAGCAGATACAGAAGGGAGTTTAGGAGGATGTTGGTGTGATTGTGGAACTCGCTGGTGGAAGCAAAAACTATCTGCATACGGAGAGGAAAGTGGGTGCGCACAGGAGAGTAGCAGAGAGGCGGCCGTGTGGGGCATCCACACGAGGGTCACTCTCCGGCACTTTGAAAGTCCCGCCACCTGGGACGTAATAACGTCACTGCGAGGGCGGCGGTCAGGCCATGCGGGGGGGGGGGGGGGGGTGACGTCATGACGTAGCCGGGCGCGGTTTGAGCGGGAAGCGGCTGTGAGGTGAGGCGCTCGAGGCCAACAGTTCATCATCTCGGTCTCGGCCGCTAATGGCGTCGGACTGACTGACACCCGCCGGGGCCGAGCGGATAGGGGCCCAGCGCAGCCCGACTGACTGACATACACACTGACATACCGCTCTCCCTCAGGTGAAAGGTTCGGGGGAGAGGGTTTAAACCGAAGAAAAAAAAAATCGTTCCCCGCGAATCCTCAGCGTTTCACACTTTTTTGTTTTTTTAAAAAAAAAAAAAAAAAAATTGGGATCCGTTTTGTGTGGGAAAAAAATATATCCGGTGGGGGATTGTATTGTAGGGATTGTACATCCACACTCCACCAACGGTGAGTGTCAGGGTCTGTGGATTTGAAAATAAATAGGGCCCTATGTACTGCACAGTGGGGGAGGGGGGGAGGGGGTTAAACTGGTTAATCCACTGCGAACCTGTGGGTATTGCTGTGTCTCTCACTTTGTGTGTGTGTGTGTGAGAGGGACCGCGAGGCCTGAGTTGATGAAGATGCTGCATTTTCAAAGACATGTTTTATCTGTTTGAAACAAAACCCCGTTCCTCGTGGCTGGAGGAGTGGAAGTGACCCTCCTCTCAGCATCTTCTACCCCCGGCACTGCCGCCCTTCACGAGGGCAGTCGTTCGCTTGTGAGACACGTCCGCCCCCGAGGCTGGAAATGTCCCGAAGCTGCGATATTTTAAAAACAAACCGTGAAATGTGTTGTACGAAAGGCCCCCCCACTCCACGTACAAACAACAACAACAAGATTCCATTTATCGAGCGCCTTTCACGTCGGGAGGACGTCCCGAACCGTACTCCACAACCGCTCACTGAGATGAGCCGTACTGGTGTGGCACAACGTGAAAGGTTCCCGAAGCCGCTTTCTGTTGTTCAACTTGAATGGAAGAGTGGCCCCGAGAGGAGAATGTGCATTTTAATGCTACATTTTAAAGATCTGAATTGCTGAAATGTTGTCTGGTGTTGACTGCTCGAGGTTTTCAGGATAATGGATCGAAGGATTAAAATGATAGGATAAATAGTAATGAATTGTTTTCGCTGGTCAGTGGGTCAGTAGCGAGAGGAAATGCATTTAAGATAAACATAAAAGGAATTCAGGTGGAGGTTAGGCAATATTTCTTTACGTAGAGGGCAGTTGAAGTGTTGAATTCTCAGCCTCAAATTGTTGTTGAGGCAAAGCCTGGCAACATTTTTAGTTGCTTGAAAAAAGGATATTAAAAAGCATACAATGCAAATTACAATACAAATTTACATTTATATAGCGCCCTTCGTGTCAGGAGGATATCCCGAGATCCAAGGTTTGCGCCTGAGCTGAGGATGTGGGCTAACAGAGTGGTGTTGGGGGTGGGAGAGAAGAAAAGATGGTCAAAAGCAGGGTCAAAGAGGAAGGCCTTGAGGTGGACCTTGAAGGAGGCAAAGGTAGTGAGTGAGGATAACAGGAGAAAACCATTAAGATCAATACACAGGACAGTTAGATTGCACTGGCTCATGTGTAGAAAAACACCAGCATTGACTTGAATTACCTATTTCTGTCTGGCATAAATATTGTGAATAGATACCACTTCCTTCGTGGAAAATACAGTAAAGCTTTTCCGGCTTACAAGACATGCAGTGAGTATGCAGACTTCCTAGAGAATCAATAATGTATTTAAATTACAGGATCGATAATCTAGGAACCTTTGTGCTAGGGTTTGTGGAGAACATGGAAAACTCAGAAAGTGGCAGCATTTTTTGTGGTAAGCAATTTCTGTATTGAGTTAATTTAATAATGAAGGTTCATAGGACATGTGTGGTGGAGTGTAGACATTCAACAAACAGTGTAGATAATGTTCTAATTTTCATTGTGAAAAAGGGCCTTTAGTACATTGAGAAAATGTTTTTACTTTAGTATTCAGAAGATGGGAGTTGTGACTTTGATTGGGTATATGAAGTCCTGTAGCTCAGTGGTTAGAGCACTCGCTTTGCAAGTGAGAGACCTGAGTTCAATTCCAGGCAGAGGGCGAAACCTTGGGCAAGTTTCCTTACTCCACACAGAGCCTAATAACAATCCCTCCAAAAAACAAAAACAATAATAAATTGGTCATTTTCAATCGAAGACTTTGTGGAACATTGCTGTGCGCAATTGGCTGCCGCGTTCGCCCACAAATATACAGTCAATTCACTTTACAGTGTGTTCTGTGAAGCGCTTTGGGACGTCCTCCCGACGTGAAAAGCGCTATATCAAATGCAAGGATTATTATTATTATTATTGCTCAGGCAGAGCAGATCTTAACTGTGTTTTCACTATGTTTTGACTGATGAATAACAATCTTATTACAGCATTCAAATGCAGAAACCTTATTGTAAGATTTTATCTCAATCTACAGGGTTAAAAACAGATTTAAATTTATTGCTTGAATGCCTGAAATACCAGATGGACAGTCCTTTGGGTCAGAAACAAGCCTTGGTCACCATTTATTCCATATGTCAACAGAACAGTAAGATGGATCGCATGCTTGTCAAAATTTTGTGTAGTTGGTATTTTCAGGAATTAATCTATATATTTTTTGAATTGCAATAGACACTTGCCATATGATTTCCTGTAAACTAACAGTGAATTAACTATATCCGTGCAGCAATTCTGTTGAAATTGTCAATCATTTGCTGTGAAGATGCAGAGATGGCAGTTAATGCCAGCATTGACAGCCAATGTCAAACAGCAGCAGATACAGATTTTAATGCTTTTTTAAAATTATATGTGTTTAAAAGTAGCAAATACCTGCATTTTCTCTTTTGACAATAATTTTACTGAGCCCTTGGGATTCTTTAAGAATTTAATAAATGGCAATATTTCCCAAATGCAATTTTAAGTTTTGTACACCTAAAACCGTAAAGTTGAAGTTTTTTCTCATAACGTACGTTTCTCTCACTATTAGATTCAGCAAGTGATTATTTTCGTGAAATTGGAGGCCTGCAGTTTGTAAATGGACTTGTAAAATTGAGCAATGATTCTACTGTTCAGGAGGCTGCCCTCTTTACATTAGGAGGTCTAGCTGAAAGCAGTGGTATGAAAGGCTTATTTTATTCAAGTATTTCCCATTTTTACATGTGTCTTTCCCACTAACCAAATGGAACAGAGAAGGTGAAGAGAAGAGGCTTTTATAGATTGTTTTAAAAGTGGGATTGATTTTAAGGAAGCAGTCTCTCATGCCAATTGGTTAAACATTTACCTGAGGTTCTCCCTTAAGTTAATTTGAAGTGGTTAGTTGAGTGTCCCACCTTGAATGCGTCGAGGGAAGGGGTGAGCCAAGGGGACTTCTAGATGGAGTTCTAGAGAGTGGGGGCAGATAGGCTGAAAGCCCGACTGCCATTGGTGGAGCAGAGGACATGAAGCAGGGACATGCATCCTGGCTTTGTGCAAATTGGCTGCATCGTTTGCCTAGAAAATTGATCACTACACTTAATAGTAATTACCTTTTAAACTTTTGAGATTTTTTTACATTAAAAGATCTATATCAAGGACTGTTATTTGATTTAAATCATAAAAGCAGATGATGGCAATTCTTGTTTCTTGTGATTTCTAGTTTACTGCCAGCAAACCTTATGTACTACAGAACTACTTTCTTATTTTGCCTCTTCACTGGCTCAGAAGGAAGCTTCACTCAATCTAAAGAGGATAGCTGTATATGTGATCCTGGTGTTAGTGTCACACAACAGTAAGAGAGCTTTGTGTTTATAGTGTAAAGAAACCATATAATTTAAATTAAGCATGTTAACTTCCCTGTTTGTCCCATCTCTGACCCTGGAGTGCTTGCTCCAGATCTGGGACGGCGTTGCTGAACAAAGGTTTGGCTCTGTACTTTTGTTTTGCAGAGTTCGGGCAAGGCTTAGCAAGAACAACTGGATGCATCGATATTCTTCTGATTTTGTTCAGGTGATTAAGAAATTGACTTACATTTTCCAATGACATAATAATAATAATAATTTGGTCACACAACCTATGACTGTGGTGTACGTAATTGACTGCGGTGTTTCGCCCACAAAATATACAGTCAATTCACTTTACAGTATATTCTGTAAAGCACTTTGAGACTTCTCGAAGATGTAATAAGGCGCTATATCAAATGCAAGGTTCATTATTATTATTATGACATGCCCTAGGTAAGATTCTCAAAACATACTGTAGTTTATATCTTGAAAAATCAACCTGTGGCCCATTGAATGCTGCTCTGTTGTGGACGTGTGCTTCCCATTGTTCCAATTAATTAGCTGATAATGAAATTGAGAGAGAATCTAGCAGAATGTTACTTCCAGGATAATCTGATTCACTCTCAACAAAGATACAATATTTACAACTTTTCTCATAACTCAGAATGAAATGTTTTTGAGTGTTCATTTGCTTGTTATGAGTCAATAAAATTATTTTTTGTATTTGTAAGGCAGTGAACACAGTCAGACACTTCACACCTTCATCTCTGCCAATATATAATCTGATACCTGATCCCCCAAAGTGAAAAAGTGGTCTGTAATTGCTGCTCTCCATCTGTGTTTTATTTCCTGTAATTATAGTGTACAGAGAAGGGTTTCTTTCAGTTTTTGTGTACAATATATCCAAATATCTTGTTACTTGAATGCGCAATGCAAGATATGCAAGATACAATAAACCTTTGTAACCTGCCTAAACTGAAGTGTTTCAGCATGAACAATCAACTGTGTATTAAGTTATGGTGAGTTCTAAAACACTGAAAGCAAAGCTTCAAGACCAATAATATAATAGTTTACTGAGTGTTTGGTATCTATTCCTTATGAGATCTGAAACTGTGTAGGGGTATGGGTGTTTCTGTTCATTTCTCAATGAATCTTTTAATGTGTTTATAAACAAGTGCATGAAAGATTAAATGAACTGTGGAACATTCTCCAGAAAGCATTATTAGGTTTACAGTTTTTGTTCTTGTTTTCACTAGAAGCAGCTTCCCAATATCAAACAAGCATTCCATACACCAAAATATCAGCCAGTGCTATGAGTTGTGGTCGTCCATTGGGAGTACACTCTGTGCCTGCGTCAACAATCCACAGAATGGTATTAAACAACCTCAGTTTATAAAGCAGCAATCCCTGCTTTCAACATGACACGACTTTGCTAGTTGGGAAGAAGTGAACATTTTTTCTGTGAAGTATTTATTTTGTTAAACCTGACCGCGCAACAATTTAAAGTGAACTGCATTAATCTGAATCCAGTCGCAGTATTAATTGCTCTGTAAAGACCTCTTTAAACTGCTATGGTCCTTGTGGCGATATTGTTACATAGCGAGTGCCAGGATTTTGTCCCAACTGCTTAGCGCTATAAAAAAAGAAAATAAATGTAGGAATTGCAATTTGTGTCCAAGCTATTTCCACTCAAGTTAGCAGAGAGCACTATCCACAGCTGTGGAAGTGTCTGCCACATTCAGCAATCCAATAGCAAGGATTAAAACAGGATACAGCTCATAGAATCATGCAGCACAGAAAGAGGCCATTCGGCTCATCGCTTCTGCGCCGGCTTCTAAAAGAGTAATCCAACTCAATCCCGCCGGCCCGCTTTCTCTCCATAGCCCTGCAATCCTGCCCTCCCCAAATACCCATCTACCTCACTCTTAAAAGTTGTTATTGAATCGGCTTCCACTATCCTTTCAGGTAATGCATTCCAGATCCGAACTGAATTTTTTTTTCCTAATCTCTCCTCTGTTTCTTCCAACAACTATCTTAAATCGATGCAGTTGTTGAATTGACTGGTTTTGAGTGCCATGCCATGTGCAGTAATCTTTGTGTAACTGTTACAGAAGAGAATCAGAGAATATGTACAACAGTCTTTCTATTTGCAAGAGACTGCCTACAGAAATACCCCCGGCAGGAAATAATCCGTCCCATTTGTTCGTTTGTTGGACTCACAGTCGCCAACAACAGTAAGTATCTAGCTGTTTGAGTCAGTCTGTATCGGGTATAAAAATATTTAAGAAGGTAAGTATTGGAAGTTGTTTCTAATTGCCACAGTTTCATGCCCGATTCTTACATTTTCCCCTAAGCATATGCACAGGACTGCTTTTCTAACGTTGGAGGCCTGGATACTCTTGCTGAAGTTCTTGTCAAGTTGATAGATGAAGCTGGAAGGAATTGTTCAACTGCCAAGCTTGCTGTAATTCTGACAAAGACTTTGGATTCCTGCATTGCAGAAAATTGTGAGTAAATTGTGAGGTACTTAAAAAGGAAAAAATTGCAGGGCTATGGGGTTAGAGCGGGGCAGTGGGATTAGTTAGTAGCTTTCAAAGAGTCGGCACAGGCACAATAGGCCAAATGGCCTCCTTCTGTGCTGTAAGATTCTATGATTGTCATGAACATCAGTTGTTACTGCCCAATAGGCATAAACCATATATTGATCTTTTTCTAATTTTCCCCCTTCCTTTTTTCTTCAATCCTTTCCTCACTTAACCTATATATGCACAAATTTCAGCAAAGGTTACTGGATTGCAGCAGAATAGAGTCTGATTTTCTCTCCTTCCTCATCCCAAAGGTTCTGAGGCAATTATAGTACTCTCAACTGAGAGCAATCAGAGGAGCTCAAAAACGCTAATATAATAAAAGAAAATTAGAACTGTTTTTGAATAAGTAAAGTTATAATTTAAATTATAAATTTCAATTGATAATTCCACATTGCCCTCATTTTATAATTATTTTGTCCTCTTAGGAAACCCTCAATGTTCAGGAAAACAGACAGCTGCCCCTCAGGACTCTTGCTCAGCTCTGAGAGTGATTTATTTGACAATTTTTGCCTTCTTTCTGGTGGGGAATCACCTGACCTTGTCTCAGAGTTTCCTCACTCAGAGTTTCTATTTTATAACAAGGAAATGTAGGTATATTATTTTTTCAAAAAATAACTGCTTACTATTTTTATATTTTGATAGCTTCAGTTGCATCCCGGTTGACAGAATATTCAATCGTACCCAAACTATTGATGCTGTTGTCACAGGGCAATCACGACTTCAGTGGTAAATTAGGCATCATTCTCGCGATTGGACACTGCACCGACTCGTGTGGTAAGTAGCAGCGAATGACTGGGCTGTTTAAGCATTTACAGTTTATTTATCTGACATTAAAATTGATTAATTTTCTGAGAATACATTTAGAAGTAACTGTTTCACAACCTTCGTTTATTCTTTGGACTGTGTTTACTTTCACGCTAATGTACTGCCCTGCAGCAAATGCTTATCCAAGTATTAGCATTGCCTTCAGGATATGGTGCAGAGCCAGATTGTTCTTGTCTTGCTCAAAATGTCAGGGAAACTATGTGCACTGGCACCTTGCCTAGTGACCACCTCATTAATCAGGTCACCTTTTCACAGTCTGTTTTTCGACGATAACCAAAATCAGAACTCATGATTGATGGCAACTGTCTGGATTTGCATGTAAATAATAATAATAATCCTTGCATTTGATATAACGCTTTTCACGTCGGGAGGACGTCCCAAAGCGCTTCACAGAACACACTGTAAAATGAATTGACTGTATATTTGTGGGCGAACGCGGCAGCCAATTGCGCACAGCAATGTCCAAAACACAAATCATAGATTGAAAATGACCAATTTATTATTGTTTTGTTTTTTTGGAGGGATTATTATTAGGCTCTGTGTGGAGTAAGGAAACTTGCCCAAAGTTTCGCCCTCTGCCTGGAATTGAACTCAGGTTTCTCGCTTGAAAAGCGAGTGCTCTAACCACTGAGCTACAGGACTCCATGGAGAATAGAGAGGAACACAAAAAACCTTTTCTGCACATGGAACCATATCCCACTCAGTGCTTTAAGGGCGGGATGGGGGGTGGGAATTGGAGGAGAAAAGCTTGTAAAGTAGAATTCCAGGACCCTTAGCATAAATCATGTGCTTTAACTTATTATAGTAAGAGTATGAACTAGTATAGACATTACAGTGGTAGACCACATTATAGACTTCAGAATTAATTATAAATTGCATGAAATGTAACTGATTAAGGTAAACATATTAAGTATTGTTAAGAGTTTATACATGTGCTTACACAGTAAAACTGCCTAAGTGATCTTCTGGACATCACAGTTGAAACCCATGCTAGATTTCAGAAACTGGTTATTTTCCTCCCAACTCGCGTCCAGCTGAGATCTGCATTATATTGCAGTTACTTGCGGAAGCTCAAAATACTGAGTATGAGGCATCTATTTCCCCTTTCAGTTTTACTTCTGCTTATTTGGGGAAAATAGAATTCTGAAGCACTTGTACATGCACACCATATCTGATGCTACTGTGCTACATATACGCTGATGCCACAGAATTCAGGCAAGCCGCAGAAAAGCATTTCATCCTCTCACCCTGAGAGGCCCTGTGACTCTGCAGGCAATCGCAGAATATAAAAGCGGCTTTGGATATGAACAACAAAGGGCTTCTACTACCTGGGCCATCAGGGAGCTCTGTTTTATTTTTAATCTTCTTCCTTTCTCTCATATTCTTTCGGCACCAACAACCCACACCACTCACTGTTTTGACCATCAGGGCAGAAAGAACATGTGTTTTACATAAGTATAGTATTTTTAGGTCCTTTTTAAGAAGAGCTGTTGTGCTGGCAGGAGCCCTTCTGTCACTTACAGGCAGCCTGATTTTTGTGGTCACTTATGCTGTTCACAGTAAAACCTTAACACAGAAAGAGAGTCTTTTCCTTTCATTTATATATACTAAGGCGTAGATCTTTTTGATGATTGCTGCGGTCTTCTTGATAAATCTGCAATGACAGTATGTTGTCACTGCAGATTTATCAAGACCGCAGCAATCATCAAAAAGATCTATACCTCGTATATATAAATGAAAGGAAAAGACTCTCTTTCTGTGTTTTTATTTTCTCCAATGCATTTCATGGCTCCGTCTGTATTCCCAGATATTGCTTACTGCGTTACATCATCTTAAGCCTACAAAGGAGTTGGAATCCCAACATTTTTTTAAAAATCCTTAGCGAAAAGACGTATTGATTGACCACCATTTTCCCCAGGCCTTTACCAATAAAGGTCTAGAGTCAATCATTCAGAGGTATCAGAGCAGCCTAGGCTGATCCTTCCTTAAATTCTGTTTTTTCTGTGAGAAGGATCTTGCTTTTGTCTTTTACCCCTAGGAAATCTCAAGCAAAGTATGGTGTGTCTGGCAATGTGGTGTGTTGGAACTGATTTTTTTCAGTTAAGTTATATGTCTGCAAAATGGAAGTTCAGGCAGAAGAAATATATAATATATAATAATCCTTGCATTTGATATAGTGCTTTTCACGTCTTCTAGACGTCTCAAAGTGCTACGCAATATATACCGTAAAGTGAATTGACTGCATTTGTGGGCGAAACCCCCTCAATATAATACTACTTTGTCAATCCAAATTAAAGACACATGCTTGCTTCCTTTTCACTCCCTCCCCTCAATTTTCTCACTTTTTTCCTCCAATCTCCAATGCCTCATGTTGTACAGTTCCATAGTTGAAGCACCCTGATGGTATTGCACCTGAGTATTAGCCACTCAGGTCACAGCACAAGTCAAAGTGATCAAGAGAGGCACAAAGATGGTTCAAATTTCAATGTGGAATTCCTTGACAAGAGTTTTGGATTTTGTTGTCTGTGATTTTACTGGTGTCTGTTAGCAAAAGCTTGAAAAACTGGTTGAAATGTTTTATTCTTTCAGAGGACCATCAGTATCAGCTCCTGCAGAACAACGGGCTTCCACTGATGATCCAAATAGTGGCAGAATCCCAGGATGAGGAACAAAGGAAAGCAGCCACTTTTGTGTTACAGAGTTGTCAACGCATAAGTGAGTGTACATACAAGTTCCTGTTCTTTACAGTCTCTAGCAAAGGCCATGTCTGGATATGAAACGTGGGCAGCACCCATTTCATTCGGTGACTTTTCATGGTTAGTGTCAAAACAATTCCATTACCTGCTAAACATCAGTGTTTTAAAAGACAGGAGTACCAAGCAGAGAACTGCTTTGTACTATTTCAGTTAAACACAATAAATAACAATACATGTGATATACATTGGTGGCCTCATTAGATTGAAACATTTCTGCTCTTCGCAGTGAAGTATTTTGAGCTAATAACTTGCTATGTAAGCAGCAGCTGATCTGAGCAGCCAGTACTCCACAAACAGCAATGAGATAGATGAACCTGTTTGTGGTATTTTATGATGAGGGAGTGGAAAACAGTGGAAAAACTCTCCTGCTCTTCCAAATATTGCCACGGAATCTTTAATGTCAACTAGAACCAAGCGTTGTCTAATATCTCTGATTACAAACGCACAGTCACCACACTTCAAAATAAATCCCATCAAGTGCTTTGGGACATTTTGACCAGGCGATAAGATGGTACATCAAATTCAAGGATTATTACAACACCTTTCATTTATGTGGCGCCCTGTACAGGGGGCAACGTCTCACAATGCTGAAATATTAATTACAGGATATCACTTCTGATAATGTAATGTTCCTCCAGTACTGAACTGGTGAGTTGGAGAAAATACTGCAAATTTCTCAGTTCCTATTCCAGGAACACCAAGACCAGTTCTAACGCCCTTACCAGCTTAGACTAGGGAACTAATCCAGGAAATTATTGCTGTGTATTGCTTGATACTGTTGGGAAGCTCCTGCTTCCCCTCGTGGCAGATCTGAGCGTGGGAACGCACATGTATGATGTGTGATTCTCAGTAATGTTTAACATCACAGACTTCAATACAGATTGCAGAAAAAGGATTTAAAGAGCAACAGATTGATGTGCAGATTTTAAACTCTGGATCTCAGTGCCTGTAGCCTTTGGTTGTTGAAGCTAAATATTTACTGTTGTGTCTTTTCAAGCTGAGAGACTATCAGACAATCTGATTGAGCATTCGCAGCCAAGAGATACGCTTGCGCCATGTGACATCAACTACCCGAAAAACAGCTGTCTGAAAGGTTACTGGAAATTTGCGCAAGAGTTTCTGAGTCGGATGAAAACATTAGAAAATCAGCAAGAAGAGGTTGAATTCTTAAGTTTTCTTGACACGTTTGAAATGTTTTATATTCCAAAGGCTTTTGAACTAGAAGTGAATTATAATTATTGGCCACTATGTTTTGATTTATCTGTAGGGGGCAGTGGCAAGGGAGGTGGGGGAACTAGAGGGAGAAGGTTCAGTGAGCAGATCAAGGTGATAAGAGGCCATTCTGGCATTGATTTTACTAGGGATTTGGTTAATTATTGAAATCAAAAACGAGACACAGTTGAGATGTTTAAAAGAGAGATCACAACATTGATAAATACTCAGGAAATATGGGTATCAATAGAATGAAAAGATCTGCCATGATCTAATACATTGGTAGGCAGGCTTGATGGGCTGAATGGCCTCCTCCTGTCCCTAACTGTTTCTCTCTCTCTCCCTCTCTCAGCAAGTAAAATGAATAATGATTTTTTTTCTGAAAAAAAAAGGAATTCAGCAGGGTAATACTAACTTTAATCTGGCAAGGCTACAGTATTGAAAGTCAGTGGGTTGAGTTGACCTTAGCTCCACTCTATTGTCCAGTGATCCCCAGGCAGTTTATATATACAGTCTGTTATTCAACTTGTTGGTCACAAACAGCTCTTCCCCTTACCAAAATGTTGTGCAGTGTTTTTAATGCTCATAGCCACAGGTAGACAAGCCACATGACAAGGCCCTCTGTCACTCACACTCACACCACGGCAGTAATGTGTTACTGGTACAGCATTCTATTTCTGTTTTCTTATTTAAATGTTGACATTTTATTTAAGTTAATTCATCTTCATTTTAATTATGTCAATAGCTTGCCACAAACCGCTTTATGAACACCAGAGACACGGAGGTACAGAAAATGGCCGCAAAATCAAGTCCAAGTGTAAACGAGGAGCTTCAGGCATACCATTCAGTGTACCCAGGACTACAGCAGACAGATAACCAAAGAAAAGGACAGGCTGTGAAACACTATGGAGAGACACACATTTTGGATAAACCTTGCATGGATAGTGGAAAAATAGATAAACTTCCTCAGCCTGGAAATACAGAATGGAAAAGAACAATTAACAATTGCACTCCAATAAAAAGAAATTTAGATTACCGTTATGCAGTAGATGGACAGAGCAAGGAGGGTTCTGTTATTCGCTCGGTCGGTTTGTCCCATTCAAGAGATGAAGATAGAAATCAATGCAGAGACCGACAGCTAGTGGTGAGGAAATTTGTTTAAAGTTACTGTTTTCATTAAACTGCCCGTTTCTCTGGGTAGCTTATTTGTCTGTTAGTTGCGTTCAGAATTTGGTCGTAGAATGTGTTCAAGGGTTGTCTTGGAAAATGCTGACAGTGCTATTTGATTCCTCACCATTCATCCTTGGGGAGCACCCGGCCTCCAGCCAGCTCCTCACTGAAATGGAGATTAGTAACACGGCACAGCTTGGATTGGGTTTCCACATCCCACTTCTGTGATACAGTACATCACTAATCTCTCTCCTGTCTTGAGCATGCTATCTCATACTGAAGTTCTGCTCTGTGGGTATCAGCTGCCCTTCTGTACTTCATCCAAGTGGTCATTCTTAATTTGTGAATCTAGACAGTGAGTGCCACTGGCTGTGTTTCTGAGTGAAGGGGAAGGAGAATCACAGTGGAACTCAATCCTGACTTTTATCTCATCTCCACACATGCACTTTCCAGCAGAGCGACTGGTTAGTGATCAGGAGTTGTTACCATAATAACCTGATCATTATTCCAACCCCCACCCCATGATGCTGAGCGAATTGCAACACACTCGGTCGTGCCTAGCCAACGCAGCAAAGACTGCTCCATGCCCAGCTCCTATCCTGCATGAAGGGTAAATGCAAGTTGTTGTTACTGCACCACGTTGTGCACTGGACCACAGTCATAAGAGGAGTCTATTGACATACTCATAACGTGATGACTTCCAAAACACAGATCTCAAACTTTATCTGAGTCTTGAGTTGCTTCTGAAAACAGGCCAAAATATATTAAGGACGTGTATAATAATAATGCTGGCATTTGATAAAGTGTTTTTCGTGTCTTTTAGATGTCTCAAAGTGCTTCAGAGAATATACTGTAAAGTGAATTGACTGTATATTTGTATGGACTGAATGGTAATGGAACAAGAGAAACGCTTTCTTAATATTTATTGTTTCTTGTTTTTAAGGAAAGGGTGAGGCGACAGATATTTGTAGAAGATGATGTGGCACTGGAATCGATTAGAGAAACTACCGCTGCAGCTCAGTCCAGGATGGGCGGTTTTGACAGAGCAAATTGTATTCCAAGAACAAGAGATGCGAGCAGCCAGTGGCAGTATGGTGTGCCCATTGGCCCACACGGTGGCAGTGTTGGCTCTAGGGAATCCACTGGATATTTGCACCGAAATGGAACTTCAAAGGCACGGGGCAGTTCTGGGTCTGCGCAATTCGTTGCTCAGGGAAAGAACGGAAATGTAGCAAGGAGCATACCCATGATAAGGGATACTGTACCTCTTGTAAGGAGTAAGTAAATATTAATAAGGTAATAAAATCATAGCAATTACAGAGTAGTGATATTAATTGTTAAAATTCTCTTCATTCAGTTGACTCTGGATCCTACCTCATTCCCCAGGATTCTGGCTGTGTCACTTCAGAACTGGCTGTAGGCAGACAGTGTAAAAGCAGTAGGGCTTCACTGGCCTGCTGCTGATGTCTTCCTCCCCGACAGAGTGACCATTGGCAGAGAGCCTGGAGTAGGTCACCGCAATTCAGTAGAATTTCTTCACTTGTCACTGCTTCTTACTGCTCAGGGAGCATACAATCACTATACTATACAGCGGTTTCCTGTGAATCAGTTTGAAAAATTTCAACTTTACATTTCACTATCAAATGCAAGGATTATTATTATAATGTAATGATCCATTTAGATAGGTCCATGACCAGGTCCGTTGTATTATTTCAGTTCAAGTTACATGTCAGTTTGTTTCTTGATTCTTTCCACTTTATAGACGAGACCTGTTCAAAAAACCTGCTTCAATTATGAGAAAACGAAGGCAACACAACTGCATAGGTATGGATTATCTTGAGATTCCATCTGCACAAATGCTAACTTTAAACAATACAATATTGGTAAAGATGAACTTTAATGAGAGATCTTGTGCTTGAAATTCTTCATGTTCGTTGTTGAGAAGATTTAGCTGTAGTTAGCTGTACTCTCTGGGTCAGACTTTTCTATACACAAAATGACAATAACAGCCATTAACTTGACAATAATTGAGACATTTTAATTTTCTAAATGATGTATCAAATGCAAGGATTATTATAAATGATTTTTCAGCTACCCAGGCTGCTCTTGTTTACCTGCTAGCCTTGGCAGACAGAGTGGCCATTGACAGAGAGCCTGGTCATTTTAGATAAGATGAGGCACACAATATTGCTTAAGAGAAGAAAATAACTTTATTGATTTAAAAAATCCATTGTAAAAAGAGATGTCAATATCCAGTTATCTGTTGTTCCGCAGATCCACTGATTCTGTGCTCAGATCTCATTAACAGCGAAGCCCATGGTAATAGCAGCCCGGCACTTTCAAACAGTGTGGAAACAGTGTTCAGATGTACAGGTAGATATTTACTCTGTGGTTTTGTACTCTGATTTCTGAAAATGTCCATTATCTGATGGCTTAGAAGTATATACCTAATACTATATTGTAAATCATTCAAATTTGACCAAATTTCTAGTTATTTGGACCAGTACAATTTCATAGTTTGCTTCACCATCCTGAATCACTTTGTGATCGCTCAGTCTCTGATGTCTCTGACCACCAATTTGAGGTGACGCATGGTTAGCAATGCAGCTTTGCCCACTATTCTCTTAGCTTTTACAATCCAACAAAGCAGACATTTCCCAACTGTAGCCAGGCGAAGATGCCTATTCTAGCCACTCTGAAAGATGTTGTTTTTAAAGAATTGGTAGAATGTCTTTTTTCTTTATTAGGTTGCGTGAAAGCAGCACCATCGCTAAATAGTCGCAGTTTCAGCAGGATTCTCCATTTGTGCCCCTATAAATGTGACAGGCACAAAGTGATTCAGGATGCTGAAGACCGATACAAAAAATCCCTCAAGAAATTAATGAGTTATAATAAAAACACTGCTGCAACGTACAGAAGTAAGTAAACAGGTCATTATCTTTAAGTGATGATGTGATTAAATTAGTGGTTCTATTCTTTTAATTGTTGAATGGACCTAGATGTGCTTGTCCAGACATCCCCCTCCCCCCCCCCAAAGCTCTCTCAGCACTGGACTCTTCCCCGTGCTGTCCTGAACAATGAAGTCGCGATGCCTGAGCTGATAATTAGCAACTGAAATTCTGCTCCATCTTGACGACTTCACATTTTTCACCCCAAAATAACAATAAAAATAGAGTTTTTTAAAAAGAGACAGAGAGAAGTCAATTTTTAAACAGTAAACAGGAGGCTTTGAGAGGTGGCCTCTGTCTTCTGGCACTAGGCCAGTTGTTTGAGACTACTGAAGCTTTCAGCTTTATCACTCTTTTATGGCAACGTAAGCAATATTTAGTTGTGCTTGGGTAAGCAGAGCTAATGCAGTTCCCCAAATGCTGATGCTTTAACCTTCAAAGGATTAAGTCGAATTTATTTTCCAAAATAAATATTTTTTCATTCTATTCAAGAGGTTATTGCAACTTCAGAAATGTTGTGACATATCATCCATTAATTTGTTTTAATTGTTCTTGTTTTATCCAGGCTTCTCTCTCCTTTCCTGAGGCACTAATTTGTGTTTAGTTAGTTTAATGGGTACCTTCCTGTACTTGCCTAAGTGCCTATTCTATATGTGTGAGTCTAGACAGTGAGTATCAGCAGGATATATATATAATATATATTACTTATCTGGAAGTATAGACTTTTCATAAAGTAATCCTGTTGGATTCTGCCAGAAATCATATATACTGTTCTCAGTAGCTTACTTGTGGCAAGGCACTACATTTGACTTTAGTAGCTTTAAGTAAGGAAAATCAACAACAACAACAACAAGATTCCATTTATAAAGCGCCTTTCACGTCAGGAGGACGTCCCAAGGCGCTGCACAGTTGGGTCATGACCCGAGCAGGGGGGAAATGGTCAGGGTGAGGGGAGGGGAGGGAGCGAGGAGGGGGGAAATGGTCAGGGTGAGGGGAGGGATGGGAGGGAGCGAGGAGGGGGAAGAGAGTCGAGAGGGGAGCTGAAGGCTCGGTCAAAGAGAAAGGTTTTGAGACCGGCCTTGAAGGAGGAGAGGGAGGAAGCGGCGAAGGCACTGGGGGATAGAGTTCCAGAGCCTCGGGGCTGAGGCTGAAGGCCCGACCACCAATGGTAGGGCGATTGGGGCGGGGGACGTGGAGCAGACCGGAGCCAGAGGAACGGAGGGTACGGGCAGGTAGGTAGGGGGATAGTAGGTTGGAGAGGTAGGAGGGAGCGAGGCCGTGAATGGCCTTGTAGGTGAGGATGAGGATCTTGAAATCAATCCTCTGGGGGATGGGGAGCCAGTGGAGGCGAGCGAGGGTGGGAGTGATGTGGTCCCGAAGCCTAGTGCGGGACAGTACACGAGCTGCAGAGTTCTGGATGACCTGCAGCTTGTGGAGGGAGGTGGCGGGAAGGCCGGCGAGGAGAGAGTTCCCATAGTCCAGCCTTGAGGTGACAAAGGCGTGAACCAGGGTTTCAGCAGCGTGAGGGGTGAGGTAATGCCATAGTCTGGCGATGTTCCGGAGGTGATGGAAGGCGGTGCCAGTTGTGGTGCGGATGTGAGGGAGAAAGGACAGCAGAAAATCAAGCAGAATTCCCTCTTCTTATCCCTCTACAGCTTACAAATATAATGTGATCATTAGTACCTTGTGGTGTGATGAGGGTTAATTTTTACAACGAGAGATTATCAGTCATTTTGTTGATTCCAGAGATTTTCTTGACTCCGGTTTAAAAAAAACCACAGCGATCAATACAAACTTCCACAGAGACAACAACATCAGAACTCAACTTAAATCATCCAACCAAAATATTTGTGCAATGAATGAGTACATATGACAGTGTATTACACTGTATTTCTGGGGTTTACACCTATGGGACTTGGGTTCAGTTCCAGTTCAGACAAATGGGGTAGAAGTGATTCTGTAATATAATAATCCTTGCATTTGATATAGCACCTTATCACGTCTTTGACACGTCTCCAAGCGCACTACAGAATATATTGTAAAGTGAGTTGACTGTATATTTTGTGGGCGAAATGTAGTAATCAAGCTGCAATGTGGAACAGATTCTGCAAGAGTTGCGTGGATCGAAAGCCTTCAACGGTGAGCTGGATAAATATCTCTTTGGGATTAGGGGTTGTATGTTTGCACCTAGATAATCAACTATTCCGGAGGGTATGATGGTTGCTGTACTGCTGAGGGTGGTATGGAGAGAGAGATCATAAAAGACCTTTCAATTCCTTTAATCTTATCCTTCCAGAATATCCACCTGAATGTTTTCCCGTAAGAGCATCAAGCACTTTCTTAAGTGAGCCCCAGTATCCTGGCCTCTCCCATGGTCTCTGGTAATCTTCACTAGCTGTTACCCTCTGTGTAAAAAAAAATCTTCCTGGTTTCTGCCTGTTTGAAATGTCCTCAACTGGTGGAGTTGGAGTGATGGATAAAAGTTCTGCAGTTTTTTTGTTTGATTGCCTTTGGGTTGAGAGATTGTTTTGGCAGCACTTTCCTTTAAAAGATTAAGTAGGTAGGATAGACTCAACACACTGAGATCTAGCTGTTTGCTACCGGTAGCAAGTTTCCCCGGTTATACAAACAGAATGAAACGTTTGCTGAATTCTTCAGGTCATGCTTTGTTAATCCCCAGATCCCAATGCTGCACAGTTTTGCCTGACACCGTGTTTTGCCATAGATGCCAATGTTAAAAACTTAACTGGGGCATTCTATGCTTAAGCACACCTTCACTCCATCCCACCAGAGTGGGTTCAGCTGTTTGTGCTGGTGGTGTAAACTCTACTGGCTGTCAGTCAAATGCATCCGATGGCTTCAAATACATAAATTTGCATTTCACCTTCAAAGCCCTCCATGTTCTTGCTCCCCCCTACCTCTTCCTAACCCCCTATCACGCTGTTCCCTCCCTCCGCTCAACAGGCTCCGGTCTGCTTCACGTCCCTCGCCTTGCTTGCCCCACTATCAACGGGCGGGCCTTCCGCCACTCTGCACTCACTCTCTGGAACTCCATCCCGCAGTCCCTCCATCTCAACCTCTCCAATGCCACCTTCAAGACCCTCCTCTTTGACTGTGCTTTCGATCTCCCTGCTTCCCCCCCACCGCCCTCCCCATTCCCCCATCCCTACCCTCAGCTCGGGTTCCTAACTCTGTCCAGCGCCTTGGGATGTCCTCCCAACGTGAAAGCCACTATACAAATGTAATGTTGTTGTATACCGTGATATTTTATGGTATACACATCATCCATTCCTGTTGTATTTACCGTATGCTAAGCAGGAAGACCTGATGGGACAAGATCAGGCAGGAAGATGCTTGTGGAGATAGGTTAAAAAGGAAGAGCTGCTGTCAGGTGATGCCACTTTTCCCTCAGCTCTGTGGGTTATTTGCTGAACAAACACTTTTAATCTTTTTTTTCTTTTGTAGGGATTGTTTTGACACCAGTTAAAGAATGTACATCTAGAGGTACAGATTTCAGCAGCAGGCAGATTTTAAACCCATTGAAAGCAGCTGGTAAACACAGTTACACAAATGGTGAGTAGATTATCTTGGTAGGTTTATCTGGTGAATGCCTGAGCCATACAGAGGGGCAAAAACCCAGGTTCGACTCCAGTTTGTGCTGAGTTAACTGATCTCTGCCAGTCCAGAGGTAACTAGAATTCCTACTCCTGATTGCAAGCACTGCTCAGTTTTTCTGTCAGTGGATTTCAGTTGAGGACCATTGCAATGCTCCTTTATCAGCTGACACATGAATAATGACTGATGAGCACCTATCGAATGGTGCTTTGTGCTGACAGTGGTGCGGAGAGTGGGCATGTGTTCTGTTTCCCCATTACTGCATTCCTCACCTTTATAAGCACAACAATGTAAGTCTTCAATGAACAACAAAAAGAACCAACTGGAATCATTATACAATGAAGGAACTAGAGAATCACACAGTTCTCTGCTCTCAAATCTGTTCAGGCCGAGGAAGGCAGTTCTTTCTAATTGAATGGGTGCATGGAGTGCACCTTTGCTTGAGGTATAATGATTGAATCTAAAGTAAGTGAATAATCCTGGTTTTCTATGACAGGGAAAACATATTGTTGACTTCTGTAGGCAAGTTGGGAGATGAAAGGCCGCCGAACAGCTACTGGACAAGACGTTCACACTGGATGGTTTCTGCTCCAGCCATATTCTAATGTTGCTGAGAGTATTTTCTCAGCTTGATCTTCTCTAGTTGTATGAGAGTTACAATATTATAACCGCATTTCTCCCACAAAATATGTAGTCAATTCACATTACAGTATATTCTGTGAAGTGCTTTGAGACGTCTCAACAAGGTGATAAAGCGCTATATCAAATACGAGGATTATTATTGTTGCATTAATACTCCTGTTTTATTGCTAGAGCCTACATAGTGGGATATCCTCCCCTTTCCTCACACAATCTTAGTCCTTGATGGAAAATTCTGCCATCGACTTTATTAAAAATTTGAACCCAATTACAAACATGACATTTTTCACACCTTTACATCTTTTTATGAAGCCATTGAGACTATGAATTTATGTAGAAGGTGAACCATTTTTATGCCTCATATTAGTTTAAACAATTTGACAGCATGTTTTTCATGTTAAAATGTTTTGGGGCTGAGTTGGGGGAAGGGAAAGAATATTGAGATGGTATGGAGTCAGGGTCAGGTCATCTTAAATGGATCTTGTAAAGCAATCCCTTTCAGATTTTCCTGAACCTCAGGTTAGCCGTGATGGTGTGGTGTCAATGATCCCGACAGTTATACTCAAAGGACTAAAGTAGCCTGGAAAAGCGTGACATTTAAATACGCATATTTACTGGACGCCACATAATTTTGTAACCTCAAAAAAAAGAGTTTTTTGTCGCAGAATGGCTGCTGAAATGTGGAGACCCTGGAGAATTGTAGTGTGATTGGATGGGATCAGGTGTTTTTTGTGGCTCAGCTGTCATTCTGAAAGGAATAGAATAAAATGCTTCCAGCAAAAGGGCAAACTATAAATAAATGTAATGAGTTACTGGGCTTGAAACATTTTTTTCAAAAAAAGCTAGGCAATTTTGGTTGCTGCATAACTGAAGCACTTTGTACAGTCTTTAAATATTAAAATTATTTTTTGTCTGAGGCAGGTGCTTGTTGCATTTATTTTTCATCTATTATGATAAGGGTAGAATCAAGAAGGTAGATTTTTAATATTCTCTTCCCCTCCAATTGTCTGTAAATGGTGGTTTTGAGTTATTTGTTTGTCGAAAGGTCACAGTCTGGCTTCTCCCAACATCATCTTTGAGAACAGCATCAGGATTTTGAAGGTAAAGGAGGGGTCTGCCTCTAGCCCATTTAACATGAAAAATATCTGAATAGTAAACCCAACTCCATTATTAGACGCTGAAGGGGGAGATGCGAGTATTCTTATCTTTGAGACATCTCGATGATGTGGTAATGTTCTATATCAAATGCAAGGGTTATTATTATAATATATTTTCCCCAAGAAAGGGACAAGAATAATAGTATAATGTAATTAGAAACATGTTCATCCTGGAAGAAGGTCAGTGTACCTATGCCTTCCCTCGCTGTTTTTCCCAATTGCCCTTTTTTCCCAATTCTTTCCCTGTAGCCTTCAATGATTTTACTGGTCAGGAGCTTATTCAGTTTTTCCAAGTTATTCTGAATTGGAAAAATCACAGTTGATAGAAAATAACAGGGTCTATGCTTTTGTACCTCTTACTTGTATTGTCGTCACAGAAGTGCTGTCCTGTCTAATTCTAAACCGAACATGTTATTCAGGAGACATTTTCATCCGCAATATTTGCATTTCAAGCAGTGTGTCTGTTTTCAGCCTGAACAAAAATACCCCTGTCCTGGACTAGCAAATTAAGACAAGCTGATAAAGGCTTGATAGGCAATGTAATGTGACTTGGAAACCCCTCGGGTCTGAGTTGAGCTTATTTCTGTTCTGACAGCGTGTATGTGCATGTGTCTGGCTGTGTACGTGTGTGCTGCAAGCAGGAGAATATTAAATTGGAGTGGGAAACAGGAAGGAAGATAGATTAAGAATAGCTAAAATGGACATTTTGACAACCGTAGCTTTGGATTGCAGCCTGCCCTGGGAAAACTGTAAGCATATCTTCATCGAGCTTAACACAATATCAACGGTGTCTCTGGCTTGAGTGTGGTGTTTCTAATGTGAGTATGAAATCATGTACTGTGTAACAATGGCCCCGGGCTCCCTAGATAATGAGGACATGGGGGTCATCCTCATGCAGCCAACTACACCAGAGGACACTGGCTTTTCAAATTAAAGGGGAACTCAGATCAACTAAACAAGACACAGTCATTCAGTTTAGGCACTGACTTCACACAGGGTTAAAAACTGAAATGTATCTGATTTTTATATTAATACTTTATCACCCATTGTCACTCAATCCACGACTGTTTGTGGGACACTGCTGTGCGCAATTGGCTGCTGTGTTTTGCCCATAAAATATAGAGTCACTCCATTTTACGATATGTTCAGTGAAGCGTTTTGAGACGTCTCCCAAGTGATAAGATGCTATATCAAATGCAAGGATTATTATTATGAAGAATATTTAAAACAAATTAAAAGTGCAAGTCCTTTCACCTTACCTTTTTTTAAAAAAAGCTATATTTGATACAGAACCTATTGTGTTTGAAAGCACAACTGTGCCTTGTGCCAGACGTGTTGACCTTTCAATTTTTCCCTTTCCTCTCTTGGATTGAAGCAGGATCAGAGAAAATACATACAACAACAACTTGCATTAACACATGGAGTGTATCAAAGTGCTTAAACATCTCCAATGGCCTAGTAGATAAAAGCACCACAGTGTAACACTAAGATATACAGGCTAGATGGTCATAAGTTCAAATGTGAGTCAATGCTAAGTTAGTTGATTCAAAACAGCAATTTGGACTGCTATTGGACTCAGAATCTCTGTGCCAGGCAGTGATCTACCACTTAAAATGTGTGTGTGTGTGTGTACGTCAGATGAGGTTAGGGTCAGCTAAGGCTGTACTATATTGTCCTTCATGGTTGAACAACCTGCCAACACGTAGTGTGTGGGAATAGATGTGAAGAAAGACCACTTGGATTACGTATCGGAGAACTGTACTGCAAGCAATGAGTCAGCCCCTGCAAGAGGGGAGAAAAGGAAAAAAATGGCAAACGAAAGGAATACAGTCAAACCTGTTAAAGCAACCACCTCTATTAAGCAATCACCTGCCTATCGTAACCAGTGGCTACTTTCTTAGTCCTGTCAGAGTACCGACACCCTATTCAGAGGCCAGATCTGGTCTGGTGGGCTGCTCAGCGTTGAGTTGGCGCTTGGAGTCTAGCGGAAATTATTTATTTTTTGTAACTGATTTATTTATTCAAACTAGTTTGATTTATGGGTTTGTATGTGAACTGTATTTTTCTGTACACTTAGAAATGCTAAACACACCATTGAACCCTTATTCAGAGGCCACCTTTACATAAAGGCCACTTTGGTCCAATCCCATGAGCAGTTGCTGAAAACAGGTATGACTTCTACATTAGAATACCACTTATCTGTATCAGAGCAGAGGTTCAGAAATTAAATCGGGTTATGATGTCAGCAATAGGTTTTAATTGTACACATGCAGCTTGAGGTGAAGGTTCCTGATCCAGTACATGGATAGAGAGAGCAAGGGACAGAGAGAAATTCACAGTGACAGAGAACCAGAGAGACACATACATGTACAGACTTGATATCCACAATTAGTCCACAATGGGGCTAGTCCCAATTGATGATGAATATCAGGCTCTGGACTAGTTTGTGACACTGGTAATAGATGATGGATATCAACAACAACAACAAAATTACATTTTTATAGCCCCTTTCACATCGGGAGGATGTTCCAAGGCGCTGGACAGACAGAGTTTTGGGCCAGAGCTGGGGGTCGGAGGGTGAAGCAGGAAGATCGAAAGCACGGTTGAAGAGGAGGGCCTTGAGGTGGGTCTTGAAGCAGGCAAGGGAGGAGGTGAGGCGGAGGGACAGCAGGATGGAGTTCCAGAGGGTGGGGGCAGAGTGGCAGAAGGCCCGCCCGCTAAATAGTGAGGCGAGGGAAGCAGGGGACGTGAAGCAGGCTGAATCCCGCTGAGCAAAGGGAGCGAGCAGGATGGTAGGGGATTATCGCCCACAAAATACATAGTTACTCCACTTTACAGTTTATTCTATGAAGCCCTTTGAGAAGTCTCAACAGTGTGATAGGGAGCAATATCAAATGTGAGGATTATTATATTGTACACAATTAACATATCAACCACTGCTACCCACTCGTTTCAGTGAGACAAATATTTGATTTTCCTGTACAGGTCAACAATACCAGCCAGAGCCCAGAAAAGAACTGTGTATGTCACAGTGCAAGGCCAAGGTTGATGATCAGGATCATACTTACTCCTTTGATGATGATGATGAGGTTTGTTGCTGTTTGTATATTAACACGGAATTGTAGGACCCCAGTTTAGCACTATTCAAAAAGAGAAGGGAGTTTCTCCTGGTGTCCTGGCCCAAATACAATTGGTCACGTACTCCATGGCTGTTTGTGGGATGTTGCTGAGTGCAAACTGGCTGCTGCGTTTCACTCACAAAATATACAATCAATCCACTTTACAGTATATCTTGTGAAGCGCTTTGAGACCTGTTGATGCGATAAACAACAAAAATTACATTTGTCAAGTGTCTTTCATGTCGGGAGGACGTCCCAAGGCGCTGAACAATCAGAGATCAGGACCCGAGTGTGGGGGGCAGCGTTGGGATGAGGGATTAGGAGGGAGGTTTAAAGCACGGTCAAAAAGGAGAGTCTTGAGTCATGCCTTGTAGAAGGGAAGAGAGAGAGCAAGGCAAAGGGATTGTGGGATAAGGCACTGTTTATTTACCTCAGTTTCAATCCCAGGATGATCTCATGTTACTTTTCTACTGTAGCATTCAGACACATGTCGGTATTACTTTAAGTTGAAAGAAAGGAGGAAAAAGAGGAAACGTAAGGATTTCACACCCGAAGAGGTTACTTTCCTGATAGAAGGAGTGAAGCTAATGGGGAAGCACTGGAATTCTATCCTTTGGTCATTTCCCTTCCAGGAAAGTCGAACCAATGTGGATCTAGCACAGAAGTACCGGAACTTACAGGTGAAGGAAAGATTATTTTGCACCGAATATATTAAGTGATAAAATTATGTTTTATCTAACCAGAGTCATTGAGTAGTGATTAGGAGCCCCCTGAGTTCCGGGATTCAGGATATTTTAATAATAATACTTCCATTTGATATAGACATCTCAAAGCGCTTCACAGAATATACTATAAAGTGAATTGACTTTATATTTAGGGTGTGAAACCCGGCAGACAATTGCGCACAGTAATGTTCCATTCCCCAGAGTAACACAAGTTGCTGTAGTTAAGCCATCAAATCACTGTTGGAATAGATGGTATATTGGAATCCACTGACTTTAGGAAGGTTGGGGGAAGGGGGGAGGTAAGAAGAGAAACATACATGAGAGAAAAGGAAATAGAGAGTTACAAGAGAGGGGATTCGAAGGGTTGGAGGATCATATATAAACTAGACTAGTTGGGCCAAATGGCTTGTTTCTGTGCTGTAATGTTCTATGTAAATACTATAATATAACAGATAGTATTGCCATGATATTAGTTTCTAAATTCTACTTGTTTCTCAAACCCTTAGGGAAAAAAAAGTGACAGCCAGCAAATGGTGAGGCATTGACACTTCATATACACGTCCATGTTATGGATGAGCACGGATTCTGTATTTATGATTTACACCACTGGAAGACTGAACCTTCTATTTCTATGCAAAAGCAAGGACAATTCTATTTAAAAAGATGCAGAAAGAAAAGTAATGCCATCCTATTCCCACATGGATGCTCCAGCTGTTTAAACCATTACATTAAATAGATGTTACATCAAAAAATATTGCTCTTTTATGCCTTTTTTTTGAACCAAGAAGGCACTATGTGCTACATTCGGCTTCACCACCCCTGATCAGAGGGGAACATTGGCCAGGATTTCTCCCAATGACTCGCAGCAAAGAAAGGCATGTGTGCAAATCCCAGTACTGGGCTTGGTGCTTATGGGCTCCAGTGATCTATAGTCTGCTGAGGAAGTACAACACTTGTGCAAGTACCAGATGGTAAGTATCTAGTTCTGTATCACCAAGAAGGTAAGCGTTTCAATAATACAAGCATCCTACACACACGATCATAATTTCATGGATTGAAAATCACTTGTGCTTTGTGGCCAGCAATGTTCTTGTAAGGAATGAACCACTACATAATCACACTTTTGCCTCTAAGAATGTTATAGGTTCAAGCCCCATATTAGGAAATGGGGCGGGGGGGGCACATTCACCTACAAATACACTCACTTCACTTAAACACCTGTGAAGCACTGAGATGTCCTTCAGGTGTGAAAGTTGCTGTATCAAAGTCAAGCATTTATTAGCATCTCCTCCCAGTTTTACACTTTTCTCTATTTTAATGCAAAAAAACAAAATTGTTCCTCAGCTATGCCAGAGCTGAACAGGCTGTAGAAGCCGCACTAATGTTAAAGCGTTGTCTACACTAGTCATGTCATATACAAGGCCTCTCCTTCCCAACATGCCCCAGTTCTGACGAAGGATCGTGGATCTGAAACGTTGACTCCCTTTCCTTTCTCCATAGATGCTGCCTGACCTGCTGAGTGTTCCCAGGGACTTCTGTTTTGGTTTTCACATACACGGCCACTTGGGTGAGGTACTAGAGTACCTACTACCTTCAAAATCAATTAAGGGTGTAATTTTGATATAACTGTTAAAGAATCCAGTTGGGGGACATTGAAGATTTATGATCACAGTTTGATACTCTAGTGCCTCATGATATCAATGTTATCACAGTTCGTTCAACCTCAGAATTCATTCTATACATTTAAAACATGAAAGTGTTTTATAGTTTGCCGCTGGATATATGCCAGTCAGCTGCTTGTAATACATCAATAGGAATGGTGAAATACTATATTACTGGCCACCAAGTATCCCAGCAATTACAATACTGTAATGGAGAGAGACGTTAATTGATGCTTGTATTCTCATGATATTTGTCCTTTCACCAGCCTTTCTTGTGCTAAGTAATGGCAAGATAATTGCTTAAGAGTAGAAAGTTCTAGGATTTTTCCTGCAGTGCTGGAGGAAAAATGAACCCAAGGCTGCTGTAGTCATTTTACGGTCAGGGCCAACCAGTTGATTTACTCAAATCCAATGTAAATAGAAACACGACTTAACAGCACTCTAAACAAAACTCGAAACAAATTGAGATCAAGTACAATAATCTTTATTTCGTTGTCAAAAGCGTTCAAAGTGGTTTAAAATCTTACATTCCCTCCCCCGTCAATTAAGCTACAGATGCTGACAGTATATAAACTCTAGACCAGGTAACTGTGAATTGGATAAATCACTAAATGTTGCTACTTCAATTTGCAATTTAAGCTTGTGTTCAGTGTACAGTTTAAAGCTTCCCTCAATGGAATCTTGTAGTTTTGTGAGTTTGCGTGCTTTTAAAAAATACCAGACATTTAGGACAGTGTTGTGCAACTAAAAAGTCTTTCAAGTTTATCCACACCCATTGAAATCATATGGGCCGAGTCTTGATTTTGCAAGTGATTTTTTTTGGTATCTGATGGAAGAGTGTTGGGTCAGTGAAGTCAATGTGTGCTGGAAAAAAATTAGTCATTGCCCTGTTTGCAGCACGAATAGTTTTCCCCTTTGAGAGAAACATGCTTGATCCTAGTCAGTCTGGGAGAAATCCAAATCCCACCTATTAAATCTTGTATTTTGTCACATAATTTTGGTTAATTCATCAACTTGCAGTTCAGCACCTCTCAACTCACTCAACAGCCACATCTACCAGTTAGGTTCTGCATTTGTCACCTAATTATCCAGTTTCACTAGCCCACATTCTTGCTCTCCCACAACTTTGTCTAATTCCTCTGTGATCTCACATTCCACCATTGGCTTCATTCCCAGTTTATCAGAACTAATTTCTTGACGATTCTCTTCAGCTTTACCGGCATCATTCTTGCCACTATCTGCAGAGGTTCCATTTACAATGGAGGTCTCTTGAACATTCACCGTTTCACTAGTGGATTCCTTTTCGCCCTTTTCTTCACTATCTAGAGTGACGCCATTGTCAGTTGTAGCAGAATTAGTTTCTTTATGTTCCTCAGTTGAATTTACCAATTGACGAGGACTGGATGGTTCAGGGCCAGCACAGCTCGGATCTGTCAGTTCAGATTTTGTTGCCAGTTGATCGAAAGACTCCTTGGTTTCTTGAGCATCGGTTTTACCTTCTTGAACAATGGCCTCAGATCCCACCGATTCTGGTTCAACAATTGCTTCGTTGAGTGGATTTGAATCAGTTTTCATGTCAGAACCAGCATTTACTGCCTTAGGAGGAATTTCCTCAGGAGTGGGCACTTTGTGAGATGGTTCCTCATAATGGCTCTCCACTTTCTCCTCCTCAAAAACTTCAGTATAGACAGTTAGCTTGATATCTGGTATTAGTTCAGAACTGGTCTTCAGCAAGGATATTTCTGCTGTACTGTCAGGGAGGACAGTTTTTGTCACAGTATGGTCGTGCGTGGGTATACTTATTAGCTCTTCTGCCTTTGGAGAAGAAACGGTCTGAGTGGGTTCTGCCATCACAGGATCACTTGATAGTTTATCTTCTTGGATTGGTTCAGCCACATCTTTGCGAGTTTGGCCACAATCTTCCTTTGATTCAACAGACCCTTCAGGTAGTTGGTCTTCAGGTATTGTAACATTGCCCGTGCTACCTTGCACATCAGCTAGCTCTTTCGGGTGCTCTGGAGACTGTTGAGTTTTCACATCTGGTGCTACTACCTGGACAGAATGAGCTGGTTCACTCTCCACCTTCTCTGGGGCTTCAGCAGGAGTCTGTGGTGTTTCAATGACATTTTTCTCCAGTAGATCTGGGCACTTGGCCATTTCATTCTTTAACACAAGATCAATGGGTGTCTCTTCAGCCATATCCAGTGTTGGTATCTCTGCACCTTTATCAGTGATGACACATTGCACTTCAGGCTCCAATCCTTGGGTAAAACTCGATCCGGTTTCTTTGTCAGTGGTCTCCAGAGACATATTTTCCTGCTCTCCAAATAGTTTGCTCTCAGAAATCACGTCACGTTGTCCTGAATTAGGAGTTTCCTCACAGTCTTTTACTTTAGTTTCCAGGTTCGCAAAAGAATCTTTTTCTGGGTGTACATTTTCCATGTTATTGGCATCTTCTATGGGATGTGTTGCGGTGGGGCTGCTTAGACTGGGTTTCTGGTCTGCAGAGATTTCAGCCACAGTCGTCTCTTTAACTGGCGTAGCTGGGATCACACTAGCAGCGCTACTGGTCTGCACGGCCTCTTTTGTTACTGATGCAACTTGAATCTCAATACTCGTCTCTTGAACCTCAGCTCTGAGTGCAGGAGCAGTGCTAGATTCTGGTTCCTCTGTCGATGCATCTGAATTCTTCTCCTCGGGCACAACCACATTTGCTGAGTTGCTCTTCTCTTGTACATCAGAACCGCTGGCGAGATCCTGCACATCTCTGGGTTGTGATGCAGTGACATCTGCAATTGGCTTTTCGGTTTTCGAATCCAAGACGACCAAATCAGCACTTTTTTCTCCTGCAGCACTTTTTTCATTCTCTGATGCGTTTTCAGCAGGACTATCTGCGGCTTTAGGTTGTGTCTGTGGGGAGTCTTCTTTGGGTTGGTCACTTTGTTTCACGTCAGGATTGTCAGCAGCTTCAGCTGTAGCTTTGTTCTTCTTCGAATCTCCTGCTCCGCAGCCCTTCTTTATACTCAGCTTACCTCCCATCTCGTTAGCTGCAAACGTGTAACATTTCAGATTAAAAACCAGGAGAACATTGGTTACTCAGCACCATGGAGCACTTCACACAAGCACGAACAAATAATAATCCTTGAATTTAATATGGAGTCTTACCACTTCGTTGAGATGTCTCAATGACCAAAAAGCAAATTAGTCAGACTCTAATCTATGGCAAGACTTATCCAGTCCTATATCCTTTAATAAGGCTTATTCAAGTATCTAAACACCCAGCTCCCAAACCTCAAATGATGCTCCATAGCTCTGTATTGGCCAAACTTAACCATTCAATAGCCTCCAATATTGCAACTAACAATGGGTTTGCACCAACTGTCTGTCCTGTGTCTCTCGCCTTCTCCCCCTCCCACCAATGACAAAATATTTATCGGGAAGTGGCTGTTGTGTGGCACACTATCATTGACAGATATTGCCACAGGTCCTCACACCAGGAGCAGGCTCAGTCTGGTTCTTTGTGGGCTCTAGGGCATCCATCGCCTTGTCCAAAGTTTATACATGATGAAGGACAAGTCACCCCATCCCAATTCTCCACAAGAAAGCAATTCCCCTCCTCCAAGTTGGCTGGTCAGAAAAATAAACATTAAAAAAAAGTATTCAGGACCAGGTATGAAGCGAGGCTACAAGACTGGGGACTGACTGAGCATCAGGCACTGAGAGCACATGGCAAGAACTGTACATCAGCGTGAAATGCAATCACTTCGAAGACAAGGAAAGCTAGACTGAATCCTTCCTCATTATAGCATATGCTCTGGGAAGGGAGAAAACCCCATCCCAACCCCTCTTCCCCCACCCCTGACCCCTCTCCCACCTCCCCTTCCACATATCTGCACTGCTCTGACTGATTCAAACCCAAATAGGTAAATGAATCGGTGTAAATGGGGGAACTGAATGTTGGTAATTTACACCCTGTATAAAATGGTGGGGGGGGTTGGGGGGAGACAGAGGCAGCACTTGGCAGTCAATAGCAGCAATGCCAAGGGAGGGCTTCCTGGGAAAATCCTCGATTAATGCAATTGATTAAGGAATCCAGTTGAGATAAAGAAGGAACCATGGCAGTCAGAAAGAAGGGCTGCACTAATAGCAGCTGTCCTGCTCAGAGCCAGGACCGACTAAACCGCACACATTTAATTCACATCAATTCTGTAGCACATCGATTGCGAAAGTCACCGTGGAACTGCGCACATTTGGGTAAAGGTTCCAGAGCCGGGAGAGGCGAGGATGGAGATAAGGAGCCACGCCCTGGGCTCAACACAAGGCGCCTCTTCAGTCTGAACTCACATTTTCCACCCTGTCCTCTCCCCCCCAAAAAAACCTAGGTCAAGGTTCCCACCCCAACCAACCAGAGATCTCAAATAGAACAATTCACACAGACTGAATCCTTTAGAAATTGGGATGGGGTTCGCTATTGAGGTGGGGGGAGAGGGAGGGTATTTAGTGTGTGGGAATGGGTGCTATGCAGCTCCGTCTATTTTCAGACCGATCAGTGCCGCCGGTCCCCCCCGTACCCTCTCCCTGTACCGTGGCCGCAGACAGTCTGTTTAAGGCGAGGTCTCGTTATAGAGCAAAAAAACCCGCAGACTCAGCGGCAGCAGCAGAGAGGGTTTATTGTGGGGATAGTCAATCATTGCCCATTGCAAACGACCACCCAACCTATGCCGGTTCTCCCTCCGCCTGTAACCCCCCCCCCCCCCCAGTGCACAAAATGTTAAGAGGCGCTAATCAACAGAGAGAGATGGATTGTAATAATCCACTCCAATAGGAATTGCTACCGTTTCCATTCAATGCTGATGGAGGAGTATTTGGGGAGTCCTTCGGCTGCGGAGGGCGAGAGAAGCTCTCTCCTTCACCCTCTCTCTCTGCAGTGACTTGTGGACAGAGGGAGGGAGGCAGGGAATGGGAGGGAGGGAGGGAGGGAATGGGGGGAGGCAGGGAATGGGGGGGGGGGGTGAAGCTGGTAACACTGGTGGTTTTAAGTCTACATTCACAGTTTTGTAGAAGGAAAAAGAAGTGAGATATCCCACACCAAGTATTTACATTTTTATTTCCCAGATTTCAGATACTAAGTTTTTTTTAGAAAAAAAGAAGCAAAACGATTATTTATTGATGGCGAATGTTTTTTTTAAAAAAAAATCAGGCAGTCATTAACACAGTCCTTAAACCATCCTTAGTCAGAGACCCGTTTCTTAAACCATTCACCTCGCTTTGTGGAAGGGAGTGCGAGAGATTTACTGCAGCACTTACTGTTAACTCAGCTTGTTAGAGCCCTTCTCTCTCCCCCTCCCCCCTCTCCCTCGTCCCCTGTCTCTTTGCCCCCTCCCCCAGCTTCTGTATTGGAGTGCAGACCAGCTCCCTGTCCCCCCCCCCCCCCGTTATACAATCATTCTCTTCCTTTAATAATGCACCCACGCTCTAACCTTGGCTGTTCTGAACCACTACAATAGCTCTCCGCGTTAACCAGAGAGGGGGGCGGGGGTCTCTGGTTAGATTACTTAACCACACCGATTTGTTTTGTGTGGGGGTTAAAACATTCATTCTCACTAAATATAATACATTAAAGTTACCGCTACATTGAGGTGGCGTTGCTCTGTCTCTAATTTGAAGCGGTTGTGACCTGATTAGAGGGTGATTTTTGGAGCTCTCTAATGGGGGTGTATGTAGTATTGGGTCTAACACACACAATGCGTCTTTAACAGATTTACAGCCTCCTCCGCCCCTCCTAATCGTCCAGCGACCAAACCCGGGCTCTGAACATTCAAAAGGCAAACATATATAAAATTAACTCAGCAATTCAGGATTTAAAAGACTGATTAAACAACACGATTTGTGGGTTCGTGAATGAAATGAATGAATGAATGAATGAAGTTACTTGAACCTTCCAATAAGATAGCTTCCACATCGGTCTCTCCTCCCCCCACCACCCCCTCAAAAACAAAGAAAAATCAAAGCCCAGATGAGAGAATTAAACAGCGACTCTCCTCAACACCAGAAGAACAAAGCGGTGAGGGGTGTGGGGTGGGGGTGAGGGGTGTGTGTGTGTGGGGGGGGGGGGGGGGGGGGTGAGGGGTGTGGGGTGGTGGTGAGGGGTGTGGGGTGCGGGGGGGGGAGGAAGAACCCTATCAGCGCATTAGCCGAGAGAATGAGGTCGAAAAACGAGAGATACAGAAAATGTACACAAGAAAAAAAAATCCACAAATCATTAAGATGCAGAGAATTAAATCGAGAGAGAGAAAGAAATTGTAAAGTTTTGATCTTGAGCCACATAAGGAGGTAACAGTTAGTGTAAAGCTGGTCATTAAACACTAGTTTCTCAGTTGCATTGAAACCCACAAGCAGCGACCTACCGTCTGGCTCAGCCTCGGCTCGGCAACAGCAGAGAGAACTGGTCCACTTACACACCCCACCTCTGAGAGAGTGAGCAATGGGAAAGGACATCTGGGCTTTCTGTCTGTCTCTGCTGGGGGGAGGGGGGGGCTGTGCCTTGTCTGGCAGGCAAGCGATCACATTCGTCAGTTCCACACTCCCCCCCCCCCCCCCTTATCCTCGCTTCATTAATTAATTTCTCTATTGCTAATTTTTTTAAAAATCCAGTTTGCAACCCACTGAAGGCAGACAGACGCACAGCCTCTCACATTTGTCTCCTGTCTCGAGCTGCACGTTTTTTTAGATATATCTAAAAAAAGTGAATAAATAAATTAATTTGCACAGCAGTTCTCCCCTCCCCCCATGTTTCTCCCATTCCCCTATGGCAAACTGCACTTTTATTTAATTCAAAGCGATGCATAGCATTTAGTAAATGCCTCTGTTTACCGAGCAGTGAGTAGGAACCTGGTTGTTAGTCGATTGGCGGATTGCTTTTCGGGGTTAATAATCCCCCCACACAAAAAAAATTGGTCACTCAATTCATCACTGTTTGTGGGACACTGTTGTGCACAATTGACTGCCGCGTTTTGTTCACAAAAATACTTAGTCATTACAATTTACAGTATATCCAGTGAAGCGCTTTGAGGCATCTCAACAATGTGATAAGGCGCTATATCAAATGCAAGGATTATTATTATTAAAATGGCTTGAATCCTTGGACTCGGTGAGGCATGTGGTGCTCTCATCTTAATGTACCTACTGCAGTGACAGCCCAGCCCCTGAAATATTTAGTGTGCGTTAAGTCTTAGCCCTTCAAGATGCCTTTCTCCGGACTCAGCTCATCCACTGAATAATGGATCAGTAAATTACATTTACCCTCCTCCACTGGAGGGGCTGACTGGCCTGTGGGGGCAAGTCTTGGAGACCCCAGACTGTCCCAGTCAAAACCTCTGTTTTAGTGCTCTCAATGGCAAGCTATGCAGTTTTAGCTGGTTAGACTCCAGCAGGTATCCCTATGCACACACTGGGCTCTCCAAGCCTTGGCTCTTGCCATCCTGCACCCAATACGTTACAGAATTAAACAGGATGTGTCCCTCCAGAGAGAGAGTTCCCATTCCATTCCAACAATCTATCTCTGGGATTTCCAATGTCCAGGTGGGATGCAAGGAATTCTTAGCTTGGTTTGGATACTGTTAAGCATTGTGATGGGTTTCTGCACCTGACTGACCAAAATATAGTGGAGCATTTTTTGGCTTGAAATGTAAAATTATGTGGAATTATGGAATGTTCTCAAACCAAGATTTGATCTGGAAGTGGGTTTTCCCTCAGTTCCTAAAGAGAACAGCTTCCAAATTAAGGCTGAATTTAAGCATTTTCCACAATTCTGCACCATCTTAAAGTTAGAAGCAAAGTGATCTCAATGACAAGCCGACACTATCCAATTTCTTCAGATGTACTCCCACATGCTGTGACCTTAAACTGAGGTCCCATCTGTGCCTGTTCAAATGGATGTTAAAAACCCCATGGTACTAAGAGAAAAGAGAAGGCAGTTTCTCTCCCAGTGTCCTGGCCAACAATCCTCTAGAAAAAATTGGTCATTCATTTCATGGCTGTTTGTGGAAGATCGCTGTGTGCAAATTGGCTACCACTGTTCACCTATAAATGCACAAATCACTTCACAGAAGTACCTTGTTAAGTGCATTGAGATATTTCACATCGAATGCAAGGATTATTATTACTGTAGAATCATCATTGAATGCAGCAGATTGGCATGGAATTGGGAACATCTTGTGTGGCTCAATATACTACCAGCTGATGCTTTTAACAAGCGTCTTTAGGGGAGCTAATATTTGGCTGGTAATTGGTCTAATCATTCACTGAGTACCTTGAGACATCCTTTACTCTGGAAGGTGCTCTATTTCCTTCAGTGAAATGGAAACGAGGCAAATGCAAAATGCTTTGCTGCATCCAGTTATTTTAAACCCACAATTTGTAGAATAATAGAGTTTACAATAGAGAGGCTGGCCATTCATCCCACCATATATGTGTGTTGGTGCTCGCTCCCCCTCTGGAGCTCTCTCATTCTAAGAGACCTTGCTCTTCGATTGTGCTTTGGGTCACCTCCTCCCTCTCCCCCGACTCGACGTCAGGTGCTGCCACTGTTATGCCTCGAGACTATGCCCTGAATGAAGGCACTATATAAATACAAGTTGTTGTTCCGTTGGCTGCCTGGCTGGAGATTAATTGGCTGGAGGTTTCCACACACAAACATGTACACTTACAGCCTGACACACACTCACACATACAAATAAACAGGTGAACTCGCACATCGGCTCCAATGCTAATAGAGACTCAGTGTAAGATGTTAATTAGTGAGCCTGGAAGCAAAGAGACATGAAGAAGAGTGTTGGCACAGAGCCTGGGCTGCCACAGACAGCTCAGGGGGTTACAGGAGACAGACATATGGCTCTTACGTTTGTCTTTCTCAGGATGTGGGGGGGGAGAGGACTGATGGCACAAAGGGCACAGATGGCACAAACTGGCAATGCCTGTGTGAGACTGTCACCCTCCTGTAGCCAAGCCTGTTAGTGTGGTAATGGTAGATTCGGCAATAGGGAGGTTCATTGGCAGGTCAGCCGCAACATTGGTTCTGTGGTGGCTGCAGGTCTCTGGAAGCTGATAGACTGAGCAGTGGCCGCAGGCAAAATGATTTCAACAGTCCTCAGTGTAAGTCCTAATCTCCAGAGTTAAAAGGTTGTGGGTTCGAGTTCCACACCAGTGCTGCAAACCCCCAATCCTGACTGCTGCTCCAGCGCAATGCTGGGGAGACGCTGCTTTGTTGAGGTGTCAGTTTACAGATGAGACATTCAAGCCAGGTCCCATCTGCCTGTTATTCCGATGTTAATGATTTTAATAAGCAGGTCTGCGGTCCTCCAGGGCACAACTGATGACAACCCAGCTTGTAGGAGTTGGAGGGACAACAGAGTACCTGGGAGCAAGGATTTGTCCCACTCACCTCCTGTTAGCCTTGCAAGCTAAAGCCCTAGAAGGCAATAATAATAATCCTTGCATTTGATATAGCGCCTTATCATGTCATTGAGACATCTCCAAACGCTTCAGAGACATATTGTAAAGAGGTTTGATTGTGTATTTTGTGAGTGAAATGCAGCAGCCAATTGCTCACAGCAGTTTCACAGTAACAGCCATGGAGCAAGTGACCAATTTTATTTGGGTGATTGTTGGCCAGGACATTGGGAGAGAGAGAAATTACCTTCTCTTTTTGAATAACACCATTGTATCTTTAACATCTACCTGAACAAGTAGGCGGGACCTTGGCTTTGTGTCTCATCTGAAGGATGGCACCTCTGACAATGCATCACATCCTCAGCAATGCATTAGACTGTCAGCTTAGACTATGTGATTTCAAGTCCCAACATAGGGCTTGAACCCACAACCTTGTGCCTTGGAGGTGAGAGTGCTACCATTGAGATGATATGTAGGGCGGTCCGAGCTGGAGAAGCAGCAGAAATCTTGCTTGACAGTACTCTCAATGGTCCAAGTTATGTGGTTTTAGCTGGTTGGACTCCAGCAGTTAGTCCAAAGTCTATGCCTAACACTCTTCAGAATTAGGTAAACACGAGATATTCCTCCTGGACGTATTCCATTCCAAACATGTGTAGGTGGGATGCATGGAATTCTCAGTTGGTTTGGATACTCTTAAGCGCGGTGATGGGTTTCTGCACCGGCGGACCACAATAAACTGCAGTTTAAAATGTAAAATTATGTGGAATTATGGAATGTTCTCAAACCCAGACTTGATCGGCTCTTCACATGGTGATGAGTTAAGACACCCAACTGACCAACAAAACAAATTAGTGTAACCAACGCATAATGTGGTTATCGGGCAACTGGTAAAGCATCTCTGTGGATAAACTCTTAACAGCACAAAAGGTTTTTTAAATGTCCTGATGAGCCCATTCTCTAAAACTCCTCCCAGGCCCGAAGGGAGTCACAGTCAACCTGACACCGAGGGCGCCGCCGTGTGGCCGGGATGAGAATTACAACCATTCACAAAGGTCCACCAGCAGGTGGCGATGTGGAGCAGCTGCCCATCTCAGCCCCACTGTTTAGATTAGGGCAAACGTTGAAGATTGTGTGTGTGATGGGGAAAGCGCTCTGAGACGCTACCCCGGGGCGAGGGGCGCCATGGGCATGCACGTTGTTGTGGAAAAGGAAATTGGTGAGAAAACTGAAAATTAAAGAGCGGGAGAAAACCATTCATGCCCTGGAACCTGTCCCGCTACTTTTGGATCCCGTCAGATATTGTAATCCCATTTCCCTGCCTCTTCTCCAGACCTCTTTATTTCAGAGTTGGGCAGCATTCTGGGGTGTGTGTTTCACTGAGCTCGGCCTTACCTCACTGCATTGTTTACCAACAGTAAGATCCCAGGGCTGCATTTTATTCTCAGGGATCTGCCGATGGATAGGAACACTGGAAAGGTTTCCCTTATTAACAGAAAATCTCCTGTGATGTCTGGCTTGTATCTGGAGTTGCCACAGGCACCGTGGTTTGTGTTAAAATGGCTGGTTCCAAGTGACAATGTTTTTGCTGCTTGTCCTCCTGTGTCCATCCAGTTGCGTGTAACCGTGAAAACACATTAATATCTGTGTGTCATGCATATCCACTTGTAATGTAAGTATTTGTGGGACTCGCTGGACGGTGGTTTGGAGCTTCTTAAATACAGTCCTGGGTTTCTGTATAAATCAGACACAATTTTTTCCCAAACACTAGTAAAATATTGGGAGCACTCAGCAAGTCAGGCAGCATCTATGGAGAAAGTGAGTCAACGTTTGGGGTCCACGACCCGTCGTCAAAGCATTTTGGGTCATGGACCCGAAACGTTGACTCACTTTCCTTTCTCCATAGATGCTGCCTGACCTGCTGAGTGTTCGCAGCCACTGCTGGTTTTTGTTTCGGATTTCCAGCATCTGCGGTACTCGGCGTCTTGTTTTTACTCGTAAAATATTGTTTATTTGACATTGATATTAAATATTGCGAATAATAAAGTCACATTTGCAAAGTGAACCAAACACAATGTGGAGTCCCGTAGTTAGAGCACTCGCCGAGCGACCCCGAGGACCCGGGTGCGGTTCCCCCGTGGGGCCAAACCAGCGGCCGGGAACCGTCCCCGGGTGTTAGTCGATTGGCGGATCGCTTTTCCGGGGGGTAATAATCCCTCCAAGAATAAATAATAATAATAATAATTCGGTCACTCAACCCACGACCGGTGGCGGGACGTCGCTGGGGCGCAATTGGCTGCCGCGCTTCACCCACACAACGCACAGTCACTACGACAACAACAACAACAACAACTTCAACAACAACCTGGAGTTACACAGCGCTCTACGCCGGAGCTTCACACTTCACAGTGTATCCTGTGAAGCGCTGTGACACGACTCGAAGACGTGATGAGGCACTGGGTCTAATGCCAGGATTATTGTTATTATTATTATTATTATTATTTAGGATTTTAATGCAGTAAATGATTGGGGTCTCTGGAGGGCACAGCTATCACGTTGCTTAGCAACCGCAGGACCCCTCCTTCCTGTCCAGCTGCTGGGTGTCCGTTCAGCTGCCTGGTTTCCTCCCCCCCACCGCCCCGTTCTGTTTTAAAAACAGAAACAAATCAAGAGCTGTGCTTGTTTTTATTATTGGAGATGGCGATGAGGTGGTGGTGTGGTTGACGTGTGTGTGTGTGTGTGTGGCGGTGGCGGGCGGGCGGGCAGGCAGGGAGGGAGGCAGGCGGGCGGGCGGGCAGGGGCGCGGGGGGTCCTGTCCTGGAGGCCGCTGATGTAATTGATCCGGGTACTCTGGCGGGGAAGATGGCGGCGGCGGGCGGCGGCGGGAAGGTCCCGGGCGGCAATGGCGGCCTGGAGCCCGGCGAGGAGGACGAGGGGCATAACCTGTGGTGAGTGAGTGCGGGGCTGGAGCCTCGGGGGCGGGGCTGGAGCCGGGCGGGAGGCGCGGGGCCGGGGCTGTGAGTCAGGCTAACCTCCCCCTCCCCACCTCTCTCTCTCTCTCTCTCTCCTCAGGTCCTCCATCCTGAGCGAGGTCTCCACCCGCTCCCGCTCCAAGCTTCCTCCCGGCAAAAACCTCCTGCTTCTGGGTAAGTCCTGGCCGGGCGTCCCCCCTCACCCTCACCGGGCAGCGACCCATCGTCACCCAGTGGGAAAGTAGGCCGCAAATCCTACACACACACTGCACTGACGAACCTACACACCTTCCCGCAAAGTGACCTGCAATGCAAACCGCACCTGCTGCCCAATACTGTACACAACTCAATCTCTCACCAGTGCTGATTAAATGTCACCTTCGCGATCAAAAAATGCGCCAAATACATGGAATAATATTGCAGTGTGAGAAGCTATAGTGGGCGCTGATAATCCACAGTGGAATATGATCTGTAAACAGTCCCTGAATAATCTACAACGGAATATGATGATGATAATCTTTGCATTTGGTATAGATCCTGATCACGTTGCTGAGCCGTCTCAAAGCGCTTCACAGGATTTATTGTAAAGTGAATGATCAATAAACCGTTGAATCATCTACAATAGGATATAAACTATATTTAAATATAGTTTAAATATAGTATTGATATATTACTATATACCAATAGTATATTGTACTATATACAATATAGAATATAAATATTAAATAGAATATAACCGCTGAATAATTTACAGTAGAAAATAGATGAGCACAATGGTAAATCAACTGTTGTTCGCGGATCTAACAGAATCAATTATAAATATGTGAAACTTAAGTTTAATTCTTTGCAAAATAAACTAAATCTAATGACTAAATATTGTTTCATGAATTCTTTGTTAAATAAAGTATAGGAAAAATGAAAACTAAGCTATAGATATGATACAAAACAAAGTATTGTTAAAATGCTAATTAAGTTAGATGCAATAAAATCAAGGAATATTAATTATATTGCTAAATAATTACAATATGAAATGATTGCAGTGTCTTTCAAACACTCTGCTAATGATGTTTGGCAGCAGTGGAGGGGAGGATACCAGTGCAGGCTCTGGCTTTCACAGTCTCACTGTCACTCCTGGTCATGGATTTCCTCAGCCTCGTCTCTCATCTCAAACCATTTTATTGTTTTAAATAGCTGAGTTTCCAAATGTGTTTTTGTAGGAGAGGATGGATCGGGAAAAACTACACTCATGGCTAAACTCCAGGGCGCAGAGCACAACAAGAAAGGGAGGGGGCTGGAATATTTGTATTTAAATATACACGACGAAGACAGAGATGGTGAGTGACTTGTGGGTGCAATTTCACTGTGCCTGGCAGAGATATGATTTTAAAAGCTAATTAAATGCTATTTAATTATGACCGGCACACCTACCACCACCTCTGCAACATTGCCAGACTCCGCCACTGCCTCACCCCTCAGGCTGCCGAAACCCTCACCCACTCATTCATCATATCAAGGCTCGATTATGGAAACTCCCTCCTCATCGGCCTTCCCAACTCTTCTCTTCACAGGCTGCAGATCATCCAAAACTCTGCAGCTCGTGTACTCTCGTGCACCAGGCTCCGTGACCCCATCACTCCCACCCTCATCTGACTCCACTGGCTCCCCATCCCTCAGAGGATCAAATTCAAGGTCCTCGTCCTCACTTTCAAGGCCATCCATGGCCTTGCCCCCTCCTACCACTCTGACCTGCTGACTCCCTACCAGCCTGCCCGCTCCCTCTGTTCAGTGGACTCTGGCCTGCTCCATGTCTCCTGCCCGACCCCCGCCACCATCGGTAGCTGGGTTTTCAGCCTCTCTTCCCCCACACTCTGGAACTCCATCCCACAGTCCCTTTGCCTCACTTCCTCCCTTGCCGGTCTCAAGACCCCTGAATGTCCAGCACCTTAGGACATCCTCCCAACGTGAAAGGCGCTCTATAAATGTAATTTTGTTGTTGTTGTATTAGTTGGGTGGTGTGTGGGGAACCTGAAGAGGGAAGACAGTGGCTGTCAAATCCACGTGTTGCTCTCAACATCCCATCTTTTTTTCTCTCCCATTTTCCCAAACACTGTTTTGTGCACTATTTACTACCATGTGTTCTGACTCTACATTTTAGTTTGGTCAATCGTTTTATACTGGGCTTGATTAGCCAAGATTTGAGATTATTTTCTCCCATTACAAATAGCGATACCCCTTTAAATGACTCTATGTGTGCTGTAAACACTGAATGTTGCTGATGACATTGATCCTGTCATTGTGCTGTCATTCGGCTTGTGAAGTCTCATTGGATTCTGTATCATCACTTACTGCAGATTTGAATTGATCAGCTAAATTTATCTTCATGTGAATCTTGAACATGGAGCTTGTTTATGTTGGTTTTTTTCTTCCCTTTTGTTATTTGCTGGTTGTCTTCTTGCGATGGTGCCATTACTAATAATAATGATTATAATAATCCTACATTTGGTATATAACGCCTTTCACATCGGGAGGATGTCCTAAAGTGCAAAACAGGATATACTGTAAAGTGCAGTGACTGTTTTTTGTTGGAACGCGGCAGCCAATTTGTACACAGCAATGTTATGAGTATTGACATCTAAAGTTAGGAAGCCCTCCACAGTGAGTGTAACGTAAAGTCAATGAACACAACCTTGGAATGATAGAGAATTGTACAGCCCAACAGGCTGCCCATTAAATCCCACACCCTTTAATGTTTCTCTTTTTCAAACATTTCTCTAATTCCTGTTTAAAAAGGTATTTGCATTCAGCTTCAGCCACACATTTTGGTTGGTTACTCTATCTAACAACTCTCTAGATAAAAAAAATATTTTTAAGTAATAATAAGTTTACTGACCATGTAAATAGTTTCTCCTTATTAATCTGTCAAACCCTCATAATTTTGAACACCTCTGTTGTGTTTCTTCTCAAACTTCTCTGTTACAGTGAAAATAGCCCCAATTTCTCTGGTTTCTCCTGATTATTATTATTAATAATAATACCATCTTCTTGTGAATCTCCTCTGTACTCTCTTCAAGGTCTTGACATATTTCCTAAAGTGGAGCAGCCTGTAAAGTGATGAATGATTGCTTAACATTAAATCTACTTTTATTGTGGGAAGGGAGAAATATGTGTTTAAATATGAATTGATAGACATTGAGCCTGAGATTGTTGCAGTAATACAGTAGAAAAGAAGGTTAATGTGGGGGTGTACATAGAATGATGGATAAACCAATGTAATCGGTGCCATAAAGCACAAGATTGAGGCTGTCTTCTGTACAGAGATGCCTGTAACTGATTTAGTTTTGAATTGGGAGATGGTGAAGGAAGAGTTCTAAATGCAGAGTATGTCTCTGAATTTGTGGAGTTGACGTCGCACGTCATTAAAGCTTGTGGAGTGTTCAGTGCTGGTGTCTGACAGGAAAGGATTAAAGATGTTGCTTTAAGGGCCTAGCTCATTGCTTGGACCTTGAGCCAGGAAGTGCTCCAGTGTGTAGCGTGACTTTTGTCTTTTCCTATATAGGAAAGAACGATTACTAGAAATCTGAATTACACCCTCCTATTTGGCATTGACCTGCTGATGGAAGGTGGGGTTGCATACTTAGCCTCAATCAGTCTTTGTTTTATGCCTTTCGGTGGAGTTGCAATTCTTTTTAATTACAGTAGCTTGTTTTTTTCCCTGACTTGTATTTATTATAAGATGCCTCTAAAAGCTGAGTGGTTTAAGTGCCTCTGAGCATTGAAAAACTTGGATGTGGATTTCTCTGACATGCTGAGTTGAAACAGAGTCTGTAGATTGTTTTAACAGGGAATTAGTTAGATGTCCAGTGAGTAGGAGAGTGGTTTCAATCTGTGGAGAAAAACATCGGCAAAGACCTGATGAGCTGAATGGCCGTGACACAGGGAGATTATTCTTCTGTTAAATAGTGCCATGGGATGTTTAACATCCCCCTGAACGGACAGATGGGACATTGTCTTAATATCTCAGCCGAAGGACAACACCACCAACAATACAGAACGCCTCAGCTCTGAATTGCAGAGTTAGTCTAGTCTGACCTTAAATATGAGCTTTAGATTTCAGTTTACAGAATGTCTCAATGAGGGGTTATTTGCTAATGAATGGTAGATTGCCTTTTGACCTCTAATCTCTGTGTCTGAATCCAGGTCAGAGTGATGAGCTCAATATGTGCGTATCCTGTCTCTAGCGTTCTTACTGCTGAGAAGTAGGAGCAATGAGATGATTTCCAATGTTTTAATTTGACTCCTCATGGTTGAAGGTGCACATTACCCTGGCCTGATTGAGACTAGCATCGGAACCTGGATGTGAGAAATTCCCATTGGAATCCTGTAGCTCAGTGCTTAGAGCACTCGCTTTGGAAGCGAGAGACCTGGGTTTGATTACTGGCAGCATGAAACCTTGGGCAAGTTTCCTTACTCCACACGCCTGATAATAATCCCTCAAAAAAAAATTGGTCATTTCAATCCACGACTGTTTGTGGGACACTGCTGTGCGCAATTGGCTGCTGCATTTCGCCCACAAATATACAGTCAATTCACTTTACAGTATATTCTGTGAAGCGCTTTGAGACGTCTAGAAGACGCGAAAAGTGCTATATCAAATGCAGGGGTTATTATTATTAGTTATAGCAGGCAGTGCTGTTAAGGTGCAATTAAAGTTAGTTGAGACTTATTGGGACAGAGTACAGGAAGCTTCAGTTTGTTTATCTGTGTTTTCCCCTGTTTCTCTGTGGAGACCGTGACTGATTCAGGGGCTTGAGACCACCAGTTTGTATTTGTGCTGAAAGCACGTGGAATTGAGTGGGAGTAAAAGTGAATAGAAAGGGAGAGTCTGTTTAATACCAGCTCACAGAGCAGGAGTGCAGACAACTCAGCTATCCCAAATATGCGGATACACAACTATGACCCACGCAATTCTGGGAGTTGGGAAAAGGCAACAATTCATTGGATACCAAATCAGCTTCCTAAGAAAGTCGTGAAGCAGGATGACAAATCTAGTGTGAGCTTGTTTCTGTTTTTAGTGGGTTGGACGTCCTGCAGTCCAAGTCCAGAAAGACCACGAGGGACAACCTGTATTCTGGAGAAAATGGATTTCAGGATTCTCAAGGCTCTGGGGAATGACCACAACCTGCATTAGCATGACTCAATCTGCCTCTGAATGTAATACAGCCTTGCAATGAGCTTCTGCCCTTTTGTGAGGTTTAAGGTCGTGCTTTTTGGGTCTCGTGTACCAGTTGTGCCTACTTTGGGTGTTCCTGTAGCCGTGGGTTTCCAGCTCTGAATGGGTGACTTATGCCTGTCCAGGGCAGCTCACTGATTTATTATCTAGAATTCTCTGCTTCATGCAATTGAATCTAGATGCTTAGCAAGGCTGGCTCTGTGGTGATCTATTTCAGTAAACATTCGTCCAACCTGTTTAATGAGTAAGGTCCCGACCGATCAATAAATGATGTGCACGTGACAGCTTGTGGAGATCTGCTTAATCATACACTGGCTGGACTAGAATAGTGATCAGTACTGGGCCTGCAAGGTGATAGCCTTTAGGAGCAGTGGTTCCTGTCGTCTGTCTTGTTATACCTCTGTGATCGATTGTGGGCCTGGGCCACTATTGATCATTAATAGGCCCTGGGCTGTGTGGGTGTGTGGGGGGGGGGGGGTGTCAGGGGTAAGACATGAACCATGGAGAATTATCTGCTTTCCCAATAAGATGCAATTTCTAAGATGGTGTCTTGCTCCTCGCTTTTGCCTCTTGAGGATGACAACAACAGTTGATATTTAGATGCCACCTTTCACATCTGAGTGACATCTCAAAGCATTTATCACAGTTGACGGGGAGCCTAAGCTGTTTTCTTTTGGGGGTGGAGGGGTGGCAAGGGTAAGTTGACCAACAGCTTGGTTGAAAACTTGGGTTTAAGACGGGTTTTGAAAGCGGAATGGAGAGGGCAAGGTGTTGTAGGTGTGCATCAAAGCAAAGATTACATCGGCTATGGATAGTAAAAACTGACCACTATGTGACAGATCTAATCAGCCTTCAATACCCCGCACTGATCTCACTGACTGATTACATTGGATTCCAATTTGCTTATACACATTCAGTTCCGTCTCAGTTGTTGGTTCTGTTTCAAAGCAGCCAGTGTATTCTGGTTATGTCCAATTAGTGTCCACGCACAGGCAGAGGGGATGAAATTCATTACCTAGTTGTTGATTCTTCTTGTGAATGGAAGTAGGTTGTCAAACTGTCAAACACTAAAATCTTCTTGAATGTTGGGATCACAATTTGTGACGTGCAATTAAATTGGTTGTTCACGTCCTGGCAGTTTGTGGTTCAGTGCTGAGGAAAAACTGGCAGCCACATTTGCCTACAACACCACCAACAAATTACACTGTATAGCGCCTTTCACTCCAATGTCCCAAGGCGCTGGGATTCACAGCAATAACAACAAATTGCAGTTATATTGCGCCTTTCATGTCGGAAGGACGACCCAAGGCAATGGACAGCCAATAGTAACAGTTTTTTTCGGGTCAGCCGGGTGCCTGACACGTACGGAAACCCATCACCGTATAATAGTAGTAATAGAAGTAGTTAACAGTAATAATAATCCTTGCGTTTGATCTAGTGCCTTATCATGTTGAGACTTTTCAAAGTGCTTCACCAGGACACAGTGTAACTGTGTTTTTGTGAAGAAATTACTGTAAAGTGCTTTTGAGGTGTCTTGAAGTGACAAGGTGCTATATCAAATGCAGGAATTTTATTATGTATTAGTATCAAACTTTGGCTGCAAGTTTTTGAGTTTTAGTCAAACTTTACAGTATCAAACTTTACAAAATAAAATTTTTATAGTTTTAAATTTTTTTTCAGTATTTTCAGCTTGTAGGATTGATCAAGTGGTCGTTTGGTTTCTGAGTGTCGGCTTGTTGTAATGTTGTAATGTTGCCTTCATGTGTGTCATAGGTAGTTCTCAGGTAGACGGTACTATTGACTGATTCCCTGTTAAGCCTGTGACGAGCTCCTTCTACTGTTTTTATCTGCTGCTGTTTGGATTCTTGCTGCTCTCAGCAATTCCGATCTCTCGCTTTTCACAGGGATTTAGGGAAGTCTGACGGTTACCTCCCTGCTTGCTCTTGCTGTTCCTCCTCTGCCCTCGGGCTATGGGTGTGGCGAAAACTATCAATCTGAACAGTGCAGCCTGGATCCTCCTCGTTTACTTCTCTGAGCTCTGTAGCACCGGTGTAATGTGCTTTTCTAACACTCCCTCCACTGGAGAATCTGTCCAAACATGCAAAACCCTACACATACTGTGCCTGTGATTTCCACAGCTGGTGAAAGTGGGATGGTATAGATATTTTTGTTTCCCTTTTAATTGTGCCTCTGAGTCAGTAGGTTGAGGGTTCAGGTCCTACGTTAAGACTTTGCACACATAGTGTAGGCTAAGACTCCAATATTACTCTCTGTTATTTTTAAAAAATTCACTTTATCAGTGAAGTGACAACATCAACTTGTTTTTATATAGTGGCCCTCACGCAGGGTAGCGTCCCAGAACACCTGACAGTGGCAGAGCGCGACGCCGAGCTGGGGGGAGGGGGGTGGTGACTGTAGGCACAGTCAAAGAGGAAGGTCTTCAGGTTCGATCTGAAGATGTGGAAGGAAGGGGCAACATGGAGGGATAGTGACAATGTGCTTGTGCCACACCTTGGAACAGAAGCCACCCTGTACACATCTGGTCTTGGGATACCATGTGCTTTGCATTGACTTCATGCAGTTTAAAGCTTCTTGATATGACTTGTAAGGTGATTAAATAGTAGCGGTGCCTCCCGTTACACAAATAAAGGTTCCTCACTGGACTTTCAACCATTCGCTAATCTGTTTACTAAACCCTGTAGAATTAAAGCAGCTGTTTTGTGGAGTCATCGGGTGAATTGTATTTACCTGCTTTTTATCCGTTTACATTTTATTAGCGATTTTATTGCTCAGGGTAGAGAAATGTGTATAATGGGGGATGGAGCAGTTCAGCAATAAAAGCACTCAGTGTTGCCATCAGCCCCAGACTAAATGTACAGTGGATTTGGGTCTGAATGAAGTGTTGACACTGACTTGCAAGTCTATATTGGAGCAGTTTAATCTCTCCCATCTGCCTCTGTACAGGGCAGGGTTCAGGAAGGGCACGGGAAGGAGCTTTGGCATGAATGAGAATAAAATCCTGGGTTTGTAGCAGAATTGACACTTGATTGCAGTTGATGACTGAATGAAAGGAATCTCTGGATTCTGTTATTTCTATCAGTAATGGGAGAAATGCTGTTTCCAGGAACTCGCGTGTTACAGATGGACAGGTGGTATCACAGCACACGAGTGAAAAGTGCTTCTGTTTGTTAGTTGTGGATTTGTGGTTTCTGGGCTGAGTGTGGCTTATTTACTGCTGTTTAGATGCCTGAGGTGCTGTGTCTTCTGAGTGACTAACCCTAGTTGCCTCTGTTGACAGATCACACACGGTGTAATGTATGGATTCTGGATGGCGAGCTGTACCACAAGGGGCTGCTGAAGTTTGCGGTGTCTGGAGACAACCTGAAAAACACTTTGGCAGTCTTTGTGGCTGACATGTCCAGGCCTTGGAGTGTCATGGATTCTTTGCAGAAGTGGGCCACTGTCTTGCGGAAGCACATCGACAAACTGAAGATCGCGCCAGAAGAGATGAGGGAAATGGAACAGAAATGTGAGTCACCTTGGGTTTATTTGGGGGGTGGGGTGAGAGGAGGGTGGAGAGGACCAAGCTTTGCTGTGTATTGCTGAGGAGTGAAGTAATACAAACATGGTTCATTTCTTCTGCTCAATGTTAATGGAGTTATTTGCAGAATTATTTAAGACAAACGATGCATACAGCAACAACTTGCATTTATATAGTCTTCACGTAGGGTAGGGTCTCGGAGTGCTTAACAGTAGCGGAGTTTGACCCTGGGTAGGGGGGCGGGGGGTTGGAAGCAACCATAGGCACAGTTGAAGAGGAAGGTCTTCAGGTGTGATCTGAAGACCTGGAAGGAAGAGGCAAGTAGAGGGATTGAGTTTTGTAGTTTTGGGGCATGGAGGCTGCAAGCACAGCCACCAATGGTGGAGCAGAGGGTATGAGGGACAAGCAGGATCTTGGAGACAGCAGGTGATGGAGTGGGTAGTAAGCAGGTAGGAGAGATAGGGAGATACCACGTTATGAATTGATTTGTAGATGAGTGTGAGGATCTTGAAATTGATCCGTTCTATAATAAGAAGCCAGTGGAGTCTGGCAAGGACTGGGGTGATGGGGTTATGGAGTTTGGTGCAGGTATTTTTTATTAATTGGATTTTGTGGGAACAGAGTTGGGGAGACCGATGAGGAGGGCATTGGAATAATCGAGAGGTGAGGAAAGCTTAGCTTGTCATCAGCTGTTGGGAGTGAAGTTTAGTACGACTTCCTTGTCAGTGGGTTTAGAGTTTGAGAAGGTAGCTCTAGTAACTCGCCTCTTTTGTGGGTGTGAGGGTATACATTCCCTCCATCACAGCTCGCCATACTGTGAAAGGTCCATTTCTGTACCTGGGGATGACCTGATCCCCTGGCACAACATACATTGGGCTAATTCAGTGCTAAATCATTAAGTGTGTACGTACCTATGTTTGTCTGTGTGTTGCTGAGTGTGCAAAGCTGCTGAGTTGAGGCCGGGCAGTTCCACACAGCAACGTAAGTGTGTTCAGCTCCGAATGGGATAAATCAACATCGGCAGTGTGTTTTGGAACCTTCTGGGGTGTATTGTTGTGTGAGGCTGTATCCAAAATCCAGCCTTCATTTAGAGTGTGTTTTGAGCTGCTGGGCTGAGGCGTAGAGCGCAGGCTGCGTGAGCTGTGAATACTGATACCCATTCAGTGGCCGACAGAAAACCATGACAAAGCACCTCTGCTCACTGTCGCAGCTGAGACGCATTGCTGCTTTGCTGCATTTGTTTCACTGTGTCCTTTACTTTTAAACTATTTGAGATTTGTAATTTTTGGATATTTTTAAGCTGTTGTATTAAATATAGCAGATTGCAGTGTGTCAGCAATTTTTTTTGTCTAGTATGTACAGCTGGCCAGCCAGCCGGCCCCACCCTTTGGCACACAGGCCTGTGCGGATCCTGTCACTGGCTTCTCCCATGACACCACAGCTCTGTTGGGAACAATGAGCTCATTGCTCTGTTAATCTTTGAGGCTGTTTCTGGACTGTACTGAAACACAGCAAAAAGACTGCATCTCAGGCAGACCAGAGTGTCACTTTCACCTGTCGGTGAGATTTCCCTTTTCCAAAACATCATACCCACATTTCTCGTCAGTGTGCTTTGTGTCAGTGCAGCCTGCAAATCCTTTTGTTACGCCTGCCTCTTTCTGCAGGGAGGGGAATTGATTTCCCTCTAAACCTCCCAGCAGCTTTCTTTTGTAATGCTGTAGTATCGGACTTTGTGGGGTGTGTTCAGAGTTAATCTGAAAATAGTCTGATTCTGTAGATCAGTACAGCGCTGGTTTGAGAGCTTGTCACATGGTGTGAAACCACAGGCAGTGCCTTTAATTAGCAGTAATAACATGAGAAAAGAGCAGGGCAGACAAACGGGAGTCATGCAGGAGGGGTGTAGAGAACATCTTCCCATAATACATTCTCAGTCGTATTTCCTGAATCTCTCTGGGAGCTGTTGGATCTGTGAGATGCTCAGTTTGCTTTGGAGCTTTGTATCACAGTTCATATCTTGTGTGATGAGTGTTGCTGCTGAAGCTCAGTATTGCACTGAGGATCTTTAACCAGTCCACTGCTGGAGGAGCCTCAGACACTGTTGGCTTGAATTCTCTCTCCTAACTTTCTCTCTGTCTTCCCTCCTTTACGAGGCCCAGTGAGCTGGCAGCTGCTTCCCTCATGTACTGTGCACAAGAGCGAGGCAGAGTGACTCAGTGTTCAGTTTGATTTGAGGTTTTTTTCTTTTTGTTCTTCTGTGGAAGCACATTGTTTACATCTGACTCTGCCTCCTTCCCCTCCCCCCGCGTGTCACTGGGTGGGGATTGAGTCTCTGCAGCTGACTGTTGTGCTGGCATACTTCATATGCTATCTCATAGTGCATATTGTCTTAATTCAAGTTACACACACATATATACATACATACATACACACACAGTCACACATACTCTGCACACTTCACAGACTTGTTTAAGTGCTCTGCAAGTTCAGTGCTGTTTTCCAGCTGATCATTTTCATCCCAGAACATTGTTTACGTGGAAGGGACAGTCCCGGCTTGGAGATTGCTCAGAACGATGAGATCATGTGCTGAACAAAGCTGGTATTCTTAAATGCAATATCCTGGCTGCCAGTGAGCTGACATCATAGGCTGTCTATGCTACTGTGTGTGTAAAACGTTCGAAAGAGATTAGCATGAGAATGAAAACTGGCAGCGAGCATAGTTAGGTTTTGTTTTTCCAAAGTTCGGGTCAATTTCTAGGCCTTGGAGTGAGCTGCAGTGGGGGAGTGAGCACCAGCACCGACATGATGGGGAATGAGCCGGGGAATGGGAGAAAGTAGACATTATAGTGGGAGAGTGAGCAACGGACAGGATAGGCTATAACGCTTCCAGTGCCGTTAAATGTCCATGATTCTAAAACACCACCAAAAGCAGGTGGCTTTAGAATCATGGACAATTTGCAGTGTGTGTTGGCATAAAACCTCTTGCTGAAGAAGTAGAATAAAACGTCTTTGAACACACCCCTCCCCCCGTCTGCAAATGGTTTGCAAGCTTCACTTCCGGCCTCTCTGACTAATTCCTCCTGTGCTGATGGTGCTCTGCATGAAGCCTGGTTCTCTGTGAGTTAAAGACGACTCTCAGCTCTCAGGATGTTTTGGATCACACATCCACTGACGATGGCACGTGGCCAAGCTCAGACTCAAAATGGAGCAACTGCGTCACGCACTGAAGAGAATTGTTACCACGTAGAGAGCATCGCCAGACCCTTCAGACAAGTGCAACAGATCGGGAATAGATAACGGAAGTACATAGCGAGTTTTCATAAGTCAACAAGAGGTAACTCCAGTTACCAGAAGGTGTCCGTAATTTCTACAGCTCCGATTCCTTATGAAGGGATCCTATTGAGAAATAAACTTTCATTCACTTCCTGGCTGTTTGTGGGGACGTCACTGTGCGCAAATATGACGCCAGGTTCGTCTGCAAACACACAGTCACTATGCTTTACAGTAAATTCCGTGAAGCGCTTTGAGACTTCCGACGTGTATTAATTAAATACTGCAAATTAGCCCCTCCCCACATCCCACCCCGATTGTTCTGTTTTTCAATTCCTCAAGCCTTAAATGAATGTTCATACTTTTAAAACGGCTCCATGTAAATCAGTGTATAATTTGGGAGATGGGGGGAGAAGAAGAAGCCATTTGACTGGTCCCTGACTTTGAAATGGCTGACTCACTGCTCTGGGCCCTGAGCGCCTTTGGTGACGTCTGCTGGCTGAAGTCAGCGTGTAGATCCTGATCAGCATCGGCAAGCTTTATATCCCAAATGTCAGGGCCCCAGGGAGCCGGTCAGAGATTAAACGTCAGATTGCTGTGATAAATAACTAGCTATCTGGTGAAGGAGACAGTTCCTCTTTTTATAACTGTCTTTCTCTGAGGACGCACCCTTTATTATTGCTCTGTTAATTTCACCCCTCCTCTCCTGAAAGTGTTGGTGCCTTTTTCTTTATTGTTCACTGGCTAATTGCCCCGATACCCTGTCCACAGCAGTGATAATAATGTAAGAGTCAGTGTGGTGAGTAACCATGTACTTGACGATGCTTTTACAACTAAGTACGTACAGGCACACCAGGGAAGGGGGAGCAATATCTGTATAGGGATCAATATCAATAGCAAGAATGCCATATCGTTTTGAGAATCTTATTCATGTTGTGATCCAGGAATCTGGAATAATCTAAGTGCTGTTTTCTATGCAGTATTTGTGTTGTGTGTGTGTTGGTGGTGGGAGGGAGGTTGGATATGTGCGAGTTGAGTTCGTGGCCGGGCCGGGGGGAGTTTGTTACTTTGAGTGGGCCACCATTAGAGATATTTAAGTTCTCCCCTCTGGTTCCCTTCAATCACAGTTTGATTTATTGAGCTGCTGAGCATTGTTTGTGTGCGGCAATACTGCTGGGGGTTGTCACCCAGTCGCAACCATTAGGCTGCAGTCCCTATCAATCCAGCCAGTCTATGTTCCATTTTCTAAACACTTAAATATTATTTACTCGTTTTAGGAGAGCTTTGATCCACCAGCTGCAATGTAGAGATTGCAGCGTGTAAGAATTGCTAATGCACAATGATGAGATGAGACACTGGCAGTGCAGTAGCTGCAAGAGTTGACCAGCACCAATTCTATCAGACACATGTCAGTCTGATCACTGCCAAGCCATCTCCACATTAACCCGAGGCTTGTTAACAAGGCCTAGTTTACCTGTTCTCCCCTCAATACAGTCAGTTCACTTTACAATATATTCTGTGAGGCGCTGTTTAGTGTTTTATGCAGAAGTGAGTTCAAGCTCCACGGGGGACTTGATTGTTATCACGTTGGCTCGATGCTTGTTACAGTTGGCCTCAGCGATGTAAGCGCCAGGGCAGGGCCTCAGACAGTTAAACTGGCATGAAACATTCAGTGATTAGCAAGGGTGTGGCCTTTGCCTCATTATCTGGCCTAGATTTAAAGACATTGGCAGCTTCCAGTTTGGGTTCCAGGGTGCAACCTGCCCTGTCCTGTTAAGCCTTTATATAACACTAGATTATTTTAGCTGTGTTTGCTGGGCGTTACCACAGCTGTGTTGGCTGTTTTTCAGGTGAAGATTGGCCTGTGCTGTTTGGCGACTTGCAATGCAAGAGCTTTCCAGTCTATCTACACGGCTGAAGATCAACACTGCAGTGACGTAGGGTAACTGATGCTTGTGGTTCTGATATTCTAATCTGCCTGTTCTTCTTTTCAGTGGTGAAGGAATTTCAAGAGTATGTTGAGCCTGAGGAAGGGTCTCCGGGATCGCCGCAGAGGAGAGGTCCCACATCTGCTCAGGATAGCGAGGAAGTGGTTTTGCCTCTCGGAGAGAACGTACTAGTACACAATCTGGGCATCCCAGTGCTTGTAGTCTGTACAAAGGTATGCTTGCTGCCGATAGGATTCAGGCCACAACATGGCAAACACACAATTTCTCCAATAAGCAGGCAGTCAGGATGCTTTGATGTCCTGCATTTGGATTGGGTTTGCTGAACCAGGAAAGCTTGTGGCTTTCTAAAGAGTGTTCTCGATTTTCTGAGTCTGAAATTACACTGCTGTCACTCCACCTCAGTAGCTCGATTGAGTTACTGCCTCTGAGCTTGCAAACCTCTCCTGCCACTCTAAAGCGGATCACTGTACTTGGCTCCATGGCCCTCGTGTGATTGTTGGTCCCACAAAGTCAGTGCCTCCCGAGATTTGTAAAACAGCTATTTGCCCGTGATTTATCGTTGCCAGGACTGAGGATGCCTGAGTTATTCTAACCAAATGAGCAAATATGCACCCCAGCGTCCCAATGCCATTATCATGCGCTTTCTTTCATGCATTATTACTGGATACCACGTCACTTGTTATTTAATGGTGAGGGTGACCTCTTGTGGTGCCAGTTGGGTCCTGCAGCAATGTAATGAGGCAAAGCCGGGTGTGAGGCATGGAGAATATTTTAATAATTGCTGGTGCGTGAGGTATCTCTGTCCCTGGGAACAAGAACGTAACTATTCTGCATGTGTACATAATCATGTACATAAGAGATGTCACAAAGTGTCACAGCGATGGGCACCCAATGAGTTAGAAGTGTGGGAAGGTTGAGTCCTTGAGATGTTGTGATGGTGGTTGATGGGGGAGGGAGCAGTTTAGGCTACAGGCCCAGAGAACATTCCATAGATTGCCTGGAGAGAGGTTGTGGGGGGATTTGGCATTGATCCACCGAGGAACCGAGGCCAAGGAGCTTAGTAAGGCAAGCATCCAACTGTTTCTTAAGTTAGTCCCTGTGTCCTGGCCTCAGTGATCTTTCCTAACTGTAGATTGGCTTCTGTGTAAAAATAGTTCCTGGTGCCTGTCCTAAAATTGCCCTTCCCACCTCTGAGTTTGACCCTGTGCTCTCTTGTTCTGTTGCTTTGGAATATAATAATAGTAGTAATAATAATTCTTGCATTTGATACAGCGCCTTATCACGTCTTCGAATGTCTCAGAGCCCTCCACGGAATACACTGTAAAGTGAATTGACTATTTTACGAGCGAAACAGGTTCAGTGCTTTCAACACTGTTCAGCATTTGCTTTCTGAAGCCCATTGAACAACTAACGAGCTGTGAGACAGTGTGTATCTGAGCTGCTGGCTGTGTGGCTTGGTACTGTGTGAGCCTCTGATTGCTGTTCTTTCCCTTCCCGCAGTGCGACGCAGTCAGTGTCCTGGAGAAGGAGCACGATTACCGGGATGAGCACTTCGATTTTATTCAGTCGCACATTCGACGGTTCTGCTTACAATGTATCCTTGTGTGGCCGTGTGTGCAGAGAAGCTGATTTGCAGAGGCCTTTGGGGCTTGGCTTCTGCTCAGTTCCTCTTTTGCCCCTCCCCCCCCCCCCCCCCACACACAAGCTCCCCAGCACAGTTTGAATTGGAAGCCTAGTATCTGGCATCTGTGTGACGGAAATTAATAATAATAATAATAATCCCTGCATTTGATATAGCGCTTTTCACGTCGGGAGGACGTCCCAAAGCGCTTCACAGAACACACTGTAAAGTGAATTGACTGTATATTTGTGGGCGAACGCGGCAGCCAATTGTGCACAGCAATGTCCCACAAACAGTCGTGGATTGAAAATGACCAATTTATTATTGTTTTGGGTTTTGGAGGGATTATTATTAGGCTCTGTGTGGAGTAAGGAAACTTGCCCAAGGTTTCGCCCTCTGCCTGGAATTGAACTCAGGTCTCTCGCTTGCAAAGCGAGTGCTTTAAGCACTGAGCTACAGGACTCCACACCTTTCAGAGTGATTAGAATTATACAATTTTATCAGACTAGTGAATCTCTTCTATATCCCCTTGAAATCCTTTGTAAAGTTGGGTGCCCAAACTAGACATAATGTACCCAACCGAGACTTAACTAACGATTTGTTCAGGTTTAGTGTTGTCTCTTTGCTTTTGTACTGTGTCCCTATTTATGAACCCCAACTCACATGAGCTTCCGCACATTTTGTTTGGCTGTTGGGCATCAGTTTGTCGCGTCACTTCCCAGGTTCGCTCCTTAATATCTTTCAGACGGTGCTGCCTTGATTTGTACATCGGTGAAAGAGGAAAAGAACCTGGATCTGTTGTATAAATATCTCGTTCACAGAATGTACGGTTTCCAGTTTACTACACCCGCCTTAGTGGTAGAAAAAGACTCTGTGTTTATGTAAGTACCTCAACAAGTTCGGCTTTCGCTTAGGATCACTTCACAGAGGTGACAGGGATTGCTGAGCTGGGTGGGAGGGAGGAGGGACCGTGTTGACTCAAAGCAAGGTCAAAGGGTTTTGAAGACCGAGGTAAGGAGCATGATCTAGGGATTTTGAGAGATTTATGAGGGGAAGGGGATGGAAACTCAGCCACTGATGGGAGAGAGGTTCAAGTGTGAGAGGAATGAGCAGTAGGCCAGCGTCAAGAGAGAGAACACCATCAGGAGAATAAGACTGGGGGTTGTCTTAGAATGCAACAGTGCAGAAACACAACATTAAGCCCTCTGAGTCCATTCTGCTGCTGAAATGAGTAACTAATGAATCACCTTTTAGTAGAGGAGTTTGTAGCCAGGGAATGACTTTGATTGACATGTTGGGGCTCATAGTCTCTATTCCAGGTATTGGGTTCATGCGCTGGGAGTTGGGGTTTCACTCTTACTGTGGGCAGTGTAAATAGACCATTCTCTATTCACCTTCCTCCTGCCTTGCAGATAGGCAACTGATAGCTGGTTCTCTTTGCCTTTCAGTCCCGCAGGATGGGACAAAGACAAGAAAATTGCTATTTTACATGAGAATTTTGTGTCCGTGAAACCAGAAGATGCATACGAGGATTTTATAGTAAAGCCTCTGGTCAAAAAGGTAATGAGAGAGAAGCCTGCATTTATACACAGTGTTTTATCACATCCATAAAGTATTTTACCAGCATTGCTGTCTAGTACATTGACTTTTATTCTGGTCAAATGTGGCAACTGTTCTACCAGCGAACGGTTATCGCCAATATCTGGTGACCAGCTGTTGCCCAGTCCACAATCCCCTGAGCCAGAAGCGTGAGCTCTACCACCTCTGCCAGTTGCGGCTCTGGGTAAACAGTGCTCACGATGTTAAGCTTCAGGCTGCCTCCCCTGACCGTTTCAGTGTTTCACTCCTCGTCACCCGAAGAGGAGATGGAGAAGGACGATGATCTATCAGGTCCAAGCCAGGAACCCACAACTTGCCTTGGAGCTACTCTCGTAGCGCTAGTTAACAGCATCTCTCTGATGCACACACTCCAGTCCATCAGTGTTCCAGAGTGAAATTATGGTTTCTCTCCACAAGGAGGACCCTAGTGAGACTGGCTGCTGGTTTACGGTGCGGTTACGATCACAGACTGTGGACCTCTAGGAACTTGGGAGTATTTGGTGTGTGCTGGGCAGTGGGGGAAGATTGAATACGTGGCTTGGGCCTCAGTGCTGTTTGTGTGGCTCTGTATCACTCGGCTCCCATTCCTTTCACAGCCTGTTCACGACAAAGAGGTGGCCGCAGAGGATGAACAAGTCTTTCTGATGAAACAGCAGGTGAGCTGCCAGCGTGGCCGTGCTGACCTCGTGTCCAAGCACTGGGCAACATTCTTTCCCAAAAATTCTCCAGAAAATTTCATTCATTGTTCATTCCTTTGATCCGTCGTGTCATTGTCATCTCAGAGACTAGAGGGCGAATATGTGCGAAATCTTTCCTTGCGTAGGGCGTTGAGGCTGGGGAGGATTACTTTGCAGCCCTCTGCTGGTGATGTAAAAATAAATTGCAGGGTTTTATGGAGTAATGTGGTTTTCATTTTACTTCAGGTTTAAAACTGAGACGTGTACATTGTTTGCCAGTATATGTGGACCAGTACCATACGCCCATCCCGAGGGAGGGCGGTGACTCACTTACTGGGATTAGGCAGGTTGCTGGGGAGTGTCTCTTGGCAAAACACCCCGGATGTAAATGAGGGAATGAGCTGTGCTGTGATCGCTGAATGTAAAGTTGGCACCAATCCAAATCCGTCTCACTCCCTTCTGCATGTTTCTCTCTCTCTTGCTCACTCAGAGCTGATTTATTTAACGCTCGTTCTTCACTCTCTTACAGTCACTCCTTGCCAAGCAGCCGGCCACTCCTTCAAGACCTGCAGTAAGTCTGGACAAGACATGGGTTAACAGTAAAATAAGATGTGATTGTTCAGGGAGGAGGGGAGCGCCTTGCTGTCGAATATATCCCCTTCAGCTCATGAGAGCTGACCATCTATGTGTTATGTTGGTTGTTTATGCTCCATTGGGTGTACAGTATTGGTGTGTGTGACACCCGTATAATTCCGCCCTGCTCCCTCAGTCTACCTGTGGCTAGGTTATAGTGTGAAAGCGTTGACTAGTTTGGCCGGGATCCTCTGGCCTCGATGTGCTTCAGGATAGATAGGAGGGGGAACTCTTTAGCGCCGAATCATTTTTGCTCATCCTGATTTGTTCTCAGGATTCTCCGAGACAACCTGGTGGCTCCCCACGGACCCCAAGGCAGCAAGTCGGGACCAACATGGTGACGGCTGTCCCGCCCATCACATCGGGCACCCCGAAAGGTCAGTGCAGTGAGCAGAAATATCACAGACATCAGTAGCTGTTCCATGCTGATCTGTTAAGTCTCCTTGGCAGTCGTGTTAACATTTGACAGATCACGTGTGAACCGCTCCCTCCTTTCTCTCTTTGGTTTCCAGGCAATTTTCTTGCTTGGGGTTGCTGTGTCTGACTGCGCGAGTGAGTTATAATAATAATAATCCTTGCATTTGATGTAGGGTCTTATCACGTCTTTGAGATGTTTCAAAGCGCTTCACAGAATATACTATGAAGTGAACTGACTGTATATTTTGTGGATGAAAAGGAAGCAGAGAGTGATTTATTGGGCAGCATGGCCTGGCCGCTGACTGTGAGTGTGGAGGGGGCTGTTTTGGTGTGGGGGGGGCTGTATAGATGTGGCTAATATGAAGTCTCCATATTAGTAAGGCTTGTGCAGACTTTGAACTCTCTGGTGTGTGACCGAGTACCGCAGCCAGCCACCAGTTCACATGGTGCTAGGTATGCCTGGCTTAACATTTCCACATGAACGATTAACTCTCGGAAACCTACCACTGCAGTCTGTGACTCGTTGGCTCAGCTAGTCAGGCGTAAACACGCTCAAGCTCACTCTCTTCCCCCACCCCACACCCCACCCAGTCACACATAGATTGCTGAGTGGGCGACCCGGGGAGTAGTTAGATTGTTGGCAAATTCAAGAGGAAATTAGACAATTATCCGGGGGAAAGAATTTAAGTATTAAAAAGGTATGAGGTAGCCTTGGGTTTGGGCCATGAGACGATACTGACCAGGGTGTTTTGCGCACATATGCACTCTGCCCCCCTGTCCTGTCAGTACTGGGGCGTGGGGGGGGGGGGGGCGTGGGTATTCCAGCATTGTACCCTGACATGTTGCTTTGCTGTGCTCAGGTCCCGCTGCTGCCAATGAAGGAGTGCTGGCCAACTTCTTTAACAGCTTATTGAGTAAAAAGACAGGCTCTCCTGGGAGCCCAGGAGCCGGAGGAGGACAGAACGCAGCCAAGAAACCAGGTAAGGGCTCCCCTGCCTTGGTGTGTAACAGGATTACAGGGAGTGGAGAGCAGCGATTACATTGCAGTCACCTCCTCACTGCTGCCCTGCAGTCTCAGGCTGTACCTGGGCCGCAAGCTCAAAGCCCCAACGTGGGACTTGAAGCAACAACCACAAGCACCAACCAATTGCATTTACACAGTGCCTTTCATGTCGGGAGGATGTCCCAGGGAACTGGTTTGTCAACAGTTTCCACCTGAGCTGGCAGCTGGAGCCAGTAAGGGTGGGGGTAAGATAATCCAAGGCGCAGTCGAAGAGGAAGGTTTTGAGACAGGCCTTGAAGGAGGCAAGGGAAGGAGCGAGGCGGAGGGGCTGTGGGATGGAGCAACAGAGGGTGGGTGGGTGGCAAACCTCAATGTCATGATCCAGAGAGGGCAGAAGGACATTTTTCTTTCTATTTTGTTTCAGGACAGAAGCCGGTGTTGACGGACGTACAGGCGGAGCTCGACAGGATGTCTCGAAAGCCGGACTCGGTGGTCACAACGAACAACTCGTCACCCACAGAAAACGAAGCCTAGGAGCTACGTCTGCACAACATTGCATATTTAATAATAAAAAGAAGACCAAATTAGACAGTGGGAGGTCAGGAGGTGTCTAATGTGGCAGTGCTATCAGTTTTTGTTTGAGGGCATGAAGGCATAAACCTAATTTTAAACAACTCGTTGCAGGATATAACGTGTGTAATCTGGAAATGTCACCAATTCCCCACGTCTGACAACATCTTTATAATCCCAAACATTTCCAGAGCTAAAGTTTCCCTAACCTTCCCCAACACATTAGTACTGTGCGTGCGTGTGTATGTCACAGGGGTTGGGGAGGAGTGGGGAGAAGGGGTTCGGGGGTGGGGCAAGACCCGATAGCTTACATTACATCGTCAACTAATCATTGCAAAGGTGGATTAGCATCTGCAACTCGAGAGGTTCTTAGTAAAAACTTTACGTTCTTTTATCAGTTTACCTGAGGACTGCTTGTTGAGGAGGGAGAGGCTGCGGGGTTATTCGGACCACAGGTTATGGGTGGGGGGGAGAGGGGGCCAGTTATAATATGGAGGACAAGTCTTTGGTGATTGGACTGAGGCTGAGTATGAAAGGGGACCAGCGAGCAGCAAACCAGTGGAGGGGGTGGGGGGGAGAGAGCATGGGAGGGGGTTATAGAGAGAGAGAATAGGAGGAGGAAGAAAGCAGGAGAGGGGCGAGATGAGAAACGAGAGGTTGCTACCTATCTGCTGCTCTGTAAATAACTGATGTAGAAAGGATGCCACAGTACAAATAATTTTTAACGATTTACCCAATTGAGTTGGGTGGGGTGGGAGCATTAGATTTTTTTAAAATCATGTTTGCTGAATTCCCAAACAAAGACCAAATCGCATCTTTGAATTGGAATGTGATTTTTTTTATTTTTGGGAGGGGTTGAGGGGAATTGGAGCACTTTTTTGGGAAGGGGAGGGGGGTGGGAAAGAGAAGGAGAACCAAACCTACTAGATACAAGTGCCTGACCCACCCACCTGCAAAGTGTCGGTAGGTGCTTGACTTGACGTGCACTAGGTAGATAGATAGCACAGGCAGTCACTCGTTTTAGATTTTTTTTTATTAATTTAATTTTGAAGATGTTATTTTTATCCAGTACCGAGGTGTTTTTCCTCTCGTTTCAGTGGAATGGCGAGTTGAGTTGACGCGCGTGCTTTTGTGGGGAAAAAAAAACCAACGCAGACTTGTTTTGTTTTTCTTCTCAGCTACGTACGTTATCTGTGGTCGCAAGAAAATCTGTCACCATTCACGTTTAAGCCGTTGCAGTTATTGGCACACCGTGTTTTGTTTCCCCCACCCTCCCCCGCGCGCTCATTGTAAACACTACCGATGTAAAGTACTTCAGTGTATTATTGTGTGTTAGTTCCGAAAGGAATTACCACAAATTCAACTGTGCAAGGCTTCTACTTTCTATTTGCATGAACTTAAAAGATGAATTTGTTGTACTGAAACGAGGTCTGGATAATAATGCCTTTCCCTAATATAACATTGCATATATTATGAAAGCAGTAAGTAATATATTTACCACTAAAGATGGCATAATTAGCATATTCCATACTTCCATAGCGTGTGTGAGGCTGTTCTTATTTTTAAAACCATGTTACTTTCTAAAGCACTATTTGCGATGCGCACTGGAGGCATCCAGGAGAGATGGTTGGGGGGCGGGGCAGGGTGGTTCCATTTGTTCCTCCTCGTGAGGAGTGGAGGGAGGAAGAGGAGGCGAGGGCTGTTCCCACGGGGGGGCTGGGGAGTATTTTGTTGGAACTATTTACCAAAGTTAGCCCAGCTTTGGGAAATGCGCGGTTGGTCCACTGGTGTGTTTGTTTTTAATAAAGCAGTAAAGAGAACCAAAAGTGCAACAGCCTTTAGACTGCTAATAAAAAGGTTAGTCTGTATAACCTAACAATAGAGCGGGCTGACAATGATTTACACTAGCCTTGGTGAAACTACTGTGGTAGATTCTTTCTTCTGTGTGTGCTTGTCTCTCTCTTCTCTCCCTTTTGCTCTGTGTTTTGCTCCTTTGCACTATTTCTTCCCCTCTATCACTCACTTTATCTCGCTCGCTCTCAGTTTCTCTTGCTATGTTTCTCATTCTCCCTGTGTGTCTGTTCCTTGCTCTTTTACCCCTCTCTCCTGTTTACATCTCAACAGACATGTTGCTTTTCTTCCCACAAGTTGCTCTGTGTCTAAAGAGTCCCCTACACTTGATTGGGCCTGAATCACTCAAACAGAAAGAGTTCATTTCAATTGCCACTTGGGGAGTTTTAAAAATCCCTCCATTGATTTGTCACTGATTTTACAAATGTTCTTTGTGGAATAGTGGAAGTGGAAAGAGTGACAATGAGTATGTATCATTGACTGAGACATTCACAGATGTACAATGGAAGTAAATATTTCCTGTCCAATTTCACTCTTCAGTCCCAACTTGTTTTTCTGTACATTTCAGATTTGAGTGTGATAATGACCAGAGAGTTAGTCAAGTGTTTGGCTTTATCCCCCAATGTTAGCGGTGTGGCATCTCGCTTTTTCTCCAGTGCTGGCCCAGATCAGGATATCTCGTCACGCAAACCGGCTTCAATAAATGTGAATCCAGACTCATTTTCGTGGCCTCTTATTATGTGGCACCATGCTGGTGGCATCTTTTCCGTTTAAAGGTGATGGGAGTGGAGCTCCAGGTGGTGGGTTTGGGAAGTGGGAGCCTTAACTTAGCTCGTGGTGGATATAACCCTAACATCTGCTCTGTCTTGAGTCGCGACTGAAGACCTTCCTCTTTGACTGCCTTTGGTCCCCGGCTCAGTGTCGTGCTCCATCATTTGCAATTGATACAGTGCCTATATATAATATCAGTGGCTGAAAGCTAGGCTGCTGGTTGTGTGGTGGGAGGTGAGCAGTGATGGGTTGAGGATGCTGTCTGGAACAGGACACTTGAGACTGAGGAGGTTGGGCGAGACTGGAGGAGTTTGAAGATCAGAACAAAGAATTGCTCGTTTACGCGCAAAATCCTGGTTAATGGGGGTGGTGGGTGTTGGGGGAAGGTTCATAGAATCAGAATTTTACAGCACAGAAGGAAGCTATTTGGCTCATCGTACCTCTGCCAGGTCCTTGAAAGAGCTACCAACTAGTTCCACTCCCCCGCTCTTACCCCATAGCCCTGCAATTTTTTAAGTACTTATCCAATTCGCCTTTGAAAGCTATAATTTAAGTAAGATTTATTTTTGTAGAAGTCTTTTCCCTTCGCTCGTGCGTAATTTGGTCTCCACACAATTACTGTGTAAGGAATGTTGCAACCATTACTCACTCACCCACAGGATGTTGCTGTGCTGGTTGGCAGGACGGGATGGATCCCAAGCCAACTGTCATCCGAGAGACGGAAGTGAAGGAATGTCAATGAGGATTGCAGCTTGTCTGGGAGTAGCTGTTGTGTCTGCGAGCATTAAGCCAACTGGTTTTAGTTTAATACCATATTTATAGGTTGGTTCCTCTCCTACCTGCAACAGCTGAGCTGGTGAAATAATATCAATAATCCTTGCATTTAATATAACACGTTATCACATAGAGATGTCTCAAAGCGCTTCACAGAATATGTTGTAAAGTGAATTGACTATTTTGCAGGCAAAATTCGGCAGCCAATTGCGCATAGCAGCGTCCCACAAACAGTCATGGATTGAGTGAACCAATTTTTTTTAGGGATTATTACCCCCGAAAAGCAATCCACCAATCGACTGACAACTGGGTTCCTACTTACTGCTGAGAAAACAGAGTCATGAGGAATAAGGTAAGTTGCCTCAGGTGTCGCCCCGCCTGGGAATCAAACGTGGATCCTGTTGCGAGACGAGTGCGCTAATCACTATGCACCAGAACCCCACATGTTGTACAATATGAGGGAAAGGCAGTCAGATTGTATTAAAAATCTGCGGTGGTGGTATGTGACAGGGACATGCTGAACAGCCAGCCTCCTGATGGATAATGCATGAGTCTGGATTTGGGGTTAGGATTGGGTCAGGCTGTTATAAATATTAATATCATCACAGTGTTTAGCTGTGAGCAGACTTTATTTAGCCTGGAAGTGCAGAACTGAGCACATGACTGCAGAAAGATGGACCACCAGTGAGACTAAAGAGACTTTCTTCTCCACAGATAGCAGATAAGTGGATTAATTTTTTTTAGCAAAAAGCACTTTATACAGTGTTTAGTTCCTTTTAAACAGCCAGAAAAGTCTCTCTGGGGTCAGGACTGAAGACTTTTATATTAGTCGTAGAAAGAAAGAGCATTTTTATAGTATCTTATGTAAGAAAATGAGTGGGATGTTTCCTATAGAGATAGCGCATCAAAACATCTCAAGCACTTCACTAATAATAATAATAATACTTCACGTCTAATAATAAACTCCAAAAAACAATAATAAATTGGTCATTTTCAATCCATAACTGTTTATGGGACACTGCTGTGAGGAATTGGCTGCCGCATTCGCCCACAAATATACAGTCAATTCACTTTACAGTATATTCTGTGAAGCGCTTTTGAGACGTGAAAAGCGCTATATCAAATGCAAGGATTATTATTATTATTCACTGTGTTTAATGTGATGTGTAGTGACTGTCTTTGTAGACCAGCACTGCAGCTATTTTGCACACAGCAAAGTTCTAAAAGCAGCCAGGAAGTGAACTGAGGAACTTATCTGGTGGATGACTGAAGTTGCATTCAAATAGGAATGTCTTGAGATGGTCCTTGAAGGAGGTACTGGAGGGACGAAGTGAAGGAGCTCTTGAATAGAGTTCCAGAGGGTGTGGGGTAGAAATGCTGAAGGCTTGACTGCAGATGGTGAAGTGGACAAGATGGGAGATATGGAGCAGGTCAGTGCCTTCCGAGTGGAAGGAGCAGACAGGTCGGTAATGTTTTAGTGAGTCGCAGAGGTAGGAAGGAGCAAGCCTGTGGAGGGCTTTAAAGAAGAGCCAGTTGGCTTACCTACTGGTGGTGGGTGGCACTAGCAGAGGCAGACATACAGCAGAGGGGAGATGCCCCTCGCAGGTTGGCTGAGATGCTGCCCTGAGGTAATGCTCCCAGACACTGCAGCTCTCAGTCACTCGGCTGCTGGATTTGCCCAGTGACTCACTACTCGCTGGCACTTACTGTTAAGGTATTTTTAGTGCATTTTGCTGCTGGGGCTGCGCTGAGTACAGAAATACAGGCTCCTCGCCAGCCTGTAATTAGGCAGGTGTACAGTAAACCTCATAAAAGTTGTATCAGTTGGGACCATATATTTAATATTTTTTTATATATATGCAAGATTTCGCCCACAAAATATAGTCAATTCACTTTACACTATATTCTGTGAAGCGCTTTGAGACGTCTCAAAGACGCGATAAGGCGCTGCATCAAATGCAATGAACAGGACTTGGGCAGATGTACGACTCAGTCGATGATACGATTTATGCAGATTAGATACAATTGGGAGTTTTTCTGTAGCTGCCAATGGTACAGACCATAGGAAGCTGATTGTACGCTAATACTGACTTGGCTGAGATCAGTCACTCCACATACACCCAAGGGCAGAAACTGGAAGCTTCCTGCTTTCATGTTCTGTTGTGTTGTGTGTCAGCCTGGCTCAGGCATTAGCTCTCTCGCCTCCGAGAGTCAGAAGGTTGTGGGTTCAAGCTTCATGTCGGGACTTGGACTCACATAGTGTAAGATGATACCCAAGTGCAGGGCTGGGGGGGGGGGGGGGGGGTGTTGCATTGTTAGAAGTACCGAATTTCGGATGAGATGTTAAACCGAGGTCCCTTCTACAAGTTCAGGTGGACATTAGAGATCCCATGGCGCTGTTCAAAAAGAGAAGGGAGTTTCTCTCTCCTGCTGGTGTCCTGGCCAATGGTCCTCGAAATAAAATTGGTCATTCCATGGCTGTTGATCTTTGCAAACTGGCTGCTGTGTTTCGCCTGCACAATACACAGTCACTACGCTTTACAGGGTATCGTGAAGCGCATTAAGATGTCTCAAAGATGTGACCAGGCGGTCTATCAAATGCAAGGATTATTATTGTGGTCATCTGTCACTCTGGGGAGCAATGGCATTTGCCGAATCTCACCGAGGGGCTTGAACCCACTTTCTCAGCGGCGCTGCTCACACTCACCCACTGCAACACGAACAGATGTTAGAAATCGCTTTTAAAATGATTGTGGTGGTTTTTAAAAATAGGCAGCGATGATTTTGTTGAACCCAAGAGGTTTTTTTTGGGGGGTGTGGAACTGAACACAAAAGTACACGTTTGTTTTGGAAATGCACTTTACAAAAAATCTGAAAGTGGAGACGGGAGAGAGAGAGAGAGAGAGAAGGAAAGAGGGGGGAGAAGAGAGAGAGAGAGGGGAAAGGAGAGAGAAAGAGGGGAAAGGAGAGAGGAAGAGGGGGGAGTGATTTCCCCGGGAGTGGTTTGAGTTGTGTCTGTGTGGGGGGGGGGGGGGGGGGGGGGGCTGAGGGCAGTTGGCGGCCCACTGAGGCCCGCGGGCCGCGGTGCCTTCCCGGGGGAGCAGCTGGTGGTTGGGTTCGGGACTCGGGGCTAACCCCCCCCCCCCCACCCCCCCCGGGCTCGGGGGGCACTTGTTGCCCGGAGTGGCGCTCACATTCCCGACATCAAAGGCAGTTTCTGTTGCCATTGTTTCTCCCACTTTTCCTTTGTAACATTCCCGGCCGCTGATTGGCTGATTTTCGGATACATTTCCTCCACTCGTTACTGTTGCAGTTTCGCCGTATTCCCGGTGTGGCTCCGACGGTAGGAA